CATAAGTGATATGAAAGAGGGAGGGGAAAGCTTGAATGAACATAATGCAGAGAGACAGAAACAAAGAGATTAGACATGTGACATTGTCATAGTACAATAACTTAAATAACCCTTTCAGTAGGATTTGTGATTTATGAAAATAGTTAATAGGCTAAGATCATATGCATAATTGCCAGCAATGTGTATCCAGGACCTTGCCATATCCCCCCTAATAAAAATTAAACTTTTTATATATAACATTCCAAAATTAAGCTCCTAATAATAAGAAGAATCTAAGAAACCCCTGAGAAAAAAAATTACTAAATGGAGACAGGACAAAATCTATTTTGTTTTATTTGCAAAACAAATCTAGTTAGACCTTCACCTCACATTTCAAACAGATTTAAATTTGTTTTAGTAATTATGTCAGTATGTTGTATCTTTGTTTGTTTGTTTTTTATTTGATTTTCCTTCACATATATACATTTTTTTATAGAAACTTTTTAAAGCTTTTTTTGGTTTCTGTAATAAGGAGATTTTCCACAGATCACTTTGTGCAGACACACACAGGGATACTGTTTCCTGTTTTTTTTTGTTTTTTTTTTTACTGCAATATTCTTGCAAACAGTTAAATCCTGAATAATAAAAATGTTGAAGTGTGCTCTGTGATCAGCCTGACCTATTTGCTGCTGTAAAAGTCAGCAAAACAGCTGAATGAGATGCATGCAAATGCACCAGCTCACAGGTTACATAAAGAGAAGATTATGCAGTGATTGCTCTTACTGACATCCATCTTCTTCTCTCTTTTATTCTCTTGCAGTCACATTAGCTGCTTTGAGGCTTTACGTCACAAAATGGCTGTTAATACTGACAAAATCATTCATTCGAGACAAACAGAGAACAGGCTGTGGACACGTACCCCCTAGTAAAAAAAGGAGCTAACGTAGCATTTTCCCAGCTCAAAATAGTTGAATTACAAAGCTTAAAATATGGTAAAATGTGGAATTAAGGATTTATAAATAAATTTATAAACAGACTCTATAAATAAACGGCACACTGCATGGCTAATAAGTTTATTAAAAAAGTAAATGGCTTTCATGCTGGACAAATGTTCATTTTGTGTGGGGATGATGACGACTTTATTTTACAAGACTGCAAAACCTGGTATCTACTGTAAATGTCAGGACTACAAACTGGTTAGGAAAACAAATCTCCAAAATTAAATTAAAGACTTATTCTACAAAGATTCAATAAGCTAATCGTGCATTTCTCTGTAGTAGTGACAGTGTAAAAGTGCTAAAGAGATAATTTATTTGTAGCTCAGCAATGGTTATTTTAGAGTAATCGATTTGCAGGATAGTATCCCGGTGAATGCAGTAAATGCTGATAAACCAAAGAATTTAAAGTGCATTTTTGATTCTGCCAGTATGTTGTTTCTTTGTTTGTTTTTTTAATTTGGTTTTCATAAACGTTATTGTATAAAAGTAAGGAATTTTTAAATTGATGACATTCTCTTTAATATACTGTGAAGATATGGATGATAGAACCACCTCTAGCTCTTCAGCAGAATCTCATTAAAGGATCACTATAGGGTGAGGAACACAAACATGTATTCCTGACCCTATAGTGTTAAAACCACCATCTAGCCCCCCTGGGCCCCTCATGTCTCCATAAATATAGTAAAAGTCTTACTTTATTCAAGCCAGAAGCTGTAAGTCTGCATGCTGTTAGACTCAGAAAAACAAACAGTCTGCTGACATCATCAGAAGTGGTAGCCTGATCCAATCACAATGCTTCCCCATAGGACTGGCTGAGACTGACAAAGAGGCAGATCTGGGGCAGAGTCAGCATGATTCAAACACAGCCCTGACCAATCAGCATCTCCTCATAGAGATGAATTGAATCAATGAATCTCTATGAGGAAGTTCAGTGTCTGCATGCAGAGGGTGGAGATACTGAATGTTTGGATGCATTTTAGGCAGCCATGACCCAGGAAGGATCTATAACAGCCATCTGAGGAGTGGCCAGTGAAGTTATCACTAGGCTGTAATGTAAACACTGCATTTTCTCTGAAAAGACAGTGTTTACAGCAAAAAGCCTGAAGGGAATGATTCTACTCACCAGAACAAATTCAATAAGGTGTAGTTGTTCAGGTGATTATAGTGTCCCTTTAAGTATTGTAGAATTCTCCACGTGTAATTTGTGTTGTGGGCAGGTGGATGGTTGGAGAGACAAGTGACATTAATATTTGAAAAAAAAAGTTAGAGAACAAAAATAAATAAAAAGTAACTGAATTTCTATGGCTGCTTTTTAACCGAAATAGTGAATAAAACATGCAGTTGTACTTCAAAAGGAAAAAGCTAAATTTCAAAGCCAAACTGTTTATTTTGACACCTATTTAGTGTTCACTGTGCTGCCTTCTCTCTCCATGGGTTTATCCAACAAACTTAGAATTGTGGAGAAATACATATTGTAGGCCAAAACAACTGAACAATAAAAAAAATTTTTTTTTTTAAATCCTCAACTCCATTACTTGTCCATCTGGGTTCATTTCCGTCTAAACAGTGCAATTTCCTAAATAGTTGTACACAATACAATTTAATTTAGAGGAAAACATTGTTAGGCTTATTTATTAAACTCTGAATCCTTAATCCTCTCTCAAACTAAATAGTGCTAACAATGCATCTGCTTTCTGTTTAGCCTTATTTTCCATTTCCGCTCCAAGCCTTCCATTTCCTCAAGAACTTTGTTAATAAAAGCGTTATTAATGTATGATTTGTAGCTCATGGGCAGGTTCCTCCATTCTTTTTGTATTGATATGTCTGTCTCTATTTATCAGAAATTAATATTTCTCTATTAGTATATCAGTTCTGTCCATCTTTGGATGGAATTCATTGTCTGATAGCATCAGCTGTCCTCTCGACAAATGACTTGAGTCTTAGTAGGGACAACATTGATACACCTACGGCAGAAAGGGAAGCACCACTTTAGAGAGATATGTGAAGAGTGGATAGATATAGATCACTGGTGCTGGTTTCAATTTTAACCATGGGATAGTGCCAGGGAAGTCCTGGGATGATAACCACTACAAAATGTTCCTCAGCGTCCTCGTTTATAGTGCCAGGAAAACATACTCGTTTTCCTGGCACTATAGTGCCCTGAGGGTGCCCCCACCCTCATGGACCCCCTCCCGCTCGGCTCTGGAAGGGGGTAAAAGCTCTCCTCCTCCGATCCTCCCCGTCGGCTGAATGCGCACGCGCGGCAGAAGCTGCGCACGCATTCAGCCGGTCGCATAGGAAAGCATTATCAATGCTTTCCTATGGACGCTTGCGTGCTCTCACTGTGATTTTCACAGTGAGAATCACGCAAGCGCCTCTAGCGGCTGTCAATGAGACAGCCAGCTAGAGGCTTTGGGGGAAGGCTTAACCCATTCATAAACATAGCAGTTTCTCTGAAACTGCTATGTTTATAAAAGAATGGGTTAAGCCTAGCTGGACCTGGCACCCAGACCACTTCATTAAGCTGAAGTGGTCTGGGTGCCTAGAGTGGTCCTTTAAAACAAACATGGTCTGAATCTGAAGTTGCTCTCCGACGAGAGATTGGGTGACCTTGCACTTCAGGGCTTAAAAACAATTTCAACACCTATGCTACTAGTTAGGCCTTAAAGGCATAGTCTAAGCACGGAAGCATATTTAGCTTAATGAAGCAGTTTTGGTGTATAACTCATGTCCATGCAGTCTCACTGCTTCATTCACTACCATTTAAAAGTTAAATCACTTGTGTTTCTGTATGCAGCCCTAACCATACTCCCCTGGCTGTGCTACACATAGCCAACATGAAAAAAATGGTTTTATTTTCAATCAGCGTGTGCATTTACTTTTGAAGTTATCACACCTCTGTTAATTTAACTATAATAAAGCACAGTAGTATGTTGCAGCTGCCAGTATGCTATTAAAGTGGGAGATAATAAATTCTACATTAAACACTATGTACAAGAATGGAAGCTACAAAATGTAGACTTTTTCAGGAAGTGTGTAGAGACGCTGTGCGAATCTAAACTAGGGAAGGTGTGATTTGGGCTTCATAAACAAAGTAATTTAAATCTTGTATGTCAGAAAATTGAGTGAGTCTGTAAGGGAATCATCGACATGCCAAAACTGCGACATAAAACGAAAGTTGTTTTGGTGATTAGTGTCTCTTTAACCCCCCAGAAGTTTGGTCTTTAAGGAGTTAAAAGCTACTAGCCACTGGAAGCCTAAAGGTTGCAAGGGCTAGTGCTGATGGTGAGTGGAAATTTTGAGCCCTTTTAAAAAAAAAAAAATGATATATAAAAAATAGATTCCTTATATTTCACCGTACATAAGAAATACCAATTTGCCTTTTGCTTCATTATTTATAATTTCCCTTGCTCACACTCACTATCTAAATCAACCAGTTACATGTTTAGGAGCCAAATGATGACTGGAGCAAAATAGAAAAAAAAAAAAAATTATTGTACGTCCAATGTCTTTGTAATAGAAAAAAAAATAAAGCTCTGTACTTAAAAAAATGTGTACATATTTACACTTTCTCCCTTAAAGAAATCACTTGTCCAGTTGCAATATTATACAAGATGTCCAAATTCACTAGGTAATAATTACATATTCACTCTTTGAGTAAATATTTTTTTTTTAGTAAAAAAAACAAAATAAAAGTCTAAAACGTGTATTTTTCCAAATCACTCTAAAAAGCTAAATAAACCTTAATTTAACAAAAAAGTTTTTTTTTTTTTAATAAAAATGTACTTTTTGAAAATAATAATAATAAAGTAATGTCCACACAGCCATCCAAGAAGACCTGTCACATTTTATTTGTGAAGAAAAATAAAATCTTACACTTGACTGACTCCCCCCCAAACCTCCATCATTTACATTTTTTCTAAGTGAGTAATAAATGGTGTGTAGTGGCAGACATGACAATCCTTGTATTGTGTGCAATGTTTATTATATCACTCAGTCAGTGTGTGTGTATTTTGTGGGGGGGGGTCCCCCCTAGGCAGGCAGGCAGGCTGGCTGGGTGGGGTGGGGGGTGCCCGGGGGGTCCCGCCATGGCGGTGTGTGGAGCAGTCCCAGCATTGTGGGTGTCAGTGCCAGTGACGCCATATTTGCCGGTGCCGCCGCTGTAAACAACAAAAAGTGTCTGAGGAGACAGACACGAGCCGCTGCACAGGATCTCAGGACACTCTGTTTGTTGTTGTGGGTGAATTGCTCCGCTGCCGCCGCCAGCCATGTCTCTCGGAATGTCTTACAAGGCCGGCCTGAGCGCGCCGCTCCCCGGACACCCCGCCGCCCCCGGTGAGTGAGGGGCACAGGGGGGAGCGCTGGGGGGCCCGGGATCGGGGGGGATGGGGGTACCTGGGGAGCGGAGCCCGGACTGCCTGCCCGCCCGGTGATATCAGGTCACATCCCGGCACCGGGCTGGCTGGCTGGCAGCGCTGGGAGGGGGTGGCCGGGATGGGGGAGGCCCTGGGGGGATGGGATGGTGGCCCCGGTGACAAGCGATGGATCAGCACGAGCCCTTTGATCAAGTCCGTTTCGGCGCCTCCATGATCGGCTCCCCAGGGCTGCCTGATTGATCTGGATTACAGGCAGGCGGCGCTGCGAGGACACCTACAGGCCGCCGCGGGAACTGCAGGGCGCTGCTTGCTCAGAGTGCGTGGTACGGGTGATGATGTTAAATAGGAGGAGGGAGGGAGGGAGAGGGGGGTGTTAAAGGGTTCTGCCCATTAATGGCATTCCTATCAAACAGTAATACTTTACTGACTGATTCATCTTTATTGCTATTTCTGTTATTCTTACCATCCCCCCCCCTCCCTCAGGACCATGCATGTACTGTAATTGCTACAGTTATCTTTTTTTGGGGGGGAGGGGGCTGAGGGGGGGAGATGGTTTGCAGAAATACTTTTTTGGGGGGTGAGAGCCTAGTATTTTGTCATATAAAGTGATAAAAACTGTATCCTGCTAAACTCTGCTGCCTTGTATCAGTGTGATAATATTAATTCACTAATATTCAACAGTTCAGGGTAGAATGAAGTGTAAGCGTCTTAAATTGCAGGTAAAACTGCACCTCACATAGACTTAAAAAAATAATGGATAATGAATGTTTTAGGCTGTCAAGATCTCATTCATATTTTTGTGTTGTCGTATAGAATAACGAACCTTCTTATGGGCCACGTAATTATATACTTGAAAACAAGAGAAATCTCAATGTATCCATCCTGGTAAAATATTTTATAAATACATTATATATGAAAAATCATATCTTCTATTGGTAAACAATAGGTGAACATGTATAGGATAACATTTGATTTCCCTGTTTTATTGTTACTATGATTTTTTAAAATTGTTACTATATTCATAAAGCTTCACACTTTCAGCACTGTGCTTGGATAATTATGTCAATCAAAATATGCCAAACATTTTTAAGTAATGTGCACTAAATATCTTAGATGCCATTGATATGTTTAATACCAGAGTCATCTAGAACATGTTAATTCCCATTAGTAGAAAGGAGAGAGTGGGCAGATGTCCTCTGTCACAAGAAGAAAAAAAATAAAAAAAAAAAGATAAAGGGATTTGCAAAATTTAGGCCAAAAAAAAAAAAAACAAGAAAAAAAGCTGCGTTTAAGATTTTTTTTTTTTCTAGTTAAGGGATATTGGCTTAAAAATTAAAATTCCCCATTTCAAGGTTCCATAGTTCTAATGAAGATTATTCTCTTTATGAAATGGTTTCACAAAAATCTGAAATACTAAATAACATGCTATACATGACTAGGATGTATAAGTAGAATGCTAAAATACTAGCAAACAAATCTATATGTAAATATTATAATAATGATTGCATAAAACCTGTCAAACCTGCCAAACCGCTACAGATTTATGACATCTTCCAAAACCTTTTAAGATACAAGCGTACACTCAATGCTTGGAATGTTATATTAGGCTACACACCCTTAATCTGCAGTTTAAACTCAGACTGCTGACAAATCATTCTGTATCTCTCTTTTTTGCTACATACAGAGTTTAGTATAATGTACACATTTACAGCCCCTTGTAAATCTTCCCTTTCTCAAAAGTCATACCAGTCCTGTACGCCAACATTTTATTCATTCCAGAACGTAGTACCATTTTTGACCACATGTGGGTCTTTTATACTTTTAAAACAGTGCTTTATCTGTAGGAAGATGAGAATTCTGCTAATTAGACAGGAAGTTCTTTCCTATCATCAAATCCTTGAAGGGGTTAACAATTTATTTTGGTAGAGCATAGCATGGTTTATAGGAAAATAGGTGAGGAGTAGCTTCCATTCATAACAACAAGTACATAAAATTACTGCGCAATCATCAGGATAAATTTAAGGGACACTCTGCACCCCTAATGCTTTATCTGGATGTCCTTTTAAAAAATATTTTTTTTACCAAAAGAAATGTAATTAATTTATATCAGATTTGTGATATATCTAAACCTCTACAAAAGATACATTTAATTCATATTTGGATGATATTCATATTCTGAGGCATTCAGCTGATGCTTTCAGTCAATAAATTCCCACCAAACATGTGCAGAATTGACATAACTAATGTGGAAGTAGGAACTTCTACATCAGCGCTATCACAAAAGGAGGCCGGGCTTGACTATTTCCAGTGGAATAGCACAATGGGGCCCTGACCTCATAACCACTTAACATAAACCCCTTAACATTATAGCATGGAACTGTAATACTGGGGTGGTGAATGGGCATATTTAACAGGAGCATAACCTTCACCGATAATTAAAGGAACACTCTAAGCACCATTCCGTTTTGGAAAATATGAATAGGAAACATTTTGATTTTATGAAGAGCCTTGTACATTAAATGGACTCTATAGCCACCAGAACAACTACAGCTTATTGTATTTGTTCTGGTGAGTATAATCATTCCCTTCAGGCTTTTTGCAGTGAACACTGTTTTCTAGAGAAAATACAGTGTTTAATTTACAGCCTAGGGATACCTCGACTGGCCGTTCTTCAGATGGCTGCTAGAGGTGCCTATTGTGGCAGTGCTGTACTGTGACTGGCTCAGATCATCGCTGATGATGTCAGCCAAGAAGGTAGATCAGGGGCAGAGCCAGCAGCAACAGACTGGAATAAAGGTAAGATTTTACTATATTTAGGGGGCCACGAGACCTAGATGGTGGTTTTAACACTATAGTGTTCCTTTAAAATAAAATAAAAAGTTTGTTTCAAGTTGTTGCAGTTTAGTCATTGTTATCTAAGACTTTTATTTCATAAGAAAAACAAAATATAATTTTAACTCATTGAGGATTAGTGACCAAATTACAAACAGAAGTTCAAAGACATAATTTGAGTTTAGAACACTAAGGACTATGTATACAGAGTACTTCTAAGGCAAAGATCTAAAAGTGGAGCAATCAGCAGAAACATTCCATTGGTTTCCACAGTGACTGTTCTACATTTAGAACTTTTCTCCGTTGTACTTATCTAGTGTAAGCAAGACATTTTAGAGTTGCAGATGCTAAATAACCACATAATGGTCTTTGTTCTAATTTTCACAGTTTGCCTTTCATCATATCAGAATAGAGCTGCAATGGAAATCCTGGCAAGAATTTTATTTAAATTTTTTTTGTAAAGACAAATGGCCACGATGACGGGCAGGAAGACTTTTGGGAAATATTATGGTGGGGTTGTTGTGAGGGTTACACAAGTGGTATTTTAACGTGAGACACCTTAGTTTTTTATCTTTTAGATCTAAATTCTTTGCATTAGCTAGAAATTGATGGGATACAATAATTACTAGACTGCACCATTTCCTGTCTAACATGCACCATTCTTCTTCTTCCTTGAACCTTAAAAGGTGTCTTACAGATTATTTTTTTTATTACCAGCATCTTTTAATGCTCGTTTAGGTTATGTAAAAGTTGTTTGAGGTGACAGGCAGACTTTACACTGTAACTCTCAGAAGAATTTGCATCAGTCTGAGCGTTAGTCACTCTAGCTGATTTTCAGTGTAATTTATACCACATTGCAAATGTGTTATCACATTATAAAAACATTGATAATAAAAACGGCTAGGTTCTGTAGACAAAACTTGGTTTGGTGTGTAAAATTATTGGAATGTAGTTGGCTTCTCTATGTCAACATTCTTGTACCTAGTCCTGTGTATTACTTTATATATCTATAAGGTTCTTATGATGGCCCATGGGGTTGTTTTTATAGAGTATATTTTTGGTTGGATGCTGCCAGTATTTGACGGTTTGGGTTTTTATAATGTTATCTGTGATACTTGTTTGGACCCCCTTCAACTCCTACCACCCCTTTCCACTCATGAATACGTGTCTACATATCAAGATTTACGGTTTTACATAATGTGATGGTTTGGCCAGTTTGTGAAGTCACACTGTTCATTGTTGACAAATTATTATAAAAACATTTTTTTATTCTCAACAGCTGGAAGTGCACACTCCCCCTCCACTAGCATGGCGTCCTCTGCACAGTACAGACAACTGGTAAATGACTATGGACCCCCATCCTTGGGGTACACGCAGGTAAGAGCGATACTCCTACCTGTAATTGTTATAAACCATGGGATAAGCTAGAATTTTGGTTATCTTTTCATAATGAGATGAAACAGGGCAAATTATTACCTTACAGCTGTTGTTGAGTTGCAGCTCCTTTATTTGTATTTGACCCATTATAAATCAATTTTGTTTTGGGTTAAGAGTAGTCGGAATGTCTAATTTTACCCAGCTATGTGATAACATGGGGAATACTTATGTACATGCCATACTTTTTGCCTGTACTCACAAAATCATATCAGCAAAAAAGAAACAAACAAAAAACCCCCACACATTTAGGAGAAATTATATTGTGCTACCAATAGATAGATCATAGTAAAACATTGAGTATCAACAGCAACTGTCTCGGTAATAATGATATGTGGCTTCTGAAATGTGTCTGATCTTTGGTACTTAGGTTCTGATAGGTATGCATCGTTAATGCAACTGTGATGGCAAACGTGCCACAGATATATAGATTAAAAGATGGACTTAGCTGAAGATTGAGTGCATCCTGCAAGAATACTAACACTGTGGATGGTCACCCATCTACAAAGAGACTGGAGAACCATGCTCTGGGGATGGTGCCTTTTGTACAGAGTGTGACCACTGCAATTATCCTAAAAACATTGATGTAGAAAAGTGTTTATGTATGTGGTGGCAGGTAGTAATGGTGATGAGAGGCTCAAGATCCCCAGCACTCATTTTGGTGTAGCTTTTAAAAGGATGTTTTATTGTTTAAAGGAACATCCCAGTCACCATAACCACTACATCTTACTGTAGTGGTTATGGTGATCGGTGTGCCCTTGTGCCTTCCCCCCAACTTCCATTAGTACTCCTGAACTAAGTACTGCAGTACAGAGCTTAGCTCATTGGCTGAGACCATACGTTGAGTTTTAGTGGTTATGGTGCTTGGATTGTTCCTTTAAGTATGCATTTTTACAGACAGGAGATTGGAGCAAATAGCATCTCTTTTCAAAGAAAGGGACACAGGGTGACAAGTTTCATTTTTTTTGGTGGTTGCCAGTTACCCCTTAACTCTACACTAGAAAACTGCACGCCCGGTTTCTTTGTAGTAACAGGAAATGAAGCGTAAGTTGCTAAAAATAGACATTAAAGGAGAAATATAAAGTGAAGTTTTGCACCATGCCACATACCGGTACAAAACATGTGGCTACAAAGGTCAAATATCATATATTGGTGGGGGCTTTGTCATCCTGCACTTTGGGCCTTTATGTATGTATGTCATTCAAAGAGTTAATATTGAAAGCTTATCAGTTTGGAAACAGCAGGAATGCAGACAGATTATCTCAACAAAAATGTTTATATAAATCTAAATAGTATAGAAATTGCTCATGGGTTTTAAACCATATTGTTAATATCATAAGTACAGTTGCATTGTTTCCTAGATAAAACACATATCTTAATGTAGCTAACATGATAATGTTAATTGGCTTCTTATTTTTGTTTAATGAATCTGTTTTATATCTCCATAATACTAGGCTTGAGAATTATTTGTAGAACCCAGGAGCCAGACTATGGTGTGTTCTGGCTGTACCTGGATACTCATTGATACAGAGTAAATTAAAAAGAAAAATCAGCTGGAATGAGATTAAAAAAAAACACTACTTTAAAAAACAAACCACCACTTTAGATTTCTACTTTAAGGTCTATTTTCAGCAACTTACCCTCAATTTCCTGTTAGTGCAAATAATTAGGTTGTGTAGCATTCTCATATAGAGTTCCCTGACGCAAGACTAAAATGAATGCAAACCAAACCTGTAACAACTTCTAAGGGTTATCTAAATTCTGAAAAGCATTCTTCCTGGTAAAACAATTTGTAAATAAGAACTGTAAATGGCTGGGAATAATTTAAGTGTATAACCCTTGGGGGTTTATTCACACAGCACTGACTAGAGACTAGAGCGGATTTGGAGATTTTTTTTTCTTCCATATCAACAGTTCTTAAGCATTTTCAGTTCAATACTATGTGGTATTTAGTAAATGACCCCATCTGTTTTGATTGAATGTGCATGGTATATGAAGTGGCCACTTTACACTTTCTAAGGAAATAACACTCCTTAAAACTTATCTCAAGGACATCCTGATTTGTGTCATATTGAACCATTGTGTATTATATCCTGTTTAGGGTACCAGTAATAACCAGGTGCCACAAAGCAAGTATGCAGAACTCCTTGTGATCATAGAGGAACTGGGGAAAGAAATTAGACCAACCTATGCAGGCAGTAAAAGTGCCATGGAAAGACTAAAAAGAGGTAAGTGTGTCCTGTTACATTGTAGCAACAAATACGCTTCCTCAACCATTTTCTGTATAAGTAATATGTACATTGAAGGGACACTATAGTAATCAACTTTAGCTGTAAGCCATAATCATCGCACTTATGACAAATCACGGCTTGAACTATCTTGCTTTGGATGTAATGCGTCGATGTCATATATTACTTTCCCCTTTTACATTGCATTACTGAAATAAGTTAACTTTTGCGCGATATTCTAACTTTTCGAGTATCACCTGTACAGTACAATAGTTGGCAAGATGTTGATGTATCTGATTATTTGGCAGAGACTAGTCATGCTCCTGCCATTTTAATAGCTTTTCCTGTCCTTGTTGAATTAAGCTAACATAATGAGACTGAGTATGGGCTGGCTAGACAGACATGCCTCATTTTTGGTTAGGAAATCCCATTCTGGGTGCGAGGTCACTTGTTACCACCCTCTTGCTGGCCCGCTCACCCTTGGTCTCATATCCATGCCTCCCAATGTTGGGGGTATACAAGTATGTATACAGGTTCTGGGTTGAAATCACTAATATTGTTTTTCTAATTTGTAACAAAGCAAAATAACTCTTTATTTAGCCTTTGTAGATAATGTGTACTTTTCCCCCTTTCATTTAATGAGTGCCAATTTCAATATAAATGTACACTTTAATAAATGAACTTTATTACAAGTCCATGGCAATGAGACTTTTGACTTGTTACTTCCTGGTAGTTTAACACCATGGAATTAAACTCTAGAAGCTTGCAGTTGCCCAGTGCACTTGCTTTGCAATAAAAGTAATAGAGAGCACTGGGAAGTCTGTGATTAGACAGCAACCAAAGGTCTGTGCTTCTGGAAGAATGGGAGGGCTTGCAGTAGCTGCAGATAATAGGTCTGCAGCTTTTGCAGGACAGTATTTCACATACCCCGTAGAGTGTCCCTTTAAAGGACCACTATAACATTAGGAATGCATACCTGTCTCTCGTAATGTTCCCTCTTTTTCCAGTAACTCTCTTGTTGCTGCTTACCTCTCCACCTCCCGCAATGTCTTCAAGAGAGGAACAAAATCCTTGCCCATCATTCCCCAACCGAGTGCTCATCACAGAGAAGCATTAAGGACCTGATGCGCATGCGCAACAAGTGCCACGCCAGCATCGAATGCTTCTCAGTGGAAATCATTGAATTCAGTGCTTTCCTATGAGCTTTCGCATCACGTGACCTAGTTTTACTCGGTCAGCGCAGCAGAAGAACCTCTAAACACGGTCAGGAAGACAGACACTCGAGGTGGATGTAACCCTGCAATGTAAATATTGAAGTTTCTGAAAAAACGACAGTCTGTTACATTGCAGAGTTAAAATGACAGGACCACTGCACCAAGACCACTTAATTTAAATAAAGCGGTCTTTGTGTCTACAGTTGTCCCATTAATTACAGAATTAAACATCAAGTTACAGTGATACCTTTTGTAATTATTTGCATTGGAGATTTTTTTCAGCTTTGACATTTCTCCCTAAAATTGGCCATTAACTGTGTCCACTCTCAGTTTATTGAATAAACTCATTAGAAGTCTATTCAGTAAACCCTGAATTCTCATGTATATTTTTTTTGTTTTTCTTTTCTCTCTCTTTAACTCTTCTTCTCCTTTTTGTATAGGTATCATCCATGCACGAGGTTTGGTACGAGAATGTCTGGCTGAAACAGAGCGTAATGCCAGATCTTAGCTGTGCCACATGAAGCATACAACATTTTCTTTTTGGAATTTCAGGGCAGTTTTCTGAATATTTAGCCAAGGGGATTTACATTGTTTGGTCCCTTTTGATGTACTGTAAAGCTGCTGAATACAAGATAAGATTTTTACAAGTTAAAAGAATTTCCATATAAAAAAAAATAAATAAAAATTAAAAGTATTACTGGCTCTTTTAAATTATTATTTTAAAGGGTCCATGGAAATTCATACATTGCATCATAAGCTTCAACTTAATTTTCATTTCTTGTACATTTAACATTATCCAAGTTCTTCTACCAACCTTTCTGCATTGTACGCTAAATAATTTTGTGTTTTTATAAGAACAATGCATGTTTTCTTTTGCCAAGTGGGTTGTGTTTGTTTGCGTCTGTCATATAGTAATCATGTTTTATTCCAGCCCTAAATAATCTGGTTTCCTCCCCAAATGTCATTAACTTTTAATAATGTATATCCAGTCTACCCCTTTTAAAATTCTGCACAGGAATGAACATTCTTTACAAATAATCTGTTTAACATAGCACAAAGGATGTTTCTAGCCTAATGATGTCATCTGCCTCATTTGGAGTGAATAGTGAATAATCTAAAAACCTACATCTTCTGGGAGAAATGACTGATCACGGATTTTCCTCTGAAAAGTGACATAAATGTTAGCTACGTAAAAATGCTGTAGTGTTTTGTTATGACCGGGCTATCATCGACCTATGCATTTGCATGTATAAAAACCTTTGACAACCATTCAACATGCATGACTTATTTAAGTGAGAGAACTCTTGTTACTTTTCCATGGATAGATCTATGCATCTGCCAAAACTGCAAATAAAAATAATAAAATATTTAGATTAAGGCTGTTAAGTGTAGACAGATATTAAAAAAAAAATAATCCAATGGAAACTATTTGCATCTTTGTATGTATTTATTACTTGATGTAATAAAGCTTATTTTCACTAAGAAAACTTTGTAATTTTTTTTCCAGTTTACATTGGTTAATGGTTTTTGCCCACCTTTTATAAATGCAGAGTTGTAGTGGCACATCTGTAGGTCCCTGTGTAGTGACACCAGAATCACTTGGGTTCTTGGTACTTAAAGGAACACTCCAAGTACCGTAATCACAGCACAGACCCCTGTAGTGATTATGGTGCTAGGAGTACCTTGGTGTCTCCCAGAGTAAGAAATCAAACCATTTAAGAAACGTTTGACACACCTACTTATGAGTACCTTCTACATCATTGTTCCACATAGGGTAGCCTGACATCACGCTATGCTCAACACCTAGCTATCAAGCTTTTATTTATGGATATCCTAGTCTGCTCACCTTTAGAGCAATGGTCATGCAGATTCCACACACTGCTAGCTTTCCTCAATACCGACAGTCATACACACCTGCTCAACTATAAAGCAGGTATTGTGTTGGGATGTTGGCTTTCATACACCACCCATATATGCATGTACTTATTTCTATAAGTATGTTTACTTGCAGTGCTAGAGATCGAAAAACCAGTACTACATTGATTAATAACTGTATCATATTATACTCCTAGGGACCTTCACCATCCACTTTTTTTTTTTTTAAATTAAGCTTTGTACAATTATTACAATTACCTAGGCCAGTGATGGCGAACCTATGTCACGCGTGCCACAGGTGGCACGCCGAGCCCCCTCTGTGGGCACGCGGCCATAGGTCGCCGGAGGGAGGGAGGGTGCGCTCCGCCGGCACATCCATAAGGCGGCACAAGTGGCCGCCTAAGGGCGCACCAGCGGGCGCAAAGCCGGAGTGACCGGCAGGAGGTGAGCGCATAGCGTTCCCTCCTGCCAGGCACTCTGTGTAGCGTGGCCGAGCACGCCGCGGTACAGGAACTTATGTTTCCTGTACCCGGGCGGACGGAAATGAAGTGCTCACAGAGAGAGCACTTCCTGTCCACCGGGTACAGGAAACTGAGCTCCGCGGCGCTCGGCCACGCTACAAGGTAGGAGACTGAGGGAGAGATTGGGGGGAGACTGAAGGAGAGATGGGGGGAGGAAGGAGACTGAGGGAGAGATGGGGGGGAAGGAGACTGAGGGAGAGATGGGGGGAGAAAACTGAGTGTGGGATGAGAGAAAAAATGAGGGAGGGATGGGGGGAAAGAAAACAGGGGGGGAGAGGGGGGACGACATACACACAGCACCCCTGCCCTACACATATCACCCCACAAAAAGACACACACACACACATCACTCCACCCACAAACACTGTACCCCTCAATGCAGTGTGTGTACACTCAGCAGTCTGTCTGTGTGTGTACACTCAGCAGTCTGTGTGTGTGTGTGTACACTCAGCAGTCTGTGTGTGTGTGTACACAGCAGTCTGTGTGTGTGTGTATTTAGCAGTCTGTGTGTGTATTCAGCAGACTGTGTACTCAGCAGTCTGCTAAATACAGACAGACTGCTAAATACACATACAGACAGACTGCCGAGCACACACACAAACTGCTTAATACACACACAGAGATGTTAATTAGTTCGGACAACTGTATGAGTTGTTTTTTCTAAACTTAAACCTCAGTATTCAGGTTTAATTGCCATTTTGGCACTTTGGGGGGAAAAAAATTGGCATGTATTACGGTTTGGGCACTCGGGCTCAAAAAGGTTTGCCATCACTGACCTAGGCTGTCATTACAATTGACATTGAATAATAAGCGTATTCCTGCAACACTGTCTCTACCAACTTGTACTGTGTATCCTCTGCAAAAATTAAGAATTTAAAAAAGAAAAAACATTTGACAACAGGGGTCCTGCCGATGCCTGGTGCAACCTCCCCTGCTGTTGGAAGGTCCTGCCACTAAGCCTTGCCCAACGCAGTGGAGATAACCGGAAGCTCCTTGCAGAGGGTTGGCGTTGGTGGGAACTATTTCAGGTATGGAGTCAAAGCATTGTTTTGCTAGTTACTCTTGAAGTGTGCCAAGGCATTCCTGGTCCAATAACCACTACAGTATGTTTTAGTGATTATGGTGCTTGGAGTATTCCTTTAACTCTGAATTATAGTGAATTCAAATCTGAATTGTTAAATTTAGGCTGAACATAACTTTAGGCCACCTCCACAACAGTGAATTTAGAGAATTTTCCAGGTAAGTTATTGTAACGTTTACCATTTGGATTTCAATTGGCTACAATACAGAGTTCAGAGAACATACCTGACAGTATCTCTCTATTCCTCCAACCTTCCCTGACTACTATCCAATGAAATGACCCAAGTCATGTTGTAATTCATAAAATGACAAATGGCATGCAAGTGTTCAGGGTATGATTATATTGAATACAATTAAATTGTTACATTTGTTCCGGATCTTTAAGTATTCCATAAAGAGGTATTAGAGATAGTATGTGTGCCAATAATGATATGAACTAGTTATTTGAAATTAGACTGGTAGGATTATTCCGAAGTCTCGATTTGTTTCCACTGTTTTTAATAAGAACTGTAGAAGCAAGTTGAGTCAGTGGAGATTCTAGTTCAGCAATAATTGGGGGGCTGGCGTACGAGATTCCATCATATAGTTTAACTAGTAATGAAACCACATTTATTTCTAAAGTTATAATATAAAAGGCCATATGCTTGCAGATTTTCATATTAACTTTATTGAATAAAATAAAATTTCTTAATTTACATATTACAGTAGAAACCGGTGTGTTTCAAGTTTCAGCACTGTGTGTGAGAGTCTTCAATCTATGAAATGTCCACTCACTGTTATATGATAAAGGCTAATGTAGCAAAACTTTGGTAAACCATGCCAAAGTTAACATCACAGGATTTATTATTTCTGCGTTGTTATAAACTAAACCACATCAACAATTAGTAGGTCAACCCCTCTGGCTACATCATTCAGCTTTAGTTCTTGTCTCCTGAAATTTGTATTTCCTTCAGGAGTTTCTTCTTTTCCAAAATTTCGTTTGCCTTTTTCCTTTTTTCTTGCTTCCTTCTCTCTGCCTCATCCCGATGTTTGAGGATATCACTATTTTCTCCTTTGTAGAAAACATCTATTTTCTCCTGCAGTATATCTCGTGCTTTTTTCCTATTTACCTCCACGGATCTGGTCTGGTGACACTGGGGGACAATAATACATATTACTTTGTTTCCGATTACACACAAGCATTGAAATGAGATTAGAGCGTATATCTATGACAAGCTCGGTCAATGAATGCTGTTCAGATATGGACAAAATGTTATACTTTTATTGTGACAAGTGAGGGGCATACCACAGGCACCTGAGAGACCCTGTTATTGTGTCAAACTGATCAAATGCTTTAAAACAGGACCAGGGCACATAACCACTACAGCAACATGGTGCGTACAATGATTGTTTTAATTGCAAAATGTATGTATTTGTATGTATGAGTGATTGGTCATGTGCTTGTTTGTGCATATATATTTAATGAATATGTGCAAGTAAATGGGGATATCTGTGGAGCTCTAATCCAGTCTGGCAGTGAACATGTTAAGCAGTCTGAAAGCTTTTTGTTTAGTCTAGTAATACATGAACTTACTTTCACTACAATTCCAGAAGGAATATGCTTCAGTACAACACAGTTACTGGTTTTATTGGTGGCTTGCCCTCCTGGGCCATGTCCCCTGACAAACTGCTCCTCTAAGTCGGTCTCCTTGAGGTCTATGAGATCAAAGGCAGCATTTTTCTTTTCTGCTGCCTGGGATAATATTGCAACATTCAATGGATGAAGAAACCTAATCTCCCTCCCTGGAATCCATGCTTTCCAAGACAGCTGCCGTCTGACCAAACAAAGGATGCTTGGCGTTGTCATGGGTTAAGGTGGTCTAAAACGATAAGAAAAAAGAAAATTAATGAATAATGCATATCTGCTGAGCAACTGAACATCTACCAAATAGACTAAACTAGTGCTCCTACTGAGGCACAAATACCTGTTCCCATAAATTATTAATGGAACACAGTTTTAGAAGACAAAAAGAAAACTCCACAATTGATTTTGTACTGAAAAATGTAGATCTGTCTGGCGTTTTTCACATCCACAGAATTGAGGATGCTTTGTGTCTGTGATGTTCATGGCGATGTCATACAGATGGTGCACGATTTATGTGCCCATTTCATTTAGTGCAGACAGTGGTACGATATGTTTCACAGGGGCCAAGTCATTTTTCAGAAAAAAGATGCGCATTCTAGAGAAGGTGTTGATAATGTGTCTGCATTAAATATGGGTATATAATTCCTGTACCATCTGTTTGTGATCCTTTAGCAGTTTCTGGACTTGTGCCATATTCTGGTCATATACTACACAAACTGACTGCTGCAACAGAATGACGGCAGATGCATCTTGACTCACTGCAGTACAATTCACATTGGTTAAAATTTGTCATTTTAAACATTTTGTCTATATATATATATATATATATACACAAACACACACATACACAAATATACATATATACACACACACACACACACACACACACACATACATCGAGGGGGGGGGGGGAAGATTCAATCAAAAGAAAAAGACAAAAATGAAGCAGTATTCTCAGCCAGACCCACACTTTATAATTTCAATACGATCAATGTGTTCTGCCAGAGGATTCAGTTCTGCAGCTAATCCTCAGGGCAAAACACTGGTATATGATGCCAAGTCCTGGTTTTATGGGAAAAGAAATAATAAATGTGTGGCGCACACAAGAAAGAAAGAGAGGGGGGCGGGAAAAAGGCTTATGACAGGGATCTTCAAATCTCGTTACTGCACAAGTGTCTGGATGAGACAATAACACTACAAATCTTATTCAATAAAGTCAAGACTGTGGAGATGTGACAAGGGATTTCCAAATTTTAGGCAATATGAAATCTTCAGGATGTAGATTTATATATGAACATACTAAATGCAAGATGCTTTTTTTTACCAACACATCCCTGCATTTCAAAGTGTAAGAAGACATTTGATGTACATTATAAAAATCTATATTTACAACAATATGTATTATATATGAGATTCCCAAGTATTGGAAAAATAAAATCCATGTAGGTCCAGGTTAAAATTACTCCTCAGGCTTTATCACCAACTACGAAGCCCAAATACAATGAGGAAACAGGAAAACAGCCCCAGCTCCTCACTAGATTCATATACAATATACCCATCATTACATTTCATATATTGCACTATTATAGTTATGTATATCAGGTGGCCAGCTCAAAATATGAGACCGAGAAACTTAAAAGAACACTCCAAGCACCATTATGACGACAGTGCGCTTAGCTTCTTCCTGCAATGCACAGCTAAGCTCACACAGAGAGCTTTGAGCTCCAGGCTACAGGTAGTGGTTCCATGCAGAATACAGGTAAGAAGTCAAACCATTCTAAAATGGACAGACTGCTTACAACGTAAATATTTGCAGTGAGGGAGTATGTTTTTTAGGATTCCTTGTTATCAAACCAGAAAACACAGCCTGTACTATATAATGCAAGCAGATTGAGGGAGACACTGCACATGGAGCAACAGGTGTCAGAGAGTGGCCAGTAGATATAGCTTCTAAGGAAGGAGTATAAAATACAGAATGGAGGAGAAAGGAAGAGAGGGATTCTGAATTTTTTTTTAATTCTTTATTTTTGAGTGCAGGTAGATTGTTACATACACGCCAGTGATGCCACAACAGCAAATACCGGCCAGTCTTGGCTAACAGAGATATGGCATTGAGTGAGACTGCACAATTTTATATTAATTAAGCTTGACTTTGAGTAAAACGTTATTGAGAGAAAAGAGAAAAAAAAAAAATACAAACATATAAGAACATCAGTCCAACAATTCTGCATTAAGGTTAAGGACAGTTACATGCCTGTGTATCTAAAGCAAGTGTGTTCGCCTTGGGGTTTGCTGACATAGTAGACTAGATGAAAAGCTTTGCAATTTAAGAGGTGTATGTCTAGTGTTAAGGAGGTTATTGTAAGTCTTCCTGACTAGTGGTAGGCCGTGTACCTGGCAAAGTAGACTGTTAACATGTTATACCTCACGGTTCATGTTTTTTTTTAAAAAGAGTCTAAGTGTCGCTGTTTGAGAAAGGGGTGTCCTGGTGTGTGTCGGACTAATGATGGGGTCAGAAATGTAAAGTATAGACTATAACATATGTGAGACATAATCTAATGTAACCTCATGTGGTCAGAAGGTCAATTCTGGCTTAGGGCTTTCCAAGGAGATCAGTGTCCCGGTTTCAAGTGGTGGCTGCTTATATGTGTCCACGTTGGGCCTTCGTGGCTCGAATGGGGCTGTGCCAGCCGGATCCCAGGTGTGCGTTGTGGTCGTTGTTCCCGGCCTTTTGCTGAGGAGAGCATCCTGTGGGAGGCCTAGAGTCTCTAGGACAGCCTTAGCTTCTTCAATGTCGTGGACCGCGTATGAGGTGCTGCCATGTAGGACCGCCAGGATGTGGGGTCCTTTCCATCTGTAGCGGATGTCTCTTTCGCGGAGGAGTGTCGTAAAGGGCTGCAGGGTTTTGTGCCATGCCAGAGTGCTCCCCGACAAGTCCGGATAGAAGGTGAGGACTGAGTTTTTGAAGTTATATGGAGCTTTCCCCTTGAGCGCTCCCATTATCATAGCTTTGTCGTGTTCCGTTTGGAAGCGCACTATCAGATCTCATGGAGCCATGGCAGATGCCTTTGTTGGTTTCAGGACCCAAAACATGCGCTCAATTACCACCGCTTTTGCCTGTTTGGGGGTTAGTATAGTTGCTAGGAGCCTTCTCACGAAATGTGGTAGTTCCACATCAGGTACAGTATCTGCAACCCCTCTTATCTTGATATTGTTGCTGCGTCTAAAGTCTTCCAGAGCAGCAAACCGCCGTTCAGTGGCTAATTGCTGGTGCTGGAGCGTTGCAATTTCTTTGTGTAGGTTGGTGACTTGTGCCTTTGTGTTGCGTGAGTCGCTTTCCAGGGTTCCCATGCGGCCGGTCAGGCCTTGCAGGTCTTTGCGGAATGTTGCCATGTCCGCTTGGAGGTCCCTCCATAGTCCTGCCAGCAGTTCCTGCATGTCTGCCTTAGTGACCAGTGCTGAGTCCGGTTTGGAGGTTGTTGGTGCCGGTTTCGGGTTCAGTTCCCGCGGTGCAGGCAGGTGGAGGTCTCCCGGCTCCAGGGTTTGGTCGTATGAAATGTCCGAGCTCTCTCCCATGTAAGCGGCCATTTTGGGTAGCGAGTCTCCACGTGCCTGCCGCCATAGGTCGCCTATACTCATGCCCTGTTTCGGCTTGTCAGGCCTTTGTTTTTTGTTTTTTCGACCCATATTGTTGTCAGGAGCCTGGGGGTCTAGAAGAGGGTCTAATTGCTTGGGGTTGGTGTAGCTGAAAACGTAGTTATTAGGCCTTTGTGCACGGAGCTCGGCAGGCTTGTGACTGTTCAGTTCTATAGCTTGGCTCCGCCGATTCTGAATTTTAGAACACGACAGGAGGCTTACTATTTTGCATCTCTTTACTAAACTCCATAGCAGTAAAGAAAACTTAAAGAACAACAGTAAATCAATGGGCAGCATAGTGTATAAGGGTCATGCTGCCTGGACACTTCCTCTTTCTTTACTGCTCCATCGCAGACAGGTCAGACTTTTGGCTCCCCCAGAGCCTTATACCTTTGTGTATTCTCTCTGTTATTTTCATTTTATTGTATAAGTTTATTGTGTACTTACATTGCCAGTTTCTATTACTGCTCTTAGAAGCATTGTGCTTATTTGGCCAGCAGTCATAGGGGATTCCCTCCCTTCCCTTACCCCTTATTCACCCCTAGGAACCTGGTTTTCATCCCCCACTGCCTCTGGGATAAAGGGATTACCTTCTCTGGGCCCCTGTTACCGGCCGCGATCATTCGAGGCTCCGGTCATGCCGGCCCCTTCCTCCCGCCACCTGGTCATAATTTAGTCCCCGGCTTTGCGGCCTACACGCGGCGGCCATCTTGGATCGCGCATCTCGTGAGATCCGGGCGGCCATCTTAATTTTGCTGCGTGTGTGCCGCGAACGGGTTCTCCACCCTCTCTGGATGTCCCTTCTCTCCCTGTGAAGAAGCCTATTCTTACAGCCCTACCTTGGTGCCCCTGTGCCTGTTACATTCACTGAAGCTTCCTGCATTCATTGGCTGGGTCAGTCAGGTCAGTGCTGCTGCCTTTATACAATTGTGACCTGCACTTAAGGGTTCCAATCCCTGTGCAACCGGGGTGAGCCCCCATTATATGTACATAAGTACAGTGCTGCTTATTGGAAGACTAGCTTTTGCAGTTCTCGCCAACTGGGTGAGTCCCAGTTTTAATAAGGTCACCAACTATACCTTGCTGGGGTTTTATTGGACGGATTTATTATCATCTACCATAACCACTACATTAGCTGATCCCACGCCACACTACCTATACCTAAGACCTGGGTGCCATTACTATAGTGCCTATCTGTGACTTGTATCACAGGCCTAACCTATACCATGGAAGACTCCCAGAATACCCCTGTGGACAAGCTATGATTAATGCAGCTGTCGCTGCTTCTGTGGAGAATGCACTTTCCAAAGTGCGAGCTGCGGCTCCCGATTTACCCAAACCGTCCCGCAGACGCCCTCACTACGAGTCTGACTCCGATCTCTCAGACTACCATACCAGGGAGGATTCACGCCCACGTAAACGCCACTGGAAAGGCGAGGGTGCTACATCTAAGCCATCCAAGGGAAAGGCGCCTACCTAACATACTAAATCTTCCAAATTCAGTACCCCGGCCCCACATCAGGACCACTCTTCTGAAGAAGACCAAGCATTGTTACACTCCATGTCAGTTCTGGACGAGTGGCAAGCAGACCTATCCAACTCGGACTATGACGCTTGGGGTTTGGACGACAAGTCTATCTCCGCTTTCATGCGGGAGACCCTCCTGGGTGAGGCACAGACGGAGAGGAGCGAGGATCCTGCGGATGCAGACCTCCCTCTTGACTCAGACACCATTCTGTTTGACCCTCGCAACCTACGCCATCCCAGGTCAGGGGACTGGTAACCCGGAGCACCTCTCCAGGTTCATGCACCTGTGGCTCCACAAGCCTCTGGACAAAGAGGTACGTAGCCGACTGAGGTCGGAATGCCCACGCCCTTCCCTTCCAGACAAGGTGGCTCAAACCCCTGAGTTCGACAAGATTATGACTATGTTCATGACGCAGAGTGGAAAAAGGTCTGTGGGTGTTCAAGACAATCTACTAGACTCCGTAGGCCCCCTTTCCCGCATCATGTACTTGGTGGACGATGCCTATGCCAAGGCAGACTCCTTTACGGCCGACAATGTCAGGGAATGGGCACACGATGTGCGCGAGTGGGCACAATAATGCTTTTGTTTCATTGAAAACACTAATGTTATGTCTCAGGTCACTTAACCCTGCAAAAGGTAATTATTGCAGTTTTGGAGAAACACCTGCTGGTGTTAACAGCCACTAGAGGGACTTCTGGGTCGTTAGGCGACTTTTGGTCGCCTGATGGTTGATGTGTGTATTAGGAGCAGAGGCGGCACCCAAGCCAGTGCCGAGGGATATTGGACGCTAAGTGTCAGAAGGTTTTTTTTGTTTGTTTGTTTGTTTTTTTAACACCACATAGGGGGGCACTATAGTTCCCTTTTGATACCACACACTTTAAGGAAAATGGTGAAAAAATGGCACTTCAATAAAGCTCAAAATATATCACGAGAGTCCCCATTTACAAATAGTTAGTATAATTAAAATGCACAGTGGCCCATCGTCATTTAAAGGAACACTATAGCATCAGGATTACAAACGTGCGTCTGAATATCTGTTGCTTTGTAGTTTGGTGTTCCATTGTTGTCGTGCGCCTATTTGTGCACTGCGTTTGTCACTGTACGTGTTCTGATGGGTGTTCCCCTTTGTGTCTGTTTTTAAGGGCTTCGGTTAGGTGTGTGTGTGTGTATGTGGCGTGGCCAACTTTTGGTTCTGTGTCTCCCATGTGTGTTTTTTCCTTCCTGTGCTGTCTGCGGTGTTGCCCCACTCTGTGTCTTGGCTGTTAATGGGTCCATTGAGGGTTGAGTTTCTTGTGGCGCTGTGTAGGGTTGCTTCATTCTGGTAGTGTCGCCTGTCAGTCTCGTTGTGTGGGGGTGTCTTGTTAAGGCCGTTCGGTTATGTTTTGCTACTGTGTCTGTCCTTCGAGGTGTGTTTAATGGGTGTGGTTGGGGGTTGAAATAGGGGGGGTGGTGGGAGAGGGTGTTGGGGGGGTATGAGTGTTTCCGTCCCCTGCCACCGCCTCTGTCCGCCACCTCCCGCCCGGTCCCCGATCGCAGCCTTCCTTGTCTCATACTTTCTGGTTACTGTGTGACCAGCCGGCGTTGAAAGTCATTTGATGCGGTTAATCGTATCCAGTGAAACCAGCGTTTGGTGTATCGGTCCCTAAGTTTCGGAGTGTTTGCCTTTATATCTTCGAATTTCCTGGTGGTTTCCACCTCTTCCAGCCACCATGTTATCGGAGGTGCGTTTACCTGCTTCCAGTAGATGGGGATGATTGTTTTGGCTGCGTTCAGCAACCGTGTTATTACTGATCTGATGTATGTCTGCGCGGTCATTTGGTGTGATGGAGGAGAAAGGCGGCTGGGGACCCCGGGAGCGTCTCGTCTGTTACTTCGTATATTATATCTCTAATTGTGTCCCAGAAGGGTCGGAGACGTGCACATGCCCACCAGATATGTAGAAACGTGCCTGTTTCCTCCCCGCATCTCCAGCAGGTGTCTGGTATACCTGGGTTCCTGACGTGGAGCGCTGTCGGTGTCAGATACCATCTGGTGAGTATCTTGTAGGAGTTTTCTTGCAGGCGTGCTGAGCTTGGTGTTTTTTGTATTAGGGTGATGCACTTGTCCCAGTCCGCTTCCGACATGGTCTCGTCTAGGTCTTCTTCCCAGTTCCTTATGCAGGGCGGTGCCAATATGTACCTACTAGTGACCAATATTGTGTATACCTGTGAGATGGCTCGGGGTGTTTCTGTGGTTTGCGTGCACAGGTTTTCGAATTGTGTAGTTTCCCTCAGTAGGGATGGTTTTTGTGGGATGGATCGGGCATATTGGGAGATTTGCGCTCTCGCCAGTGTGTGTGAGAAAGTGAGTGGTCTGTCCGGGAAGAGTTCTGTTAATGGCCGAATGCCGAACGGGTGCACAAGGACGTCTGCCATGCGAGGAATTGTTGGGTGTCCTGCTGGGCCCGGTGCGGGGCCAAGGTCGCCTGCTGGGAAGTCTGGGTTGCCTCTGAGTGGCAACAGCGAGCCTGGATCTGTCGTCAGGTAGTGTTTTGTGCCCTGTCTGTGCCAGACCCTCATGGTTGCCGCCACGAAGGGGTTAGTAATGCGGTTGCGCCTGTACGCCGCCGCGGATATCCAAGGCAGTGTCCGGAGGTCACAGTTGATGGTATCGGATTCCAGTTGGGTCCATGGTTTTGTGCCGCTGGCTACCGTCCAGCTGATGACTCGTGTAAGGTGTGCTGCGTGGTAGTATCTTTCAAAATCGGGGAGCGCTAGGCCCCCTCGGAGTTTGGGTAGGATTAGCTGGGTATAAGCTATGCATGGGGGTCTGCCCTTCCATATAAACGTGCGGACCTCTGACTTCAATGCCTTGAAGAATGTTTGTGGGGCTTGTATCGGTACTATTTGGAACACAAAGAGTAGTTTGGGTAGTAGTGTCATCTTGACCGCATTTATCCACTTTGTCTCTTTGAATTGGTTATAGTGCCTGGAGTGCCCTGGCACTGTCCCTCCATTCAGTGTTGCACCATGTTTGTGCAGTATGCCACAAAATAAGAGTCCCTTGCCACCCACAGTCCGGCCCCTTCTGTATGTGTAGCTAAGGCAGAGATTACACACTTCCTTGTTGTCATACCCATTCATACCGTCAGTTGGAGCTCTGACAGGTTAAAAGCAGTCAGCTGACACTCTCAGCCAATCACAGCTGCCCATTGCTGCTCAGGGTAACACTTCCTTATTAGCCAAAGCAGCACAGAGGGGATGGACTGCCGTGGTCTCTTGTTTAGCATTAAAACATTAAAAACTGTTTAATGCTGAAAGAAATGATGGCACCAGGGGACTCCATACACTATAACCAGTTTAATGAGATGAAGCAGATACAGTGCCTACGGTGTTAAGGGGATAATATACATTTGGGACATCCTGATGTGCTTCCCTACAATAAGAAACAGCACAACAGGGTGTGCACCCATTTAAAATTACTATTGAAGCTTTTATTTAAAAATATACAAATACAAGAAAAGAGGTGCCAAATATACATTTTCCATCAGTGATAAAGTCTGCACCGAGGTTTTCTTCAAAAACATGATCAGATAATCCAAACTCACACAAATGTTCACAGAAAGACCAATTTGGCTCTGCATTAGGGTGTTCCTATACACACCTGGCGCAGGAAAAATCATGACGAGACAAAAGAAATTTCACACTCCAGTGAAAATAAACAGAACGAAATGAAAACGTGATTACCTAGAGGGCTTCAAATGTCTTAAAGGACCACTCTAGGCACCCAGACCACTTCAGCTTAATGAAGTGGTCTGGCTGCCTGGTCCAGCTAGGCTTAACCCATTCTTTTATAAACATAGCAGTTTCAGAAACTGCTATGTTTATGAATGGGTTAAGCCTTCCTCCAATTCCTCTAGCAGCTGTCTCATTGAGGCGCTTGCATGCTTCTCACTGTGAAAATCACAATAAGAGCACGCAAGCGTCCATAGGAAAGCATTGATAATGCTTTCCTATGTGACCGGCTGCATGCGCGCGCAGCTCTTGCCACGCGTGCGCATTCAGCCACATGGGAGGAGAAGAGGAGAATCGGAGGAGGAGAGCTCCCCGCCCAGCGCTGGAAAAAGGTAAGTTTTTACTCCTTTCCCCCTTCCAGAGCCGGGCGGGAGGGGGTCCCTGAGGGTGGGGTACCCTCAGGGCACTATAGTGCCAGGAAAACGAGTATGTTTTCCTGGCACTATAGTAGTCCTTTAATGATAGTCTAGGCTGCATAGAGTAAGAGGAAGGGTAACTGAATAATAATGGTGGATTGTGATAAACAACAAATCCCCTGATACTTCTGTATCAAATAGTTCACTGGATACGATCTTGTGAAAAAAAAAGAAAGCTGTAGTCCCAGTATGTGGACAGGATACTTTTGCAACAGAGTAACCCCCTCTAAATATAGGAACAGACTAATTGTGCAAGACAGTAGGCTGTAGTGTAGAGCCTCTTTTGCTAGTCAATCACTGAGTCTCAGGGCTAGAATGCTATTCCCCTATGAACCCAGTCTAGGGGCTACATACATCAGCAGACAGAATCTAATCCCAAAATGGTCACATATCGAGTAGTACTTGCTCTATCTCTTAAAGGACCCCTATAGTGCCCTGAGGGTGCCCCCACCCTCAGGGTCCCACTCCCGTGGCGCTGAGGGGGGAGGAAGGGGTTAATCCCTTACCTTTTTTTTCCAGCGCTGGGACTCTCCTCCCTCTTCTTCCGTCATCGGCTGAATGCGCATGCACGGCTAGAGCCGTGCGCGCATTCAGCCAGTCCATAGGAAAGCATTCTCTTTCCTATGGATGCTGGCATCTTCTCACTGTGAAAATCACAGTGAGAAGCGCGGAAGCGTCTCTAGCGGCTCTCAATGAGACAGCCACTAGAGGCTGGATTAACCCTAAAGTAAACATAGCATTTTCTCTGAAACTGCTATGTTTACAGCAAAAAGGGTTAATCCTAGCTGGACCTGGCACAAAGACCACTTCATTAAGCTGAAGTGGTCTGGGTGCCTATAGTGGTCCTTTAACTAAATGCCTTAAGGAAGATCCTGCTGCCGTCCCTGCTCAGTGTTAATCAAGCTAAATAGATGTCTCGCTGACTGTCCCTATTAAACCATTAGAACGCTAGCCTTATAAAAAAGTAAACCCTCACCCATAAAGTGCTCAACATAAATAAAACGTGATGTGATTAAAGGCATTTCGGCGCTACTAAAGCGCCTTTATCAAAGGCAGTAACCCGTCTCTAACCTGGTGCTGTTTTTTATATGGACCGATGAGTTGGCTTGTTCCAATCCTTGCCGGTGGGCGGATGAAAATTCTTGTGCTTAAAAAATGGGGCGGAGTCAGGACCGTAGCCCTGAGGTTGCCGTGGGTGTACTCTAGTCTACAGGTCCGCCCACTGTAGGTGTGCCGGTCGGCGTGCCAATCATCATTATGTTGCCGCGCCCACTATAGGCATGCGTTTGCCTACTGGAATTTAGATTCCCCTACATGAGGAACTGCGCCTATTAACTCCTTACATTGGGGGTGGGGGTATGTTGTACTCCAAGCACCATAACCATTAAAGCACACTGTAGTGGTTATGGTGCCTGAAGTGTTCCTTGTGCTCCATTCTGTAAAATTTTGGTCAACTCTGTACATTTCCCATAAACTTTCCATGTTGCCTATAACATCCCAATCCATTCCCCTGTATATAAACCCATACTGACAGTAACCTCATCCTGTGCAGCCAATCGTTCTTCTACTCTGTGCAGTCCCCACATTAACCCTTTCCATGCAGCCAGTCATTTCCCATTTTAACTTATATAGTTCCATCCAGCCTACACACTGTGCAGCCCCAAATTGTTACACCCAGGTAGGGTCAAATACACTCCGTGGGCACACCATATGGTAATGTAACTTTTTATGGAGGCACTTTGAATTTATGATGCAATACTACTAAGTATTTTAGCGTATTTAATTATTACAAGTCAGTATGAGCAAGCACAGTGGATATAGCTACATTTGAGACTGTTTCAGACACAGTACAGAGAAAGAGGGACATACTGGAGTGAGATAAGACTTTGCGGAGGTACTACAGGGGCAGAATTCCCAAGTATTCAGCATATTTATTTAATGTAGAGGTGCGAACAAAGATAGGGTTTACTAGTTTACCTGAGAAAAAGTATGGATGGATGTAGGTACATGGATGTTTGTTCTGACTGGGTGGAGGCACAGTGCATCCAATTAAATATTTTAATGTATTTAAATATTTTAGGTAAGAAATATAGAGAATGTAGGTTTACCTGGGAGGGTTCAAGCACTTTATGGTGAGACATAGGCATACTGGAGCCAGATCTGGCTGGGAGGAGGCAGTTTAGGTACCACACTGTATTCCTATCAAGTATTTCTAATAGACTTGGAGATTCATTTTGGACAATACTGCAAACAATATTAAATACTGTGAATTATGCCACAGCAATGCAATGTACATTTTGTTGAGTCTTGAGTGTATCTATCCAGCTAAATATCTTTCCAAAGTGCCCTTGTCCCTTGTCTGACACCGTCCTAGGTTTACCTTTAGCCCCTTTATTTCTTCTTCACTGACCAACAATGATTAAATACGCTAGAATGACTTGATAGAAAAGCATAGTAATAACAGTTGTGACTGGGTGGAGGCACATGGAGCAGATCTCACTCCACTGGGCCTCTTCTGAACTGTGTCTGACACCGTGCTCCCACTGACCTAAATTAAATACACAAAACTAGGGTTGCAATCAAAACTTAGTGGTGCCTAGTGTCCTTCCACCTAGTCAGCTCTCTTGCCAACATACGTCTGAGACCCTTGCAAGTGTGCATATATCTACTCTCTGTTCTCACCAACCTACAATGATGGAATACAGCAAAACATTTGATTGGGATGCAATGTAATATCAGATTTTCTCACAATTCCTACACAAAGTAAGATTTCTCCCAATATATTAATGTGCCTACATATAGTATTTGAAATCCAGTGTCCCTGTATTCAAGACCAGTGTACCCACAGCCCTAAAATAATGAAGTATGTCAAAATTACTTTGTGCATGGCAAACGTAGGATGTGATTCCTGAATATCCATTCTCTCATATTCTTATCATAAATCAGGTTACATGTGAATGGTAATAGTGAAAAAGGGTCATCACAATAATTTATTAAGTCAATAAATGAATTGCTTTTTCGTGTTGTAGTTGGAAATGGGGAGGTGGGGGATGAGAATGTAAATGCGTGCTTACTGGCTGCACAGGAGGGATGTATTTCATGGCTTAAACTTGGAGTGAACAAAGAGTTAAAGGAACCCCTCAAACACCAAAAGAGTTCAAGCTCACTGTAGTGGTTTTGTTGCCAGAAAAGACCATACGCCCACTAAATTTTAAGAAAGCAAACTGTTTTAGAATGACCACCACTCCCTGCCTCCATTACTTCAGACAGAGAGCGAAAAATTGTGTGCACGAAGTTTAAAAGTGCAGGGCTTTGCTCACTGGCTGAGAGCCACCTGGTGACAATCTCAGCAAATGAGCCCGTTTAGCAAAGTACAGCTAATGGAAGCTCCTGCTTAGGAGCTCTAGGTCTCCATCATAGTAAAGACCGCAAACAGTTACCTTCTTAAACAGCTTGACTACATACAATGGTAAAGGGCCACAGGGCACACTGCAGTCATTATGGTACTGGGAGTGCTCATTAAATACCAGCAAAGGGCACACAATTATCCCAAAGTCCTGTCTCAGTTGGAGTCCGCAAGGATCTGTTCTCAGCCTGCTTCTGTTCTCTCTTTATACTGCCTCTCTCTGCAAACTCATTCATTCCTTTGGATTCTGCTACCACCCGTATGCCGATGACACCCAGATGTATATCTCTCCTTCCCTGTCTTCTCCCCCGCTGTCCTACAACGCGTAACGCTTGCCTTCAACCTCCGCTTGGATGACCCCCCCACTTTCTGAAACAATCTCTCTAAAAACAGAGCTTCTTATTTTTCCTCCTCAAAATGCTGATCTTCCTCATTCACTTTCCCTGCAAGTTGGATTAGTCCATCCTTGTAAGCTTGTTGTTATTCTGGCCTGACCTTATGCGCTGCATATCCAGTATGTTGCTAAAACCTGTCAATTCCACCTAAAAAACACTGCCCTCATTAGCCCTTTTCTTATGCAAGATGCAGTCAAGGAGCCTGTTCATGCTCTGGTAATCTCTCATGGAGATTGCTGTAACTCTCTCCTAGTTGGTCTCCCCAGAACCCAAACTGCCCTTCTACAATCAGTAATGAATGCTGCTGCAAGACTGATCTTTATTTCCTGTCGCTCCTCCAATAGCTCGCCCCTCTGTCGAACCTTACACTGACTTCCTGTATCTTATAGGTGTCATTTCAAAATACTAACCCTTACCTATAAAGCCCTAAACAGCTCTAGTCCGTTACATTTCTTCACAGATAGGCAGGTGCCTTCTGGATCTCTCCACTGGTGACCTTCTCCTGTCCGCTGCTCACACACCTACTGCTAATTTGCGCTTGCAGAACTTTTCACGTGTGGCTCGTTTCCTTTGGAACACCCTGCCTAACCTATCAAACTCTCCCCTACTTTTTAATTGTTTAAGAAGTCCCTCAAAACCCATCTGTTCAGAATTGTTTATGGCCTCCCAGAGTAACATATATGTCACATATCGGTCTCTTGCTGTCTCTTAAAGAGCCACACTGTTTTTATACTCCACTCCTCTAGACTGTAAGCTTGCTTGAGCAGGATCCTCATCTACCTATTGTTTCTGTAACATTTTGTAAATGTCTCATTTAGTGTTAAATATCTACCCCCCCATTCATAATATTGTAAAGCACTGCGGAATAAGTAAATACCAATAATATTATTTACATATATATATTTGCTTAAAAAGTGCAAATAGTGTAAAACAGAACTGAAGGCAGGAAAGCACTAACTCCATGGACATATAATCTGAGCTATAATAACTCCATGGACATATAATCTGGGATATAATAACTCCATGGACATATAATCTGGGATATAATAACTCCATGGACATATACTCTGAGCTATAATAACTCCATGGACATATAATCTGAGCTATAATAACTCCATGGACATATAATCTGAGCTATAATAATTCCATGGACATATAATCTGAGCTATAATAACTCCATGGACATATAATCTGAGATATAATAACTCCAGGGACATATAATCTGAGATATAATAACTCCATGGACATATAATCTGAGCTATAATAACTCCATGGACATATAATCTGAGATATAATAATTCCAGGGACATATAATCTGAGATATAATAACTCCATGGACATATAATCTGAGATATAATAACTCCATGGACATATAATCTGAGATATAATAACTCCATGGACATATAATCTGAGCTATAATAACTCCATGGACATATAATCTGAGATATAATAACTCCATGGACATATAATCTGAGCTATAATAACTCCATGGACATATAATCTGAGCTATAATAACTCCATGGACATATAATCTGAGATATAATAACTCCATGGACATATAATCTGAGATATAATAATTCCAGGGACATATAATCTGAGATATAATAACTCCATGGACATATAATCTGAGATATAATAACTCCATGGACATATAATCTGGGATATAATATCTGTTTGTAGATAGTAAGTACCTGCACTCAAAATAAATATTACTAGAAGAACATGCTCCTAACAAATATCCTAAAATAAAGGTCAATCATTTTTTTTTCAGAAGGAATGAACGAACCTACCATTTAGTCCCGGGCACTGCGCATGCGTTAACAGGAGCCCCTGCTACAGAGATCACGTGACCCGCTAAACAGCGCAGGGAACGAGGAAACCGAAGCTTTGGTGACAACGTTGCGCATGCGCTGCCACGTAACACCGCCCACTCCCTAAGGTAAACACCGCTTGCGTCACCGCTTCCTGTTCGAGCGCGCAAGTATGTAAACGTCGGCTAACCCTGGGTCCTAAAGCCGGTGGATTAAGCAAACCCGCGCACGATATGTGCTTCGCTAGTGTTAAATGCTGTCCGTTTAGCAAATAATAAAACCGCAACCACTCTGGAGAAACATCCCCAATACAAAGCTTATAATGAGCTGTGTTTGTCAACAATCACTGTTAAACCAAAACAATGGCGTCGCATGCAGTCCGGCGACATGCTGTGACAGGGTGCGCGCTCTCTAGCGCTTCTAACGGTCTACAGGCCGCAATGGTGTTTTCCTTTTGAAATCGACGAGGAGCCAATCAGACACAGCTTTCTCTCCAGTCCCGTTACCTGAGCTCGGGAGGGTTTTTTTTTTCTTTTTTTTTTTCATTATTAACTTTATAGTTAAAGTGACAAAGCGACAATATTAACACTGGAGAAGTAGCTCACGTTTAACGGACCGAATGGGTTGATGGCTGGATATGTGACAACGACATGGCGTGGGACAAACAGGTCAGTGACAGCGGGTCACTGCAGAGGGTGGATATAGTACGTGTCCATTGTCCAGGTGCCATCACTGTCATTGTACTCAGGCTGTACATACACAGCCCCCCCCCCCCCACATATTGCCCTGATGGGTCCCTGAATGTCCTCCATAAAGCCCTGGCCCTCTCCTTACAGCATGTCATGCAGGGAGCATGGAGAGGGCCAGGGCTTGTGACCTGCTCCCATAATCTGCAGCAGGAAATGGGTGAAGGGAAGGTAGGGCTGGAGAGTCTGCCAGCCAGCATACTATGACACCATAACTACCATAACCACTGAGCCAGTGTGAAGCCCACACCTATCAGTCATAACCCCCATTGTGACACTCTGTCCCTCCTGGGTACACTCACTGTCCTTCCTAGCATGGGAAATGAGTGATTGGGCATTACTCAGCATGGAAGGTCTGTGCTGGGGGAAAAGGGAAGGGCTTCCAGTAGCTGCAGACACTAGATCTGCAGCTAGTGTAAGCGAGGTTTTATATACACACAAAGGAACATCCTGTTGAAGTGTTCCTTTAATAATTATTATTTATATAGCGCCAACAAATTCTGTAGCGCTGTACAATTTAAACCCCTGGACATATTGCTTTAGGTGGCTGCAAGGGTACTCCTGTCACTATAACCATCAAACAAATTGTACAAACATTATTGCCATCCTTTTCTTAATTTTCTAGGCACCCATTCCATGCACTCTGTTGTCCATTTCCCTACATTCTAACAAAATTGTGTCTTCGTGTAATGGGAAATTAAGCCACAAACAGTTTATATAGGTGCTTATGTACTACGTTTACAATGATGTTCAGCCAGAAAATTGCTCAATATACCCCTCCGCTACATATATCCTACTCTATCCAACAATTCCTTAATACACTCCAACTCCTTATCGCCACTTCCCTTCAACCAATAACTCCATACTATTATTATTATTATTATTATTGTCATTTATATTGCGCCAACAGATTCCATAGCGCTTTACAATATTAAAAGAGGGGGGATTTAAGTATAACTAGGACAATTACAAGAAAACTTTCAGGAACGATAGGTTGAAGAGGACCATGCTCAAACGAGCTTACATATCCCTCATTACACACAAATCCAGTACTCCAAATTGCCCTTTACTTAATGAGAAAATATCAAAATAAATAAAAATTAAAATGTTTGTGATTTTTTTTTTAATACATTTATTCAGTTATTTTATAATTTTTTTTTTTGCACTGAAACTGTCTCCCATTGGTGATAGAGCACTCATTCTAAAAATTGTCTTGTGTGCATTATTGCTTATATAATATGTTTGCTCAAACTTGGCGTCAAATTATCTTCACTGCCATACTGTATAGGTTTGAGCTGTAAAAGTTCAGTTGAAGCATATAATCATGCACGTTGGTGACCCTATGCCACACTCTACACTGTGGATCAGTTCTTTGTGAAGTGATTGCTTTCTAATGTCTTTTGCAAACGTCTGTTACATGTCATCTTTTGCCTTTAATGCATTTACTAGTTTTTTGGACCATGTAATTGTCCTGATTGTGTGGTAGCTCCGTCCAGTGTCTAGACGTGTCACATGTAGGATAAATGTTTATACTTTTTCTTATGTTTTTAGTTATGAACAGATGTAAAAAAAAGAAAAACAGAGGAGGAGAAGAGAAAGCAACTGGGCAATTTTTTTAGTAGATATAACCACAAAGAATATATGCATGCATGTATTAATTGGGTTATATTTTAAAGGACCACTATAGTGCCAGGAAAACATACTCGTTTTCCTGGCACTATAGTGCCCTGAGGGTGCCCCCACCCTCAGGGACCCCCTCCCGCCCGGCTCTGGAAGGGGAAAGGGGTAAAAACTTACCTTTTTCCAGCGCTGGGCGGGGAGCTCTCCTCCTCCGATCCTCCTTCTCTCCTCCCCGTCGGCTGAATGCGCACGCGCGGCAAGAGCTGCGCGCGCATTCAGCCAGTCACATAGGAAAGCATTCATAATGCTTTCCTATGGACGCTGGCGTGCTCTCACTGTGAAAAATCACAGTGAGAAGCACGCAAGCGCCTCTAGTGGCTGTCAATGAGACAGCCACTAGAGGATTAGGGGGAAGGCTTAACCCATTCATAATTATAGCAGTTTCTCTGAAACTGCTATAATTATGAAAGAATGGGTTAACCCTAGAAGGACCTGGCACCCAGACCACTTCATTAAGCTGAAGTGGTCTGGGTGCCTAGAGTGGTCCTTTAAAAGAGCTTGCAAAATCTGCATTTCTTATGAAGTGCAACCTTGGCAAACATCCTTTTTCCCTGGGAGTCTCATTAAGAAGCCTCTAAAATTATGTCTTGTGCAAGTGTGCGTGTCTGCCTGTGCAATTGCACACACTTCATAGCGTTCAGAAAGACTGCTGCACTGATCTGTGGTCTGAAAATTAGGTATGCAGAGTGAGGCAGGCACAGAGCATCACTGTCACTTCCGTTAGCTCACGGAAGCAGACAGAAACCTCCCTTGCTGTTTTTTTGACAGGCATGGAGTTCAATAATTTACTTATAAAAGTGCTGATTTCTCATAGAAATTGGCACTTTAACAAAGTGTCTATTTAATGGGATACTTCTCACGCATAAAGCACTTCAACTTTACGGGTGTGGAGGGGTTCTTTAATTGTTATTAAGTGTGTTGTCTGCTTATGCTATTCTTGCCTCTGACACATCACACAGAACAAATATAATTAATTCTTCACAGGCCCCATCTGTCACTTCTTCAGTCGCCATTTTTCATTACCCCCCCCCCCAGAGAATTGGGCTTTTTTGGACTGATGGCTGGGGCATGTTGTGAAGAGCAGGGGCATCCTGCATGGATAAGTTTTAACTTGGTTTGTTTTATTTATATTAAAATGAAAAGAGAATGTAGTTTTAAAGGTAATCCACTGTATATCAGCATTATCCATACCTGTGATGGATTGATTTCATTCATGCTTAAAGGAACATTATGGGATCAGGAACACAAACATGTATTCCTGACCGTATAGTGTTAAAAAAACACCATGTAGTCCCCCTCTCCCCCCTTTGCCCCCCCTAAATATAGTAAAATCTTACTTTTAATGCCAGTCTGCTGCTGCTGACTCTGCCCCTGTTGAACTGAGGCAATCACAATGCTTTCCCATGGGAAAGCATTGGATTGGCTGAGCTTGTCAAGGAGGCAGATCAGGGGCAGAGCCAACACTAGCAAAACACAGCCCTGGCCGTCAGCATTTATCTTAATAGAGATGCATTGAATCAGTGCATCTCTATGAGGAAAGTTCAGTGTCTCCATGCAGAGGGTGTTGGCAGTGAATGTCAGTGCTGCATACTGTGCAGCACTGCTCCAGGAAGCACCTCTTGTAGCCATCTGAGGAGTGGCCAGTGGAGGTATCCCTAGGCTGTAATGTAAACACTATCTTTTCTCTGGAAAAAAAACAATGTTTACTGCAAAAAGCCTGAAGGGACTGATTATACTCACCAGAACAAATACAATAAGCTGTAGTTGTGACTGTAGTGTGCCTTTAATGTCTGTAATGCACTTCTCCGACAAACATCCTCCATAAAATTTGTATTTTCAAAAAGAAAGAAAGAATTAGCTTTGCATTCCAAGCAATTCTCACTTTGTTGTATAACCCTGACAGTGCTTTATGTCACTGGAAGGTAATAGTTGACCTTATCATGCAGGCTGGTCCTTAAATATTTTATTCACATTTTTAAAGCCTCCAGTCTCCATCTCCTCCCCCGTTGGCTTTCAAGGACTGAGCTTAAAATCGAGATTGAAAAAAGAAGCAAAAAGGGTGGTTATGATGTATTGTCAAAATACGTGGATCATAGCATATGAGCAGAAATCTCACTTTGACCATTTGTGAGTAAGCATCTCTTTACAAATTGCCATTCAGTGAGTGAGAGGCTGATGTTGAAGCTGAAGGGATGTTCATTCCATTCACATCCTTACACAATGCTAAAAGACTCTCTTGTCAATAGGATCAGTGACCGTATACTAGTATATGGTCCTGTTACGTCTCTGACACAATTAACAACGGGAGCTGAAGTGTAAAGCATTGTCTTGGCGTCTTGACCTGAGGCCACACCACTATTTTAGATGGTGCTGGAGACATGACCAGCACCATATGAAATAGAATGCAAAAAAAAGTAAAGGGTAAAGGGTTGCTCAACCATCATAACCATGACATTGTAGTGTTACTTACCCGATCTGCGAGATGGTTGAGGTCCTACGCTTGAGCAGCTCATTGCTTGAGTACTTCTGCATTCACATATGCTGTGCGCAGCTTGGTCACTTCTCATCCTGAGCGGGCCACGTGCGCCGACTTCAATGAATGGTCCACCTCAAATAATTAAGAGTGCTGCTCGCGTCGTTAGCACTCTCTTGAAGGAGCAATGGTAACCCCAGGTAGTTTCAGGCTCCCATTGGTCCACGACATTCCAGCGCCCCCATGCATGCATGTTTTGAGGGTGCAGGTTTGACGTGGACCAATCAAAAGGGACTTAAAGGTATTTAAACCTCCGTAGCCCTGTACATTGTGCCCTATTGTGTACCTGACTCAGGCTAGTTCTCGTTTTCGCTGTCTCTCTCTGTTATCCCGACCTCGGCTTGTTGCTGACTACGCTTTTTCTCTGTCTACGTTAAGTCTGACCATTCTAAGGTCTGTTTATATGTTATATCCTTGTTTTGTTCCTTGCTGTCCTGAACTCTGAGTGTTGGGGTATTACACTGTGACATACAGCCCATTATAGTGAATAAAGCTAAGAATACACTGGCACTCTTTTCCAGTAAATGGGCAACTGTTTGCCAGGGTCATTGCTGGGCACCAGGTCTTTTCTCCTGCTGGCGTACACCATTTGGCTTCTGCTGAGTTGCAGAAGCGGAGAGTTATTGGCAAAGAAAGACATTTAGCCAGCATGGAACTCTCGCTAGTTAGTTAGACACCCTCAATGATGCAGGCAGTAAAGGGGTTTTAACTGAGTGAGTGAATAATATGACCCTTTGCAACTTCCTGTACTGTTTTGAAAGCAGGGGGCGAAACTATGTTTTCAGCATACTTGCAGACATATTATTAACTAGTGGCTTCTGACAAGATATTCTTACCTACAGGCTGGTAATAATAACTATGAACAAGATTTCATTCAACAAATTACATGAATATAAAATCTTTGTACACTATAAGCAACAAAACAACCTTTTCTTAATAGAGTAATTCTTGTGTTTAGGTCATGCCCCTGCGGTCTATCTGCTCATTCTCTATCATTTAGGAGTTAAATCACTTTGTTTATGCAGCCCTAGTCTCTCCTCCCCTGCATGTGACATACATAGTCTCCTTATACATTTCCTGTAAGGAAAGAGCTAATGTTTACACTTTCTTTATTGCAGTCTGTTTAATTTAGAATTTCTTATCTCCTGCTTTTTTAATAGCCCACTAGAGCCGACAGGGGCCGCCGGTGTGTGATTTAATGTTCAATTAACAGAGCAGGAGATAAAAACCTAAGTAAGCAGTGCAGTTGAAACCATTTTTTGCCATGTTGGCTATGTTAGTCAACGCCAGTGGAGGTTTGGCTAGGGCTGCATAAACAGAAACAAAAGTGGTTTGACTCATGATCTATACACTAAAACTGCTCAATTAAGCTGAAATTGCTTTGGTGACTATAGTGTTCCTTAAAATGTGCTAACTTGAAAAACACTTCTCCCTGTAAACCCACATGAGATATAATTATACATTTTTATTAAATTTTTTTTTTTGCATTTTTACTGTTTTATCAGTGCGTGGCAGAAGGGAGTAAATTAAGAATGGATGCTTCAACCTCAAGGAAAACAGCACCAGAATGTTCAGAGCATTCTGCAGAACTTTGTAATAAGGCAGCTCCCAGTGAAAGGTGTGTGTGTGTGTGTGTGTGTGTGTGTGTGTGTGTGTGTGTGTGTGTGTGTTATGTTTTGTGTGTTTGTTTTGGAAACACTACCTTGTTTAATGGCATCCTAAGATTCTGTCATCCATAAATCATGTATATCTACTTTCAGGTAATTTAGATTTGCTCTATGCAATTTGTCCAAACAGTAAAGGGAGACTGCCATCACTATCAGTCTTCCCAGACCAGAGTGGAGACTGTAATCCTTATTATTTTGTTGTATGGTGCTTGTGTGGGGCACATCTGACACCTGCAGGATTAAAATAACATTACAAATTTTAAAAAAACGTATTCCGTTTTAACATTGGAGTGTTCCTTTTAATGCTATAGGAGACATTTTAGACAAGTGGCTGCTTCTAACTTTGTGGTAACAGTTTGGAGAAAGCCCTTTTTATGTTCCAGCATTACTGTATACCTTGAGAAATAGAAAAGTAAAATAGTGGTGCTAAAATCCAATAAAATGTACAATATAAAACCCAGTGCATCTAAAAAACACCCAAGTGCTCCTAATAACACTTACATAGACAATTGGATACAATGATAGGGTGATTTGCACACAGTGGTGAATGGTTTTCTTTGGTATTTAACCTAGATATTATAAACGTAAAAAACCCATCATAGGACAGTATGTTTATACAAGATAAAAAGTGAGAAATAACTTGAAACACTCACAGTATTTAGAGCCCATGTAAGTCGGCTCTAAACTATAATGGCATTGTCATCAATCCAATGTTGGTGCAGGAAAAAAGTACAGGTCTCCCGGAAGGTAGCGATATTTCTTTGGATAGGAATTCAGAAACCCGGATAAAAGGTAAGTTTCAAATGTTTTATTAGAGTAAAAAGTAGTAAAAACAGGCACAACACGTTTCGACCTTTCAATAGGTTTTCCTATATAGATGATATAAAGCACTATAGGCACTCAGACCACTTCATCTCAATGGAGTAGTCTGGCTGAAGTATCCAGAAATGGTTTCAATGTAAGGCTAAACAAACTTCTAGTGGTCGTCTTCCTGACATCCCACTAGATGGTGCTTTTGCTATTAGAACCGAGCCAGATTTGGTTCTTTCACATAACCACCTCTGATGCGTCTCATAGGGAGCATTTGATTGGCCTGCTGCACTTCTCATCCACAATGCTTCTCTATGATAAACATTGGATGGGACGAGAAGTCAGAAAATGTAAGCATACTTGGTTACGAAAAGTAGGTGGAGAAGGCCTCCTTATAGTCCTTTCATGTAGTCCTGAAATCAAATCAAGATTATTTTTGTTAATGTAGGTTTTATTTAATGTTTTCTTACATACATTTTGCATTGGCATGCATGAAAAATGTATAGATAACTTATGTAGGTTTTTGTATGTTCTTGTCACAAATAGAAAAAAAATCTTGTTTTGGGTGATTGAAGCAAACAACTAACCTAACAAGGATTTGTTTATTGCATTGTAAATTTGCTGGTTTTAATTAAATAATATTTTTACTTTATTATAGAATATCAAATAACAGTGGCACAGTCACCCCAGAGAAATGTTCACCACCTTCTGCCCTGCAGACATCGTTAATAAGAGATTTCTGTGGCGGAGAGCAGACTGATCAAGAGCCAAGAAAGAACAGTGAGGTATTGAATACAAGAACTTTATTTGACTTTCAACATTGTATCATGTACACTCACATTTGAGTTTGTGAAGACAATGCACTGCACAGAACATTATGTTTGAGCATGGAGATTTAAAATATGTTCTCTGTAACCTAATAGTTGACCAGAAACCATATGAAAAAAGGAAAATAATAATAACTAGAAAAGCTACAATTTCTGGGGAAATTGTGTGAAGTGTTCTTGCCTCCACCAGTAGTCTACAACTGGAGTGGGCGGCGTAACTGTTATCATTTATATAGCACATTTAATTGCAACGTTGTTGCACAGTTACATTAAACCATACATTTATAAAAACATTAGCAGGTGTTCAAAAGGCCCTGTCTATGACATCACTTGCTGCTGCAGCTTGACACAGGTCAGAGTATTTTGGTGGCTGCCATCTTCAAACGGTCGTATCTTAAAAACTATAACTCCTACAGTGAAGAGCTTTATATTGTGAGAATCACAAGACCCAGACCTACATTTTGATGCATAGTATGTCTCTGAAGTATTAAAATTGAAGGCACAGTCGCAGTTTAGAAATTGCACTTCAAATTTGAGCTTTGTAGAGGGAAGTTTCAATGAAGTTTCAAGCTGAAAAATCAGGACATGATTTCTAAACTGCCACCACTCCCTCATTTTCAGGTCCACCTACACAAATCTTATATCAAAACGTTCAGCTATCCCTGCTGCCACTAAACATGTCAACGGCTAAGCCATAGTCCTGATAGTTTTCACAATATAATAATTTGTTTGCAACTAACGCCGTCCATTGACTTTCATTGAAACTTCACTCTGCAAAGCTCAAATTTGAAGTGAAATTTCTAAACTGCGACTGTGCCTTCAATTTTAATACTTCAGAGACATACTATGCATCAAAATGATTCTCACAATATAAAGCTCTTCGCTGTAGGATTTATAGTTTTTAAAATACGACCGTTTGAAGATGGCAACCGCCAAAATACTCTGACCTCTGTCAAGCTGCAGCAGCAAGTGATGTCATAGACAAGGCCTTTTGAACACCTGCTAATGTTTTTATAAATGTATGGTTTAATGTAACTGTGCAACAACGTTGCAATTAAATGTGCTATATAAATGATAACAGTTACTACGCCCACTCCAGTTGTAGACTACAGGTGGAGGCAAGAACACTTCACACAATTTCCCCAGAAATTGTAGCTTTTCTAGTAATATATATGTGAGATAACAATAAGTGGTCTTGCTATGCAAGAACACTTAATAAAAAAGGATACATGTATTTTTATTGTTTTAAATGATATGTTGGTTGACAGATTGACACAAAGTGTAAAAATACATAAATAATACTCTGAAATAAACTCTGTCATGTAGAATTATAGTGATGAAATGTACTTGGATTACCCAATAGGTAGCCCTCCAGTTGTTGCTCTATCTCTGAAATTGAACACTTGAAAATGCATACATTTTAAGGTGATTTGTTTTATAAAGTATAGACTGGACAATAAGCAGGAAATGTCTTTCTGGTGTTGCTGACATTTTAAAGTTTTTGTAGTGTTAAAGTGACATCTTTTTGTTGTAGATTCAGTGGTTACAATTATTTCAGCTGGTTGAAAAACAATGTCAGGAGCAGATGGTTGCCCAACAGGAGCAATTTAATTGCCAGATCCAGGTCAGTGTGTCTCATTTTACAGGTTTAAAGGGTTTATAATGAAATGACCATAAATTAATTTTGTACATAGTGCTTTAAAAAAACAAACCAAAAAAAACACATACACCGTACCCACCCGCTGATTTCACTCCCTTTATTCACACTCACTAATCAGCATCTATCAGGCTAACAAATGTCTAAGGCTGGTCTTATAGAACACTCCCATGTAATAGGCCTAATGTGCGTCCGATTTGTGATTGTGGGACTTTACAGCAAACACAGTAACTGTTACCTCCTAAAATTCCTGACTAATGGGCTCACCCACCACAGCCTCTGGTCTGTTGGCTCAGCTGGCCCCTGTCACTGACTTATTGGGCCTAAGATGATACCTGGTGGTGACTGCTCCTGTCTACCTTTCAGCCCACTGCGTGGTTTTAGGGTTATATCCATAGGTTCATCCAAGGATCACACTATTGCATTCCCTATAATAGACCCTTTCATTTGGCTTATTATAATATAGAATAACATAGTGTTTAATATAAAATGATATAGTGTGTGCGCCCAAAATTTTGCATATTCCCTCCCCATCCAGCTGCTTTTGCTGAATGTCAGCACCCATCATATATAGTCAGCAGTTGTTTATTGATGATGGGAATTAAAATTCAGTCATGAGATGGGGGCTGTAATTTGTACCAGCATTCTCAACATAATGAAGATTATTAAAATGCCTTCCTCTGTTTTTTTTTTTTTGTAATCATACAGATATATTTGCCATCTCCTTTTAATGTTTTCTCTTGGAAGACTGAATCATATTGTTGGGGCAAGTTGCTGCAGGTTTTTGCGTGTGTGCTTGCAATGCATGTGTGTAAAATCAAAACCACCTATCCGTATCAGGTGTATACATGCACCTTATGAGATTGGCATGTGTCTTTAGGCAGTGTTAGTCAATATTTGTATGGTTAAGACTTGCATATGAGCAATATTCCTATCCTCCCCCTAATTACATTAACAAAACTATTTATTATTAATGGAAACCCTTTACCTAATCTAATAACAGCTGACTACCTCCCTCCTTTTACTTCATACAATATGCATGCATTCAATATGAGAGAGGCGGTTAAAAATCAACTGTCTAGTACTTGATCAGTTAAGTTTGTGCTGGTAGGTGAGCTGAAGAAAAAGTGTTTTTTTTTGTTTTTTTGTGCTGTTTGAGAATTAAACTGAAGGTAAGCAAAATGATCATATACATTATTTAAAACACAGTAGATAAAGATACATGATTTCTCCTGCCCGATTGTTGGAAAGGTTAATCTTTCTGCCTCGGTGGTTCAGTAATTGGGTCATCTGGCATGCAGTAGACTGTAAATTACATTTTGTTTTGTCTAGTTCTTTGCAGTTCCCTTTTAGGTTAGTGAAATCCTTATTTTACTTATGATTGTATAGAACTTAAAATAGCCAAGCAACAGCTAAACCTCTTATAGCTTTTGTTAAATATTTTGTAATGTTTGTCCATGTGTTCATCGATAATTAATTTTCCCCTCACATGAGTCGTAATTCAGTGTATTTCTCTTTGTAGGTCATACGTGATGAAATTAAGCATTTAATCCAGTTACAGAGTGGTGGATCTCCTCAGATAATTAGCACAGGAGATGCTAGTTTATCTATGGCAGGCAGTGCTAATCCTCGAACAATTCGTGGTGGGCCGCAATCAAGACACCAAGAGAACACGGACAAAATATCCAGATCATTATCTCATAATGGAGATGAAAAGCAACAGAAAGCTTTTATCACACAAGAGCAATTTGTAGAAAATACCTCGGTCAGCAGTGGCTATGGAACACATTCTGTCTCTGAGGCCAACACAGGTTTAAGCAGCTATAGCCAAAATACCTCAAGGGAGAGCCGACTACCTACACAACATACTTTCAAAGAAAGTAAGGCCCAGCCTTTGACTCACAACTTAATTCAGGCTCCTGAAGAAATTGTAAGGCATTTTATTCAAGGTTCAGGTAAACAATGGCAACTGTCACTTCATGATAACACTTCCAAAGATGCCACAATTACACCAGAACACACAAGAGACCACATATCATGTGATCAAAGTACATCCATTGAAAATGATGGATTAAATAGGTAAGTGAACGAAAATTGTTTAAAAAAAAAAGAACTGACATTTGTTCACAAGCCAATAATTTTTTTTAAACTTGCTATGGGTTATCATGCTTTTGATTTACTAAAAGGTCAGTTTTTAATTAATTATATACCTCAATTATTATTATGGCCTTTAATTTTGTGCAGATGCTAGTAGTATAGAAGTGCTATGAAAGTATGTTGTTTTTGTGTTTTCAATTGGCAGGTGTTAGAGTGAGAAATTGGTACTTCCATAATCCCATCTTGGTACAAAATATTGCCTCAGTGAATTTCAGGAAAAATGTATAAATAAAACGAATATAATAGGTTGATTCAAGGGAACGTAGGAATTATATGCTTTGCATGCTTTACCGCTCTGATGCAACTTTTGCACAAATATTGTCTGGGTAAAATAGACGGATAAATTGCTACGTCATGGTGTATTTGCATATTGTGTATTAAATGAACTACAATAATCTGTCTGGTATTGGAAAGGGCAGGTGTACACCTGTAATTGTGGTCACACTAATAGTGTTATTCACTAATGTGAGAGTTCTAATTCAAGGCCAGAGTAGCTGAACTGAAAACACAGCTGACTTCGGTTATTGTTTTTTTTTTTTGTTTTTTTTTGTTAAGCTATTTTGACCTTAATTTTACTCACTTTGAATTCTCAATTTAGTAAATATTGTAAGAATTGTGGGCGTGCACACATTTAAGGGCACCTGCTATGCCTATCGCTATATCACATTCAGGTGTAAGTTAAAATCTTTTTGTGAAAATACAATTATTAGTGCTATATCAAACACTGTGTAAATCTCAATATATATATATAGTATTGCTATTAAACATTTGCAGTGAAAACAAAATGCTGCTCTGTTAGTAGTGTCAAGTGCATTGTAGGTTAATGTGTGCCACCAACTACTGGTGAAAAGAAATTTACCACGGTTGAGTTTGCCATGCACCCTCCAGGCTTGCGGTGGATAGTAACTTTTAAAGTGGCTCTGTCACCTCCCCTTCTTGGGGAAAAAAGAGCATTTCACAAAAATAAAATCTTTATGAAATGCTCATAAAGACTGAAAATTTCACTGAAACTCCAACTCAGTCAAAAAATATGTATTTTTCTTATGTTTGACAAAAAGGTGGTCACTAGTGATGGCTGAGGTTAAAACACTATTATTCCTGGCATATGGTGGCAGTACAATAGGGATGCACTCTTCCCTGGGACAAGCATCTGAAATTAATATTAACATAAAAAGTTCTTCCCCCAACAGGTATAAGACACCAACCTGCCATGGACCCTCAGTTTTCTTTCTTGTTCTATGAGGAACGGATGACATCTGGATTTTCTGTGGTGAGGCTCATGGGTTGCTGCCTGGACCGGACTGGCCCACTGGGATACCGGGAAATTTCCCTGGGGGCTGCACAACTCTAACTCCCTATAGAGAGAAAGCCCTGCGGCCATTTTCAATAATATCCCGGACGCATGTAGGTGCCGTCTGGTGGCCGGTCCGGTGGTACACTCCGAGGGGGTTACCTTGCAGCCGGCGGCCCCATCTCATGTGTTGTATGACTGCTGTCAGTATCAATGAGTGGGCCGGGCGGCCTCCTAAATGGTACCTAGCAGTACAGCTGTCAGCGCAGGAGGACTGAGGGATGGGGCAGAGCTAACTACCATGCTCCCTCGCGGTTCCCACAATTCCCAGCACAGCCACATCATAGTGTGATTACTCTATGATGTATCAATGCTGGGAATTATGGGAACCCTGAGGGAGCATGGTAGTTAGCTCTGCCCCTCCCTCAGTCCCTCTGTGACAAGGTCAGCATCAGACACAGGGGGGGGGGGAGGGTGATAGAGAGACACAGGGGAATATGGACAAAGAGACAGAGGGGTAATAGAGAGACACAGGGGAAGGGGGACAAAGAGACAGAGGGGTAATACAGAGACACAGGGGAAGGGGGACAAAGAGAAATAGGGGTAATAGAGAGACACAGGGGAATAGAGACAGAGACAGAGGGGTAATACAGAGACACAGGGGAAGGGGGGACAAAGAGACAGAGGGTTCATAGAGATACAGAGGGGTAATAGAGAGACACAGGGGAAGAGAGGACTAAGATAGAGGGGTAATAGAGATACACAGGGGAAGAGGGGACAAAGAGACAGAGCAGTAATAGAATGACACAGGGGAAGAGGGGACTAAGAGACAGAGGGGTAAGCTAGAGACACAGGGAAAGGGGGACAAAGAGACAGAGGGGTAAGAGAGAGACACAGGGTGGAGTGGTGAGAAAGTGACACACCAATGGTTTGTTGGGGGGACAAAGAGACATACAGAAGGGAAGGGGAACAAAGTGACACACAAGGTTTGTGGGGGGAAAAACTGGTCTGGGGGGAAAAGAGACACAGAGTGACTGGGAGAAGAGAAAGAGGCACACAGAGTCTGGAGTTAGAAAAAGACACACAAAGGGGATTTGGAAGGGGAGAAAGAGACAAAGGGGCTGGGGCTAAGACATACCCAAAAGGGTCTGAGAAGGAAAGAGTCATACAGAGGCTGGAGAAGGGTAAAAAAGAAACACACAAGAGCTGGAATGAAGTAAAAGATACACTAGGGGAGCTAAAAGAGAATTACAAGGGTGGCTTGTTATCACAGAAGTGATTAAACATTCTGCTCGTGTCATGGGCTTGACATCGGTGGTCTGGACAGTTGACATGGCCTCAAAGTCTGCACTTTGTGAACTTCCTTTGGAAAAGAAGAAATTATTTGGTTCTCCTTTAGAAGAATTAATCCGACAGATGTCGGAAACCAAAAAAGCTCTTCCTCAGGACAGGAAGTATACCTGGAAGCCCAGATACAAAATCTTCCAGCACAAGAACCGAAGGGGGTATCAAGTAACCCAGGTTTTTTTCATCAACAAAGGAACGATCCAAGGTTTGACCCACATAAAGACATCAAAACTGAGAGAGCAAAAAGATTCTGACGCCATACGAGTGGGTGGACAGATACAACAATTTGCTCACAGATGGAGAGAAACCACTGCAAAACTGTGGATTTTGAATCTGGTTGCAAAATGATACAAAATAAAGTTCTTAGATGTACCATGACCAGGTTTCCTTATCTCCTCCTACCATTTAAAGCTAAAAAAACAAGCTCTCTTGTTCGCTACGGTTACACTTTTTTTTTAATTTTATTTTTTTTAAAGAAAGGTTTTATCGATAGAGTTCCAAGAGCCAAGCTATATCAGAGTGTCTACTCTTGGTTGTTCCTGCTCCCAAAACCCATTATATTCTTTCGCCATATTTTGGAACTGAAAGAGATAAACAACTATATTCCATATCAGCATTTCAGAATGGAAACTATCACGTCAGTCACTCGTATCCTTCAAAAATGAGATGTTATGGCAACATTGTATTTGAAAGATGCCTACCTACACGTACCTATGGATGTAGGCTCAAGAAAGTACCTGCGATTTGCCATAAGAAAGGGTTTCAAGGTTCATCACTTTCAATTCAAAACCCTTCCATTCAGCTCCCAGGATATTTACAAAGGTTCTAACGCCTATCACAGCGTTCTTAAGGGAACAAGGAATCACAGTTATTCCATACTTTGACAACTGGTTAATTATGCAAAGTCAAGAGACACTTTAGATACAGATATGGATTACACCATCAAAATCCTAGAAGAACATGGTTGGGTAATAAACCTAGAAAAATCGAATAATCATCCTACAAAGTCAATTCAGTTTCTAGGTTTCTTAATCAAGTCAGACTCTCTTGCTATCCACCTTATGCGGCGAGTAGAAGAAGGATAGAGAAGCGGATAAAAGAATTTCAGAGAGAACCAAAAGGCTCTGTAAGAAAAGCTATGCAGGTGTTGGGATACCTCACTTCCACTATCCCAGCAGTAAAATGAACCAGAGGAGAATTAAGGCCTTTACAATGGGAAATGTTTACAAAGTGGTCAAAGAAAGAATAAGACTTGGATACCTTGGATAAATATTTCAGATTCTGTAAAAAGGCAACTGAATTGGTGGGAAAGGACCAGATTCATGTCAGAAGGTCTATCCTTTTGACCAAAAGGATGGGTCATAATCACCACAGACGCTTTGAATAAAGGTTGGGGAGCACACCTGCGGTGTCATTTCAGGCAAGGAACGTGGTCCACAGAAGAAAAAAGGGAATTTGTTGTGTATGCTCTTCATCAGTTCAGGCCTCTCATTGTGTGTGGAAAGCAGTGAACATTCAGTCAGACAGCCAGACTACGGTGACTTACCTGAACAAACAAGGGGGTACAAGGATAAGAAAGTTGCACACGACTTGTGTCCTGGGATCAAAGTCATCTAAAAGACCTATTCGTTACTCCTATAAGCGGGATAGACAACATTATTGCAGACGACCTGAACAGATTGAGATGGTCCCAGAACGAGTGGTCTCTAAATCCAGTCATTTTTTATCAGCTGGTGAAAATATTCGGTCTACCTGTCATAGATCTTATGGCGAGAAGGTCGAACACAAAGCTGCAAGCATATGGCTCCCTCTTCAAGGCAGACGTGCGTCTGGTTCAGGAGGGGCTGTTAATCAAGCGGGACATCAGCCTTGGATACATATTTCCCCCGGTGAGCCTTATTCCAAGAGTTTTGCAAAAGGTGAAGACAGAAAAGACAATGGTACTGGCCATAATCCCATACTGGCCAAATCGGAGCTGGTTCTCGGCTTTTGATGACAATGGTTTTAAATTACTGAGAACTTCCGGTTTCAACAGAGCTCCTGGAGAATGAAGGGATTCCAGTAGAGATATTGAAGATGTTCAAATTGACGGCTTGGCTGTTGCATGGCTAATCCTACATAACAGGGGCATTAAGAAAGAGAAATTCAAGATACTGCTGCATTCTACCAGAATATCTACCTCTGCTATCTACTTGAAGATTTGGACAAAATTCCTTCATTGGTGCATCTCTCATCATTGCCTAAGAAATCCTCCTTCTACAGATACAATCCTGCATTTTCTTCAAGACGGCCTTCAAGCAGGTCTTAATTTGTCTTCCCTTAAAGTTCAAGTTTCTGCTCTGAGCCACTTTTTGGTAACGAACTTAGCTTCAAATCTTCTTGTTAGATTTTTTTTTTTTTTTCTTGGTACCTGTCTTTAGTATTGAAGGCTTGTACCCTGCCTTTTGAACCTTTGGTGAAATCTTCCTTAAAGTTCTTGTCTCTAAAAACTGCCTTTTTGGTGGCTATAACTTCTGCTAAGAGAATAGGTGGCGTTTGGGCTTTTTCATCTTCTTCTGAATTTACAAAGATTCTTCCAGACAAGGTTGTTCTTTATCCAAAACTATATTGTCCAAAACCATCACTCAGCCCCTCATTGTGTCCCTTAGGCTCCTCCTCCAGCCCCTTCATGTGTCCCATTCCCTCTCCCCTTAGCACCTCCATGTTTCTCATAATCTCCTCCCTCCCAGCCCCTCAATGTGTCCCATTTCTCCTTCTCCCCTCCCTGTGTCCCAAACCTTCCCCCTCTCCCCGTTCCCCTCTCTGTGTCCCATACTGCCCTCTGTCCCCCTCCCTTCTATATATCCCATACATACTCTACCTCATACCCCCCCTCTCTCCCCCTTTCCTCCATGTGTCCCATTGTTCCCTCTCTCCTCCTCCCCCCCATGTGTCCCATTGTTCCCTCTCTCCTCCTCCCACCTATGTGCCCCATTGTTCCCTCTCTCCCCCCTCCCCTCATGTGTCCCATTGTTCCCTCTCTCCCCCCTTGTGTCCCATTGTTCCCTCTCTCCCCCCTTGTGTCCCATTGTTCCCTCTCTCCCCCCATGTGTCCCATTGTTCCCTCTCTCCCCCATGTGTCCCATTGTTCCCTCTCTCTCCTCCATGTGTCCCATTGTTCTTTCTCTCCCCCCTCCTCTCCCTGTGTACCATTTCTCCCTCTCTTCCTCTCTCCCCCCTCCACTGCACGTGTCCCATACCCTCCATTTCTCCCCCCCTTCCCTCTAGGTGTTTAATACCCTCCATTTCTCCACTCCCATCTACCCTCCCTGTATCTCATACCCTCTCTCTCCTCCCCCTCCCCTCCTGTACCTTACTGGCCGCGGTTTCCCGTTCTGACAGAAAGTGCTCTAACAGTGAGCATTTCCCCGTCAGACCACTCGGCCATGCTACATACAGGCAAGTTGGGAGCAGCACAGTGCAGCTCTCTCTTCCTGCCAGACCTCCGGGAACCACGGACCCGGGCCCATACGGTATCCAGGCGGCCCACGGTCGCAGGGGTCGTGGTACGCCAGCGGTGGCAGTACATCAACCACCCCTCCCCCCCCATGAATAAATTTCATATTTTTGCAGTATTAAGTCTCTGATGTTCTATTGGGACGTACTGAGGGTCCATGGCAGGTTGGTGTCTTATACCTGTTGGGGGAGAAACTTTTATGTTAAATTTAATTTCAGATGCTTGTCCCAGCGAAGAGTACATCCCTATTGTACTGCCATCATATTCAGGAAAAAGGAGATTAAAATTTGCAGTTTTCTCTAGGTTTCGAAATACACCAAGAACCTAGAAGATCACCAGAAAAACTACAGTTTAATGTAGTTGTTCTGGTGTCTACTGCCTGTCCATGCAGGCTTTTTAATGTAAACACTGCCTTTTCAGAGAAAGATTAGGTTAAGATTAGAACAAACAAAACATTTTAAGAAAAATTTTGTTATAATATATACATTTTATACTCCCCTAAATATGTTAACTCTGAATAAATGAAGCCTTTGCAGTAGTAGAAATGCTTTATTGCTTGGATTGGCTGCAATCCTTAGTTTTGATGATCACAACCAAGGCGTTTCGTGGGAGGAGACCTGGCGCTGGAAAACAGGTAAGTAAAATCACCTTTTAATCGGGGGTAAGTGAGGGCCGGTCACCTAAACAGCTATTTAGACCTATAGTGTTTGGAATACGTTTGTTTTCCTGACACTATAGTGTTCCTTTTAAGTCTCGCTTGCCGCGTAGGACTTAACATTTTGATCCCTCTGTGCACAGCATGTTATGCTTACTTAAAAATATTTACTTCTAAATTTGTACTCTAGCAAACCATTAACAACCTGGGCTCAAAAGCTAAAAAATAATCATCATAAGAAAAGTAACCAAAAAGATCTGGTGTCTCCCCAAACTTCTCAGGCAAGAACAGAGGCTGAGACATTGAATCAGGTAAGCTTACAATGAAGTCTATCATTCATTTGTGTACTGTCTAGTTTTCATTATTTGTTCATAAAATGCAATCTATAAAGAAACCTGATTTTATTTTTTTGTGCAAAATCTATTGTATTATTAAAAATTTAAGATTAGAGCAAACAAAACATCTTAAACAAATTTAATTTTGTTAGTGTCATAAAAATATATCTTCTATACTCCCCTAAATATGAATAAATGAAGCCTTTGCAATAGTAGAAATACTTTATTGCTCTCCAGCTTAAATCTGTAAATATTACAGAATCTTAAATATTATAACACTAAAGCATTCATGTTCCTAAAACTATATTGTTCCTTTAAAGGACCACTCTAGGCACCCAGACCACTTCAGCTTAATGGAGTGGTCTGGGTGCCAGGTCCAGCTAGGGTTAACCCATTTTTTTAATAAACATAGCAGTTTCAGAGAAACTGCTATGTTTGTAAATGGGTTAATCCTTCCTCCAATTCCTCTAGTGGCTGTCTCATTGACAGCCGCTAGAGGCGCCTGCGTGATTCTCACTGTGAAAATCACAGTGAGAGCACGCAAGCGTCCATAGGAAAGCATTGTGAATGCTTTCCTATGAGATCGGCTGAATGCGCGCGCAGCCAGCCGAGTGGGAGGAGAAGGAGGATTGGAGGAGGAGAGCGCCCCGCCCAGCGCTGGAAAAAGGTAAGTTTTAAACCCTTTCCTCTCCCCGGGCGGGAGGGGGACCCTGAGGGTGGGGGACCCTCAGGGCACTATAGTGCCAGGAAAGCGAGTATGTTTTCCTGGCACTATAGTGGTCCTTTAATTCTCCACTGAATATTTACATGCATATGAAGAATGTGCACCAAAATACTAAAGGGCCTCCCTAGACTGCTAAAGTGCTTAAAGGGACACTGTAGTCACCAGAACCACTACAACTTATTGTATTTGTTCTGACATTCAGTGTCTCCACCCTCTGCATGGGGACAGTGAACTTTCTTCATAGAGATGCATTGATTTAATGCATCTCTACGAGTAGATGCTGATTGGCCAGAGTAATGTCTGGCTCTGCCCCTGGCTTACCTTTTTGGCTGAGATCATCAGAATTGAGAATCTCAGCCAACCCATTTCTTTCCTATGGAAAAGCATTGTGATTGTATGAGATATTATTATATTTAGAGGGGCCAGGGGGGCTAGATCGTGTTTTTAACTCTATAGAATCAGAATTACATATTTGCGTTTATAGAGTACAGAGTTCATACAGAGTTATTAATACAATACATCTCTATGAGTAGATGCTGACATTCAGTGTCTCCACCCTCTGCATGGAGACAGTGAACTTTCCTCATAGAGATGCATTGATTTAATGCATCTCTACGAGTAGATGCTGATTGGCCAGAGTAATGTCTGGCTCCGCCCCTGGCTTACATCTTTGGCTGAGATCATCAGAATTGAGAATCTCAGCCAACCCATTTCTTTCCTATGGAAAAGCATTGTGATTGTGATTGTATGAGATCATCACTTCTGACGATGTCAGCCAAGGAAGCAAATCAGGGAAAGAGCCTGCACTAGCAGACTAGAATAAATGTAAAATATTATTATATTTAGAGGGGTCAGGGGGGCTAGATTGTGTTTTTAACTCTATAGAATCAGAATTACATATTTGCGTTCCTGACCTTATATTGTTCCTTTAATGTGTGAAAGGTGTGTCCTCATTTTATAGAGTACAGAGTTCATAAGAAATTGGCCCTTTTATAAATAGAAATTGGCACATCGATAACTTAACCTTGTTACACCCCTCTGACTGTCAATTAGACAAATAATAAAATGCATGCATGGTTTCACTAGCGATTTATCTGCAAAACAATTATTATTATTTTTTTTTTTAAAGTTGTATATTTTTATTTTTATAGAACGAAAACACTGATGGTTTTTCAAACACATTTTATCTCAATAACCGCTCCGAGAGTACAAACTCCTTATTTTCTGCTGGGTCTGGTAAGTAAAACTATACAGTTAATTTTCTCCTTTCTTTGTACAGTAGAGTTAACTTATTTTTGGTCTGTAATTTACAATGGTGCACATCAAATGTAAACAAGGGAAAGTATACAGTTTTGTTTTTTTTAAATTATTATTCTAATCCCTTTCACACTTCAATGTGAAAACACTTAGTAGTTTGATTTCCATTTGGGAAATGTGTAGTTTGGTACAGAGCAAGTATTGATTACCATTGATGCTTGTGTTCTTATGGTGAAGGTATTTTGGATCTGCATTTAGTCACTAACATGAGTCAGAATGGCACTTTATCTGCGACACTGTCCCATCTAGTGGTTATTACAAATATGTAAAACACAATTTTTTTTTTAAGAGAGCGTAGATATTTAAAAATAATTTGTATTTAGGTGGAAGGCCATTATCTGCCACTAGAATTGCAAATAAAGTCCAGTTGATCTCAAACATGTTTTCCTCCCTCTCTCCTTTTTGTTTTTGTACTTTTGTTTATTAATCCAGGGCCCTTCCACAATACTGGCATGCACAGTTGTTATCCTATATTTAATTAACTGTTAATTTAGAGTTAGACGTGCCCAACACAGTGAGTATTTGGTGTGATTCTAAGGGGAAGGAAGTGTCTAATCGAGGTAATACAAATGCCGATCTTCTTGGGGTAATTTGTTTCATACATTGATGCTTTGAATGGTTCCATAGTGAGGAGGAGCTTTATTTTAGAATCTAAGAAGAGAAAACAATGTTGCCAAGTCCAAAATGAACTTAGAACAGAGAGATCAGTATGGGTGGTACCAGATCCACCCTGGGCTTGAACACTAGGAGTAATGCTGTATGGAGAGAAAAAAGGGGGAATCTCAAACCAGAGGAAAAGCTAAGGATTCCACTCTGGTAAAAAAAAATATCAAATTACAAATAATAATACAAAGCTAACTAATGTATTTACAATGACTTGGTATAATTTAAAGGGACACTGTAGTCACCAGAACTACAGCTTAATGTAGTTGTTCTGGTGAGTATAATAGTTTCCCTTCAGGCATTTTCATGTAAATACTGCATTTTCAGAGAAAAGGCAGTGTCTATATTGCCCCTAGGGAGACCTCCAATGGACCCTCCTTAGATGGCCACTGGAGGGGCTTCCTGCCTCAGGGCTGCACAGTAAGCAGCCCTGCCGATTAGCATCCCCACGCTCTACATGCAGACGCTGAATTGTCCTCATAGAGATGCATTGATTCAGTGCATCTCTATGAGGAGGTCCCGATTGGCCAAAACGACATTTGGCCCCGCTTTCTTAGCATAGAACACCCACAAAGGTGTTTCCTGGGAGCTGTAGCCTGTTAGGTCAGGAGTCAGATAGAAGCTGTCCTGTTGATGTATAGGAACTTAGAACACCCATGAAGGTGTTTTTTTAGGAGTCGTTGCTAATTGACTGAGCAGTCAGATAGACCAAAGTGATACTTTACCATTATATCACTCACATTATGTCTAAGTATCTCTAACGACTTTGTATTTTAAGCTCAGTAGGTGACCAAAACACATTTGTTTTATATAGTGAGATTGACCACTTCTTAAGTATCTTGTTTGGAGATTTCTCACAACAGCTTCTCCTTATTTTTCGCTTGTGCCGAACCCTCTTTCTCCCTACAATCCCCCCCTCCCACCCCCTTTTCTGTGTGATATAGCACGCTGTTTAGTGAATCATCCCCCTGTAGCACTTTATAGCAGTAGCAATACAGTATCTGGACGTTTCGATACAAGTACACATAGGGATTGCACTGTCAAGGCTTTTTCCAGGGGGTCTTTTACCCATATCTTTAGAGGTAACTGCTCAGTGCTAACTGGATAGGCACTGTGGATCATTTGTTTGTTTTCCACTGCTTTTATACAACACCAATGAATCCTGCAGTGCTTTACCTTTTTCATTTGGGCATATAACCACAAATAAGAAACAAACTAGCGGTATTACAAATGTTAACAGCACGTTCTTACCATGAACATTGACTTGTACCTGCTCTTGTTACTTTCAGTGTCCCAGTAATGGCATGGAGTAATGCTGTCTTTGAATCCAGTGCAAGCTGCACTTAAACACATGTACTTACTTATTCACTAAAGTGGGAATTAATGCTACACAAATATGCTGTTTAATTGTACAAGAGCACCAATAATGTAAATATGTTCCACTTTGTTTGTGTTTCATGATTGGTGTTCTATGTACACCATGGGGTACTACTGACTTTGACATGGAGATTTTGTATTCAGTATATTTCCACTGAAAGATGTTAATGCATTTGATAGCAAACCATTGTTAGGATTCTTGATTTTTTTTTTTTTGCCAGGAATAATTTTGTGCCATTTGATTGAGGAATGGGTAAAGGAGTCTAATGAGCTATGGTATATTTCTATATGTTGCTAGGTTTTACGTACTGGAAAATGGATGAGAAGGAGATGTACCACCCCTTACCAGAAAACTTTGGAAGGTTTTCTATCAAAGAGGTAATTTTCCATTAGTATTACATATCGGATTCTTCTTGGTTAAAATAAATCTGTCGTGTTTTATTATTTGAAATTAAAGTTGGTACATTGTCCTGACTTACTCATGCTCAAAGGTGGCTTCCGTTTTTAAATTGTCTTTTTAGAAGCACTGTTTAATAGACCAAAGATCTTGAAGATTACAGAGATCTAGTGTGTGTTGTGCTCAAACGACCAGCATTGCAAAATCTGTTCCGAATAGTTTTTTCCTGTTCATATTGCCCATGACTTGAAAATGGCACTCTCTGAACTAAACATATTCAAGCTCATTGTCCTTCCCTCTCCACAATTTTACTGTTAAAAACACTTTTCTTACTAGGAAGAGCCAGGGTAATTGTCACATGGCTAAGTTGGGAACTCTAGATGTGGGAGAATCCGAAGGCAAGGTCAAAGTCAAAAACAAGAAATATGTCAGAAGCATATTAACAGAGGGGTCCTATTTCCTCCCTACACCCCCAACTTTAAAATACAACCGCAATTTTTTAAAATGTATTTCGCACTAAGCAGTGTGTATGTATTTGAGCATGTTTTTGTATGGAGTATGTGTAAGTGAATGTTGGGTGTGTGTGTATGTGGTGTTGGTTTTGAATGCAGGCATGCATTTTTTATGTAGTGTGTTTTTTTTTAATGCAGTGGTGGGGTTTTTATGTAGTGTTGACTTTGAAATAAATTTGTGTGTCGTGTTGGTGAGATTCTGAGATGTATGCACATATACACATACACACTGACACACATGCAGATACATAGACACACAGTCACACACAGATACACATGCAGACACAGTGGCCACTCTAGGAACAATATATAGAGAGGGGTGGGGGCATGTAAGATACCACATTCAAAACTGGTGAAGGGGGGGCACTAAAACTTTTCACTAGGGGATGGGGTAATGTGCTGCCATTGCCTGTCTGATGCCAGCATGCAGTGCATGTCGCATCAGTCAACAAATTTGCATAGAGTTCACATTAGCCACCCAAATTTCTTGTTGTGGGCTGGCTGACACTTCTTAACCCATTAAGACCACAGGGCATTCTATGCCGTCCTTAATTGGCCGGCTCTAACGCCGCAGGGCGGCATAGAACGCCCTGGGCGGTCTTACCCCCCACGTGGCCAGCGGCACATGGCCGCTGCAGATCGCGGTCGGGGGGCATGCCTGGGGACCGCTGTCTGCAGCTTCTGCTCTGCTCAGTCAGGCTGCAGTCTGATCGCACTGACAGGCTGCCATAGCCTGTCAGTGTGATCAGTGTTACTATGTGTCAGCCTATTGGCTGACACATGTAACTGCAGCCATTAGCCCCCTACAGATCAGGTACTCCTCCTGTGGCCAATTACCGCGATCTGTAGGAGGTGATCACAGTGACAGCCAGTCACTGTGATCACTGTTAGTATGTGTCAGCCAATGATCTCAGATCACTGGCTGACACATTGTCTCTGCCCCTCTCCTCACCTCACTTCGATCTGAGAGAGAGAGGCAGAGAGATCGTTGCTTTTGCAGCTCCTGTGGAAAAACAAAGTTTTAAAAATTTTTTAAAGTTTTAAAATTTATATTTTATTTAACCCTTTCAGTGCTGATCACAGCATATTACTGTGATCAACCTGATTAGGGTATTTATTTATTATTATTTTTTTGGATCAAAAAAAATTATTTCTAAGTTTTTCGACCCTTTGTGTCAGTCGCAGCAACCCAAATCTCCATTACCCTTTCCCCGCTGCCGTGATCACTATACTGTACAGTATATCTGCTGTACAGTACTGTATCAGTGATCACTGTGATCAGAGGGCTCTCTGATCAGACTGACTTTTTTTTAGGGTTATTTTTATAGATCTAAAAATAACCCTTTCAGTGTACTGATTGCAGCTGCCTATACTGTGATCAGTACATTTATATTATTTTTTGAGGGCGGGTAGTAGGTGTTAGGCAGGTAGATAATTAATTACCACCTTAGTATATAAATTAATTAATTTGTCCCCCTAGAATGGCACGTCGCTACTCAGCCGAGGAGGCGTATGCCATTCTGGCAGGCAGTGATAGTGACACTCTGCAAGACAGTGACACTATCACTGCCTCTGACATTGAGCCTCTGAGTGAGACCTCAAGTGATGGTGCCCCACCACCACTCACAAGAGGACGCTCAGCAAGCCCAATGCCAGACGGAGACTGGGTGCCTCCAAACATGATGGCCCCAGAAATACCGCCGTTCACTGTTACACCTGGCATCACTGTAACAGTGGACGACTGCGAGCCAATTCGTTTTTTTGAGCTCTTTATGTCGGACGATATATTTGAGCTCATGGCTCAGCAAACAAATTTGTTTGCCATGCAGTATCTCTCTGCACATCCGGGGTCCCATCATGGTCGCAGGAATATGTGGAGACCCACGGATGTCGCAGAGATGAAGCGGTTTTGGGCTTTAACCCTAATGATGGGTATAGTTAAAAAGCCCAGTATCAGGTCCTACTGGAGCAAGCAACGCATCCTGGCTACCCCTCTTTTCCCTGAGGTTATGTTGAGGGATCGCTACCTGCAACTGCTGCGATTCCTTCATTTTAATGATAACTCACTGTGTCCCCCTAGAAACGACCCACTGTTTGGCTCTATAAAATTTGGCCCTTTATCCAACTCCTGTCAGACAAATTTTCTGAAAATTATGTCCCCGATAAAGATATTTCAATTGACGAGTCCCTTATGAAATTTAAAGGTCGACTGCTATTTAAGCAATATATTCCATCTAAGCGGTCCTGATATGGAGTTAAATTTTATAAATTATGCGAATCCTGTACTGGTTACACATGGGCGTTTCGCATTTACCAGGGGAAGGATAGCCATCTTGACCCACCAGGATGCCCTGATTTTGTGGGTACAAGTGGAAAGATTGTTTGGTATCTAATCCTTCCCTTGTTGCATAAGGGATATAGGCTATGGGTTGACAATTATTATACCAGTATAGAATTATTTAAAAATTTATATTGCTTTGAAACCCTAGCCTGTGGCACAGTGAGGAAGAATCACAGGGGTTTCCCCCAAGCCCTGGCAAGAGGCAGAAGCAGTAGAGGTTCCTCTTCAGCTCTCCGCCAGGATGAGTTGCTTGCTCTTCGCTTCAGTGATAGGAAAGATGTATACATGCTGTCTACGATGCACGACGAAAGTACAGTGCCAGTGTCTGTGAGAGGTAGCACTGAGCATCTGGAAAAGCCAAAGTGCATTGTAGACTACAGCAAGCTTATGGAGGGAGTAGACTTGGCTGACCAATGCATACAGTCCTATCTGGTGAACCGAAAAACTAGGACCTGGTACAAGAAAATTGCAATCTACGTGAGCCAGATTGCAATTTTCAATGCCTATGTCCTCTCTACAAAAGGGGTCATAGGTAGGCCCTGCCCTTTCCTCGAATTCACATTAAGCCTTTTGTCCCGTATATTATTTACCCAGCCCCCCAATCCCACTTTGGAATCAGGAGATCTCCAAAGACTTTGTGGCAAACACTTCCCTTCCCGAATCCCACCCAACCTTAGTAAAAAAAAGCTCCCCAAAGAAAGTGCAGTGTTTGCTACAAGAAAGGAGTCCGAAAGGACTCCAGTTATTATTGCCCAACCTGCCCATCTCTACCCGCCCTCTGCATAACAGACTGTTTCAAAGTCTACCATACAGAGCTGAACTTCTGAATCACTCTGTATGGTATTTTGGCAGTTTGTTTGCTTGATTTCCCTGGATTTCTGACCTCGGCTTGTCCTGACTACGCTTTGTAAGCTGCCTGTACCGACACATTAGCTTGTTTTACCGACTACTCTGACTTCTGGATTCCCCTGACCTTGGCCTGTCCCTGTTTACGCTAGCCATTCTAAAGTGGCTACACCAAACAACTCAAAATACTACATTTGTAGTACTTGAAATGTGACTTCCCAATAAAAAACTAATCACAGGGTTAATGCTGTGATTAGCACTGAAAGGGTTACAATTTTTTTTTTTTTTAACTTCTCAAACTTTTCACACCGTGACTCTCTATGTGATATCAAAGATCTCTCTGCCTTCAGATCAAAGTGTATGTGGGGGTACTGTTCTATTCATGTGATATAATAAAAACCTGGAAACATGGTACATGTGGGTACTGTTATATTCAAAAGACAGTGTTAAATCAAAATACCAAGTCTCTATTGCACTAACAAATATCAGGATTATGACATTTACAACGAAATTGTAATTTATCTGATTAAAAAGACAAAAATCAAAGTAGAAATCGCTACATGGGCCCAGCATTTCTGTTAAAATGGCTAGACCAAACATCTCAAATTATGCCATTTGTTATACTCTGGGGTGCCTACTTTTGAAAATGGTATGCCATAATGGTGGAAATGTTATTACCCAGGCTGCCATATTCTCTGTAAAGCCACATAGGCCCATAAAATCACTTTGTCAAATCTCCAACTTTGAAAAGGACATCTAATATTTTTGTCCCCGTGACTTCCCCCTCCAAAACAGAAAATCTAGTACATGGGGGTACTGTTACATTTAGGAGACAATGTTAAATACAAATAGTGAGTCTTTGTTGCAATAACCCATATCAGGAATATGAAATGTCCTGTGAAAAGTTCATGTGTGTGAAAAAGCACAAATAAAGCTATAACTGCTATGTGGGCCCTTCATTTCTGATAAAGTGATTAGACCAAACATCTTACAAGGCACCATTTCTTATACTCTGGGTTACCTACTTTTGGAAATGATATGCCATAATAGTGGAAATGTTATTACCCAGGCTGCCATGCTCTCTCAAATGCCCAGAAAATCACTTTGACAAATTTCAATGTAATAAAGCATAAATGGATAAGCCGTATATATGACCCTGTAACTTTCCAAAACCCCATAAAACACATACATGGGGGGTACCTTGGCGCTCGTGAGACATCACTGAACAGAACTAGGAGTGTTTCAGGGCAGTAAACTATGTACTAACAATAATAATATCAGTGAAAGTACAGTTTTTATATGAAAAATGCAAACAAAAAAAATGAACGCTAAATTTGGCTAGGGTTTGTGTCCAAGTGGCTACTACAAAAGACTGGGCATACCCCATTTTGAATACCCTGGGATGTCTAATTTTTCAAATGGTATGCCATGATGGGGGTAATTTTTATTTCTGCGCTGCCATACGGTCTCAAAGGCAACCTAGGCCACGCAAACCAATCTGTCAAATTTCTATGTAGAAAATAAAATAATGGACAAGCCGTATATTTGACCTTGTAACATTCCAAAACCCTATAAAACCTATACATGGGGGTACTGTTTTACTCGTGAGACATTTCTGAATACAAATATGTATGTTTTATTGCAGGAAAACCGAACAGTATTCTGACATTAACAGTTAAATTTCTATGCTGAAATTGAAAAATAACATTTCTTAAGTTCTTTTAAGTTTTTTTAGATTTTATTCATATAAAATGGAGTTCCATATATGAATGTTTGATATGAAATGAAAGCTCTGTTTCCTGTGAACAAAATGATATATATAATAAGTGTGGGTGCACTTAGTATGAAAGAGGTAAATTATTGTTGAACAGACTTATAGTAAAATTCTGTGGTTTGTTTAAAAAAATTTGAATCACAACTTGTACATTTGGCTGCAGTCTTAAGGGGTTAAATGTGATCTTTGTTTATCAGATAACTCTACTATTTGTTATCCTTATGTGGGATTGCCATATTTAAGGATACCAAATAAGGGAGCTATCTGCTAAACAGCACCCTAATTTGGATTCTTTAAATATGGAAATTTAGGGAATTATCTACTAAACAGTTAAAAGACAAAGAATCTTTATTTTTTATTTTTTTTAAAAAGCACTTTTCTTTTATTTGTTTAGTAGATAACTCCCTTATTTGTTATGCTTATGTGGGATTGCAATATTTAAGGACACCAAATAAGGGAGCTATCTACTTAACACATACACATTTATATATACACACACACACAATAACACTACTACACAAAGATCTACTTGAATTTTGCCAAGGCATTTGATACGGTTCCTCACAATAGATTAGTCTTCAAACTAAAATAAATTGGTCTAGATGAATATTCTTGTTCTGGGATAAAACACTGGATTATGGATAGAGTACAATGAGTTGTCATTAATGGTACAGTTTCAAGCTGGACAAAAGTGGTAAGTGGTGTCCCTCAGGGTTCTGTTTTGGGACCACTTCTATTTAACATATTTATAAATGATCTTGAAATAGGCCTTGAAAGTCATGTATCAGTGTTTGCAGATGACACAACTTTGTAAAGTAATAAAATGTGAGCAGGATATCGCCTTGCTGCAGAGGGATTTGGATAGATTGGGGGACTGAGCACTAAAATGGGAGATGAAATTTAATGTAGAGAAATGCAAAGTTATGCACTTCGGGGTTATGAATGCACAATCAATTTACACCCTAAATGGTAGTGAACTAGGGATAACCACACATGAGAAGGATTTGGGAATTGTTATAGACAACAAATTAGGCAGCAATATGCAATGTCAATCTGCAGTTGCTAAGAATAGGGGTATAAATTCTCAGGATGAAAATATAATTTTGCTCTTTATAAATCTCTGGTAACACCACACCTTGAATATGCGGTGCCTTTTTGGGCACCTGTTCTAAAGAAGGATCTCATGGCACTAGAAAATGTGCCGAGACGGGCTGCAAAATTGATAAAAGGAATGGAGCATTTTAGTTACGAGGAAAGGTTAAAAAATTTAATCTCTTAAATTTGGAAAAACGTCAAATCAGAGGGGATATGATAACATTATACAAATATATTCAGGGCCAGTACAAACCATTATCTGGAAATCTATTCATGAAGAGGGCTATTCATAGGACATGAGGTCACACATTTAGGCTGTATGAAGGCGATTTAATGTAAGGCAAAGAAAAGTGTTTTTTGTTTCTTTGTTTGTTTGTTTTTGTTTTGTTTTTTCAGTAAGAACTATAAGGATATGGAATTCTCTGCCTGAATAGGGTGGTTTTATCAGAGTCCATACAGATGTTTAAACAGCAATTGAATAAATACTTCCAAAAACATAACATACAGGGATATAATTTCTAATTAGTGGGATAACAGCTGCTTGATCCCAGGAGATATCTGACTGCAATCATTTTGGGGTCAAGAAGGAATTTTTTCCTAGTTTGTTGAAAAATTGGAAGCGCTTCAGACTGGGTTTTTTGCCTTCTTTTGGATCAACAGCAAAAAACAAATGTGAGGAAGGCTGAACTTGATGGACACAAGTTTCTTTTCAGCTATATAACTATGTAACACAATAGGTGTATATCTGTGGTTGTGTGTATGTATATGTGTGTATATATAATATATACACACACACACACAATACGATGGGAGTTTTGCACTTCAGCTCTCCTCCAAATCATGGCCCGGTGCTCAGCTGCACACAAATACAGTCCCAAAAAAGAAAGCCAGCACTCAAGGACTTTAACATGGAAAAAATAGGCATTTAATCCAAGTGGTCAACGTTTCAGTTCACAGTTGTGAATATATATATACACATACATACACACAGGTGCAAGAAAAAGTATGTGAACCCTTTGGAATGATAAGGATTTCTGCACAAATTGGTCATAAAAGGTGATCTGATCATCATCTAAGTCACAACAATAGACAATCACAGTTTGACAAATGTTGTGTTCAATAAAATCATGGCAACATTTCATTCTTTGTGTGTTGTTAGTTTAAGCAGACTGTGATTGTCTATTGTTTTGACTTAGATGATGATCAGATCACATTTTATGATCAATTTGTGCAGAAATCCATATCATTCCAAAGGGTTCACATACATTTTCTTGCAACTGTGTGTGTGTGTATGTGTATGTATATATATGTATGTATATATGTGTGTGTGTATATATGTATGTGTATATATATATATATATATATATATTATCTCTTAACCACAGAGATACACACATACACTTAACCACAGAGATACATACACACAGACATACACAAACGCAATCACAGATCCACACACATACAATCACGAACACGCAATCAAATTCACACATAATTAGATATACACATACAAACATCAAATCACATCACATGCAGGCTAGCATTCACTCACCACTAAGGCCACCAGGTATGGCAGCACAGCTCCCCTCTCCCAGGCATAAGGTAAAAAGGGAGGGGGATATAACGTTTTGTTAAAAAAAAATATATATATATATATATATATATATATATTTAAATAAACATATTTAAACAAGCTAAATATTTAAATAAACAAGTGTACCAACTTCTGCACGTCTGCTTGGTTTGCCCCCTCACTCTGCTCTTCAGAAATATATTTTTGACCCTCTGCCAGAATGGTGTCTATTTTCTATCAAACCTGTGTCTTATCTGCAGTCATGTCGTTTTAACCCCTGTATCACAACTCAGCTTTGAATTCTCTGTGTTGTCTTGCTCAGAAATGCTCCAGACTTGAGAAATGGAGGTTCTCCCGAAAGCTTGTCATTAAAAAATTCTGTTAGCCCAATAAAAAAGGTATTACAAGATACGAATTGTATCTGTTTTTTACATCTACATCACTGGACTAATACGGCTACAATCTCTACATATAAAATAACCCTGAGTGAGTAAACAGACAAAGAAAATTAGAAACATAGAATGTGACGGCAGATAAGAACACCCTCACACACACACACAGTACGCTTCACACATACACACAGCACACCCAACACATTGCCCCCCCCACACATACAATATGTCCAAACAAACTCTTTTAAAATTTTATTTATATATATATATATATATATATATATAACACACTACAGCACCTCTCTCACACTGCATCATTACACACATTACGCTCCAGATACAGGCTAGATCCCTTACCCTATATACACTCTGAATCCTACACACACTCACACATTGGATTGTGAGATAGCAACATATTTTTATGTACACTTTTTATTAGGATAAAGTATAACGTATTACATAAGTTTCTAATATGGAATGTGTGGAACTTCATAATAATGTGTTGAGATATGATGTATGTCACACGTCTGGTTTTTGTTAAAACTGTGTGAAGTGATGAAAAGAATTTAGTTTATGCAATCATCCAAGAAACAGAAATTGTGGATAAGACCTGGCAAGCCTTGAGCATTAGAACATGTTAAGAAATATGTAGTGATACATATGAACTGGGGTAGAGGAATTCTTATCGCCCAATGCCCTGGACATGCAGTTCAGGGTATCTGGTGGGCTAGCAGAGTATTTTGGGCTTTTAGCCCTACTATCTGCAAATGGCAGGGCTGCTATTGGGGACAAGAGGGGGACAGGGAGCATGTGGTCTGCACGTCAGTCAAATGCAGACCACAGTAATTTTTCCCTTGTGGTCCTGCACTTGCTAATAAGTCATATCGCAGGCTGGAAATTCCAATGGCTGCTCTCTAAACTACTGAGTGCTGGACCTTGAGGGAGTGACTAGTGACATCTGCACCCTCTGGAGGTGCCGATTTCATGCTCTGCCAGTTGACTACTGACTAATTTAACCCTCCCCCTCCTCCTCCCCCCCCAAATGAACTACCAGGGATCATAGACCCCCCCCCCCTTTTGGTAGGAGGAGGGAGAACACACACACTTCAACATTCACACACACCCCTTTCAACATTCACACACACACCCCTTTCAACATTTACACACACACCACACCTCTTTCAACATTCACACACACCCCACTTTTCAACATGCACTACATTCACCGCACCCTCCTCATCCTTTTCAACGTGCAGTACATTCACACCCACCCAACCACCCACCCTTTTCAATGTGCACTACGTTCACACACACACACACCCCAAACCCTCCACCCTTTTCAACATGCACTACATTCACACATGCATACCCCCACCCTTCTCAACATGCACTACATTCACACATACACCCCCCCCCCCTTTCAACATGCACTACATTCACACATACATTGCCCATATCCTCACACGGTCAGCAGATACAAAATCCCCACACAGTGCACACACCAAGCCCATATTTTTGCTAACTAAATCAAAATTGAAAAATGGTGGCAGAATGTTGATTTTTGACAATTCTTTCTTATCAACTTTTTTTGTGTCAGTTTTTCAATTTAGATGTAATTTGCAAAAATGTGTAGTTTAGTGAATAACCACATCAATGTCGAGGGCTCTAGGCAGGGGTCCCAATATAAAATTATTTTGTTTGGACAAATAGATAGTCGCGCCAGATAAGTAGATTGGTTTAGGCCCTTGTACAAGTAGATTAGAAAAATAAATAAATCATCCCACACCACCGTATGCAGAATATTGAAATGGCAATGATTTGACCAGATGCTGGTGCCTTTTTACATATACTTTAAACAAATATATTGTCCTGTGCTAAATTCTTGAATTAGAAGTGAAATTCATTGACGTGATTTCTCATTAATTAAGAGAGGGAATTATCAGTGTGCTGCAGAATAGGAAAGGTGTGTAAACAACAGGAAAAAAAATAATATATATAATTTTACTTTTTTTTTTTTTTTTCTTGTGATGGACCCATGATTCTAAATTGATATGGACCTTCTTGCCTGTTAGAATGAATAGGATCCCAACTTGGCTTTAATTCAGAATTCTCTATTTTGGCCAAAAAGTTTTAAGTCTGTTTTGTTCTAATAACAAAAAACGTTTTGTTCTGATGACTGATGGCTATTTTCGAACAGATCTCAAAAGTATGTATATAAAATTGCATGTCAAGTGTTGACATTTACCTTAGACATTCAGAGTTGCTCCCTTCAGAGTCTCACTTCTAAATGCTTCTAAACATGGATATATTAATGGGGATGTGACAGTGTCACACATTCACAGAAATACATGTTGCATTCAACAACGTGGGAATTAATTGTTCTGAGTGTGAACTAATTTATGATTTAAATAAATAAATAAAAAAAAAAAAAATATATATATATATATATATATATATATATATATATATATATATATATATATATGCACCAAAATGGCAAAAGGTGGATATTGTGATTAAGACATAGACACATATTGGGGACTGTGCTCAAAACGGAGCCTACATGAGTGGGTGCAATTAAAGTTTTTGTTCATTTATTCACCAATCCTGACTTAAATTGACCATTTGTTTTTTTTTTTTGTAAATATATTTTTATTGGCATATTTCATGCACACAAAGAGAAAGGCATAGCATTGAGACTCGCAGGTCTCCGTTGTTGTCTTACGGTGTGTTCACATAGCAAATGCCAGCACATTGAGACTCGCAGGTCTCCATTAGTTTAACCATGTATATATAACTGTGATAGATGACAAACATAACAAGCATATCATCTACACTCTTTCTTATATATTTTGTACAGTTGCATGTCCTGTTGGGCTCGTATGCCCGCAATTACGTCAGTTTCATAAGTCCCTTATGGATGTTGCGTGTGTGTGTATGTCTCCGTTGCTCGTGCCTGTTTGTGAGAGTGTCGCGGGACAGCCCGGGCCCTATGATCCGCCCCCCCTCCCCTCTTTGGGGTGCCCTATTTAGTTGGGGTGGTCTCCTCGTCTATGTGACAGGGCCTCTCTTGTCTTTTTGTGTGTTTGTCGGGCCTTCCAGTGTCGGTGAACACCCGTTGCCGGAGGTAGACCTGCCCCTGTATGGCTGTCTTCCCCTCTCCTCTTTGGGTTTGTAGCCTCCTGCAGCTAATTATGTGATGGTTGTTGTGTCATGTCACTAAATTCGGGGTCTGTTGTCTTCAGGATCCAATGTGTCCAAGTGTTAAGGTACACTTGGAATGTATCGTGGGCTTTGTGATGTAGTTCCTCTAGGGATCTCAGTTCTTCCATTTGCGTAAACCAAACTCTCACGGGGGGGGGTGACCTGTGTTTTCCAATACTGTGGTATGATCATTTTGGCCGTGTTCAGTATGCGGATAGTGAGTGACCTCTTATAAGCTGTTCGAGGGGTTTTAGTGTGGTGTAAGAGCATGACTGCTGGGTCGAATGGGACTTGGTCGTCTGTAAACCTTGCCAATATTTTGTGGATCTCAGACCAGTATGGGGCTATCTGCTTGCATGCCCACCAGATGTGTAAGAGTGTGCCCCTGCCCTCCCCACATCTCCAGCACTGTGGGGGGTGGGATGGAATTCGGGCATGTAGTGACTCAGGAGTGTGGTACCAGTGTGTCAGTAGTTTATATGCCGTTTCCTGTGTCTTGCTGTAGCTAGAGCAGTGATGCGTTAGATAGCAAATTTTCTCCCATTCCACTTTGTCAAAGGTCTGGCCCAGTGCCTCCTCCCATTTCCCCATGAACCGTGGTTGGGCAATTGGTGTGAGTGTGATTAATAGGGTATATAGTGCCGATACCCCATGTGCTAGTGGGTTGGGTTCCAAGCATAAATTCTCGAAGGGCGTGGTGGCCCTATGTAGTGCCGGTCCCTGCGGGAGGGATGTAATGTAACTCCGGATCTGTTTGTATTTGAGGCGTATTAGAAAAGTGTGTTCTTCGTTCCCCCTCAGATCCTTGAGTGTCTTTATGCCGTCAGTGGTTTGTATGTGTCTGAGTCTGGGTATCGGGTCCTGTATTAAGTCTTTAAATGCGTTCGAGTCCATCCCCGGCATGAACTCAGAGTTGTGTGTCAGGGGAATTAATGGTGTCGGGTATGATGTTAGGCCATGTCTCCCTTTGGAGCGGTGCCATTCCCTTAAGGTTGCCCTCGTGTAGGGGGACTGAGACCCTTCCCCCGTCTGGGCCCCGGGTGGCAGCCACGGTAGGACTGCCACCGGGACGCCCGCCTCGTGTTCCTCCACTTGCTTCCATTGTTTTTGTGTTCCCGTTTTGGTCCATTCCATGATTCTCATGAGATGGCATGCTCTATAGTATAGGTTGAAGTCTGGCAGTGCCAGTCCCCCCCTGTCTTTTGGTTGTGTGAGTAGTGTGTGGCGCAGCCTGGGCCGTTTCCCGTTCCAGACATATTTGATGAGGGCTGAGCGTAATGTGGTGAAGAACGCTCTGGGGACCGTTATGGGTATAGTTTGGAACAGGTAGAGAAGGCGTGGTAGAAAGTTCATCTTCACTACTTGTATCCTGCCCAGCCAGGAAATATGTGGATATGCCCACTCCTGCATCTCCAAGTGCATCTTCTCATGCATTACTGTGAAGTTTTCCTTATATAGATCCCCTTCCCGTTTTGTTAGCCAGATGCCTAGATATTTAATTTTATGTGTTGCCCATTGGAAGGAGTAGTGTTTGCGCAGGGGTTCCGCTCTGCGTTCTGGGATGTTAATGTTGAGTATAAATGATTTGGAGAGGTTTATTTTAAAATTGGAGAGTCTGCCGAATTCCTGGAATGCCTTCAAGATATTGGGGAGAGAAATTTCTGGGTTGGTTACGTAGAACAACAAGTCATCAGCATATGCTGCTGTTTTGTGGTGTGTCGTTCCCGTCTGCAGCCCCGTGATGTCCGTGTTGTTCCTGATGGCCACCAGCAGGGGCTCCAGAGCTAGGACGAAGAGGATCGGGGACAAGGGGCAGCCCTGGCGTGTGCCGTTCCGTATGTCGAACGGCTCCGTCAGGGCTCCATTAACTACCACTTGCGCGGAAGGTTGCTGGTATAGAGCCTCTATCCATCCCCTGACACCTGGGCCCAGCCCGAGGTGGGTCAGAGTCTGGAAGAGATATCTCCACCCCACCCTGTCGAAGGCCTTCTCCGCATCCGTGGATAGCAGGAGAAGGCCTTCCCTGGCCCTCCTTTTCCCGTGTATCAGTGTGAGGGTGCGTATTGTGTTGTCACGTGCTTCCCTCCCCATCACAAATCCCACCTGGTCAGGGTGCACCAGGTTGGGCACATGTATCTGCAGTCTGGTCGCCAGGATTTTGGCTAATAGTTTTAAGTCATTATTTATGAGAGAGATGGGGCGGTAACTTCCGCATTGTTCCCTATCCCTGCCCTCCTTAGGGAGTACTGTGATGTGTGCTGCCTGAGATTGCCTAGGGAAGTGGTGTCCCTCTTTGATAGCGTTGAATGTCAGTGTGAGTGGGGTGTAGAGGATGTCTGCATACGCCTTGTAGTAACAGAGCGGCAGGCCGTCTGGGCCCGGGCTTCTGCCGGGTTTTGTTTGTTTCACGGCTGCTGCTAGTTCCTCCTGTGTTATCTCCCCGTCTAGGGACTCAGCCGTGTCCCTGTCTAGGGTGGGCATCGAGTGTGCGGTCAGATATTCTGCGATGGAGTCTGTTAGGCGTGAGTCCGCCCGGTGGTCCTGTGGCCCTGGGAGAGCGTATAGATTTTCATAGTACGCCCGTATGACTTCCTGTATCTTCCGAGGTAGTCTGTGTAGTGTATTTGTGCTGTCTCTAATCCTGTCAATGTAGGTCTGTTGCCTACGTTTGGTCAGCATGCGCGCCAGCAGCCTGCCGCTCTTATTGCCGTGTAAGGCAAAAAACGCCTTGTGTCGTAGCGCGTCTCGGTGGTACCTTGACTGGAGTATTTTAGTGAGTTCCCTGCGCAATGTGAGCAGTTGTCCCTGCAGTTCAGGCGTCTGTTTATTTTTGTTAAGTGTGTCTAGCTCCCTTATTTTCGTCAGTGTGTTGTTCATGGCCGCTTCCCTCTGTTTTTTCATGGTGGCGCTCTTTTGGAGGAAATGACCTCTGATCACGCTCTTATGTGCCTCCCACATGATGGTTGGGGAGGTGTGGTCTGGTGTGTTTATGGCGAAGTATTCTCGGAGGATTGCTCCGATGTCATTTTTAACCTCCGGTACTGAGAGGAGGTATTCGTTTAAGCGCCCTTCGCCACTTTTGGTCTGTAGAGTGGGGACATTAGCTTGAGGGTTACGGGGGCGTGGTCTGACCATGTTGCAGTGCCATGTTCCACCTGTGTGACTAGTGGCAGGTGATGATGTGTGAGTAGAAAGTAGTCAATTCTGGTATATGTGTTGTGTGGATGTGAGAAGTACGTATAGTCCCTCTCATCCGGGTGGTGGGCTCTCCAGCTATCTACCAGTTTGTATTTGGATATGAGAGTTTTGAGTGCGGTCAAGTGTTGTGTTGGGATATGTGATCTGCCTGTGGATGAGTCCCATTTCGGGTCCAATGCTAAATTAAGGTCCCCTCCTACCACCAGGATTCCCTCCGCGAACTCCTGTACCCTGCGAAGGATTCCTGACATGAATCTATAGTGTCGTTGGTTGGGAGCATATATATTGGCAAATGTATACATTTGTCCCGCTATCGTGCCTTTGACAAGGACGTATCTGCCTTCCCGGTCAGTCTGTAGTCCCTGCTCCTGGAAGGGTGTTCCCCTATGAATTAGTATCGCCGTTCCCCGTGCCTTCCCCCCCTGGTAATCGCTATAGTATCCTATGGGATAGTGATGGTTTTGTAACTTCGGCCTTGCCCCTTCCCTAAAGTGTGTCTCTTGGATATATACAATGGAGGCCCCTGTAGTGTGAAATTCTTTGAGGGCTGCCGACCGCTTTTCAGGTTTGTTTAGACCCCTTGCGTTTATGGTGACTATAGTGAGGTTAGCTGGTATTAGTGACATATTTTGAGGGGTGTCTGCAGGTCCCGGACCCGAGCTGTCCCGCGATTGGGGTTTTTGGTCTGGTGTTAGTGTGTATACGGATGTGTCCGTGTGTATCCGCCGCGCGTGCAGCGTTAAGGTATCAGCGTCTGGGCAGCCGAGTAGGCCGCTCTTAACTTTGGCGCTCAACCCTTATGGGGGTGGAGGGAATACCCAGGCCCTTGGTCTGGTCTATTCGTGTGTGAATGACTTACGTCTGACGTCTCGCCCCGTGTGGCTCCGCTTGCGAATGTGCATTGAGTGTGCAACTTCGCCTAGAACATGTGTGACATCTTTACTGCTGTGGAAACTTGGTTGGTGCAACCGTGTTTTCAACTGTAAACCAACTTCCCAGTGGAAGAGAGAAACATCCCCCCCCCCAAACCTATATACATGAGCAAGCGAACCCGGTTGGTTATCCCGTGCCTCATGGCCTGGTTGCCTTACTGCCATCCCCCCTGGTGCTGAGTGGGAAGCAGCCGACCGGCCATCCCCCTGGAGTGCTTGGAGCCCTATGTGGCTTCCCTCCCAGGACCTACTCACTTCGCCTCCCTACCCGGGGTGTCATCCCGGTGTTTGTGTTTGTGTGTGGTTGTCTTGTCCCCCTAATACCCGGTCCCTTCCTGCGCCTGTGTTCTCTGTCTCCTCCTCCTCTTGGACGTCTGGGCGAGACGAATCTCCGTGCCCCCACCTGCTCCAAGTGTGGTCATCACAGGTTCGTCCAGGGGAGCACGGAGGTCCGTGTCGACCGTCCTCCATCCATCCACAAGTACCCCTCCCCCGCAGTTGCTCTGAACCTCCCAAGTTGCTTTGATTCCCCCCCCCCCGATCAGCATTTGAATGTCCTGGTAGGTGAGCTTTGGTATGGTTAGTCCCTTGGGCCGGGTAAACCCCGGGGTAATATACTTGCGTTTACTCCGTGTGCTTATGCTAGTGTTAGTCCTCTCTTTCCTGGAACGGGCTCCCCGAAATGTTCTTTAATGGGGCTCTTGGGGGCTTGGTTGGGGGTGCCGCATTTCCTGCCCTCTGTTCAGAGTCCTCTCGGGCCCATCGCCTGTTTGCGGGTGGTCCGCGGGAGCTGGGTGTCCGCCGTGCCAGTCTCCGGTCCAGGTGCCGGTGTATATAGAGCCAGAGGATCTGGCCACTGCAGTAAAGCTGGTGTGATGTGCAGCTCCCTCCCGAGGGCGGTCATGTCAGCTTCTGTCTTCACTAGAAAGGAGCCTTTGTGTGTGTGGATCAGCAGCCCTGTCGGGAAGCACCATCGGTATTTGACTCTGTTCGTCTGTAGCTGTCTGGTGAACGGGCGCAGTGCCCTACGGTACGCCAGGGTGGCGGGGGAGAGGTCCGGGTACAATTGGATCTCTGCTGACCCCAGGTACACCCTACCTTCCTCTCTGGCCTTCCTCAGGATATCTTCCTTCTGCTGGAAATTTGCCAAGCAGCATATGGCATCTCTTGGTTGGCTTCCCGGGGGGCCTTTCGGTCTGAGGGCCCGGTGCGCTCTCACCATCTCCAGGGGTTCCCGTGGTGCGCGGCCCAGCAGCTGATTGAAGACTGTTTGTAAGGTAACTTGGATTGGGGTATCGTCGTCTGCTTCCTCTGGGATCCCCCGGACCCTGATGTTCTGCCTCCTCCCCCTGTTATCGAGGTCCTCTAGGTGTTGTGCCATTTGCTGCATCTGCTGGGTGGCCCGCCTCAGGATCCCGGTGTTCGCGGTCTGAGCCGCTTGCACGTGGTCGTGATTTGCCTCCAGTTGGGAGATCCTCTGGCTTAGGCCGCAGCATTCTTCCCGCATGGCTTGGAGTTCTTCCGTGATGGAGGCGCGGAGGCTGTTGTTTGCCTCCAGCAGGTCAGTTTTAGTGGGCAGATTTCGCAGTATGTGCATTAAATCCGGGTGGGAGTCGGTGGGGTATAGTATAGGCGTCTCGGCCAGGGACTCTTCCCCACACAGTGAAGGCGACGCTCTCCCTCCCGAGGCCATCGACTCTTCTGAGGCCTGTGTCTCCCTGTCCGCCGGCGTCGCTAGGAAGCGCCTCATGGATGGAGTTGCGCTCCCCCTCGGGGTGTTTGTTGGTTTTGGGGCTTGTGATGCCCGTTGTGATTTGCCCATTTTCGGGGCAATTAGGTGCACTAGGCGGTGGGGTGCTTGGAGCCTCACAGGGAGCTCAGACTTCACGCTGCCATCTTCCTCGGCTTCCAAGCCACGCCCCCCTAAATTGACCATTTGTAACCATTACCACAAGGGTATATAAAATCTTATAAATTAACGTAAAACATTTAGGCTACACTTTTTATTTTTTAATTATAGTGCTATGAAAGTATAATTGAACTGGTTACATAAGATTTCTTGCTTGATGTTTGTTTCAGAATTGAAAGCAATACTCCAAGCACCATAACCACTATAGGCCAATGTAGAGGTTACAGTGCCAGGAGTGCCCAGACATGCTCCTAGGGTAAGTAGTGAAACCGCTTGTGGAAGGTTTGACAACTTACCTGGAGTCTGCCGGATACCCTTGCCGCCTGCACTGCTGCCAGAAGCTCTGCCATTGAGCTAAGCTTGAATGTTCAGGGAGTTTCTTAGAGGCCGAGAACATTCAGTTGATGTTCTCAGCCAATGAGTCGGCCCTGCACGGTAGGGCTTGGCAAAGTGGAGCGAATTAATACGTCTTGCAGGAGCTTCCAGCTCCCCAGGAAATGGAAGCAGGTGCTGGTTGACCACAGGTAAGTTGTGAAATATTGATTACTTACTATGGAAGTACTATGGTAGCAGTCCTGACGTCATAACCAGTACAACTGAAGGTGACATGCCGCCTCAAGGAAGAAAATAATTGAATATATACTTAAACTGCACATTTTCTTGATTGTATTTGTTTTCTAGCCTGACGAAGTTGGGATCCCATCACTAACTGATATTTATCAACAAAAGCAAAGAGAATATCCTGCCTGGAAACCATTGTCACCCTCGGAATACACTCATCCACCAGAGGTACCATTTTCATTTAAACACATTATATATTCTACATCACAATATTTTCTAGCAGTGGGAAGTAGGTGGTGTAACCCAGGTCTGGCCTATTACTGGCTATGTTTCTGATATGAACTATGATTATGTCCAACCAGCCATGTATAGCTCAGTAACATTACATCGAGCTGGAGTAGATGTACGTGTCTTGATTAAAAAAGCTTTGTCTTCTGCATGTTTATTGTAGTACTTCATATAGTATAGCTCAGTTATTATTTTACCTGTTATCATGTTTTTGCCATAAAGATATTGTATTAATCACAGGTACTAATGTTTAAAATTAATTTATTCTTATCTGGCCATTTCTAACAAAATCTTACTAATTGCAATTCATAGGTTCAGGATTTATGCTTTTTTTATTTTTTTTCAATGTATTTTTGTCCTCTACTTTTTCTCCTTCCAAGGTGCTGACACTGGATCCAACTCTACACAGAAAGCCACAGCATAGTTCCTTTATTTCTAAACCTAACCTCCAAAATACACAGAACAACGTCATCTCCATGACTCCGGACTCAATATTGGAGAATTCTTCTTCTTTTATCCATTATGATGCACATTCCCTGTCTAGTGCGGCTTCTGCACCATCTTTGGGTGAATCTCCGACCTGTTCTCCTATGGGTGATCAACAGTGGGAAGTTAACAAATACCAAAATCATGTCAATCTGAGCTATGAACTGTCTCCAGGAGATGGTAGCTGTGATGAGAGGATGCTGTGTACAGACGATGATGTAAACAGTTTAACCCCTTCTTCGATGCCTGAGTCCCCTTTGCCTTTTACTGAGGAGAATATAAGTGAATCCAGTCGAATTCATCCTCTAACTCTTTCTAAGTAAGTTCCTCTATCTGGGTTGCACACATGAACACGAATATCTGTTCTATGTAATTACCACCTACATAAACCTTACGTAATACTTAAATTTAGATTTCTAAAAGTATTCACAATTGAGTGAATGGCAGCCACAAATAGAAAAATCACAGAAGAGTTAAACCGGTGTATAGGCACATACTCTGCTTTAATTATTTTCTCTTTTTTTTTTTTTTTATCACCCCTAAATATTTGAGATGTACAACTGACAAACTGACATTACTTTTGGAAGATTTTTAACTGAAGAATCAGAAAAGTTTAGAAAAATTGATAGAAATAAAGTGTAAATGTGCATGTGATGTTCAGTGTCTGTTTTATTTATTTAATTTTTTTCAGCATCAGGCGAAGTTTAAGAGAGAAGCACTCCAGACATCTGTCAGATTTGCGGGATTACTATGAGTCAGAGATCAGCAACTTAAAGCAGCAGATAATTGCCAATGCCAAATCCTCTTCTACTGAAGATGTCAAGAACATCACCAGCTTATCAGAAAGGTAATCTATAGAAATAAAGTATTTTAACAAGACAGATAACCTGTTGGAAATGTATTGCATCATAACAGAATTGAGTCAATTAGTAAATTCATTTTGATGAATCGTTATGTTTAAGTGTATGATGTAGAAAGCCTGTACGATGAGATACACAATTCTAAAACTATGGCAATATATAATGCAGCAGTCTGGCAGTGGATGCAAATTGTATTTCTCACAATATTGTAGGCTAGGTTTGAAGGACGATGTTTTTCTTATTCTTTATATAGAATGATATAGGAGCTGCTAACAAAGAGGGGAATTCATTTGTGCTAAACATGCATTTCCTTTCCCATAACTCTCATGGTCATCTAGTAACCTAAAAAGTTATTTAGAAATTATTCTCATTCAGTACTTCTAAACCAACTCTCTTTCTCCTAATGCAACATGGATTTTAGGAGTAACTGTTTCAAACTATCCCAGAACTATGTCTTCTCTAACTGATAAAGCCTGGATCATTGTTGATCCTTACGTTTTTCTTTCTAGTGCTGTAACACATAGCTTTCACGTTTCTCCTCTGTTTTATCTTTCGTGATGGGAATATTCTAAGTCATTGTTGGTCTTACAAGGATCCAACTGTTGGGACCTTGGAGGCATAGGTGTCTGTACATGTGGCGGAAGGGAACTGGGGAGAGAATGTTGTTACTTAATATGATTGGGTCCCTCTAAACCACACATTGGGTCACAGGTGTGGTAGCCCTCCAGTGTTCCTTAGCCCTGACAAAACAGTCACCATTGCACTCTCCGCCGTTCTTATTGTTTTTGCAGTGCTGATAATAAACCATGATGGACATGTTTTAGATTAGTTGTATGTGAGAGATTTAGTTGAGTTTTGTACCATCACATGTTTCTTTTCCAGTGATGGTGAGTCTTCTCCAGTCACGAAAAAAGGCACCTACTCTGTAAGGACTATACCAATTTTGCCTGTGTACTGTATTGCGATCTAGCTCTATAGTTCTTAGTTTGACCACAGAGCAGCTTTTTAATATTACAAGCCTATGAGTCTCGAACATTTTAGATGCACTAATCCTTCTTATCATGACTTATTTACTCTACCTGCTTATATGTGACTGAATCCAATCAAATTATTATTTCTTTTTAAACTATTATTATTGTATAGATGTGACCATATGGAAAGCGCATTGACAGAAGCCAGCAAACGAATTAGAATACTTGAAATCAAAAACAATGAACTGGAACAGTTATTGGTAAGAATTGAGAAATGCTCTAGTTTATAGCCTCGAGTCACTGTACTATATCACATTCAATGTTTAATTGCATTTCTACTCATTATGGAAGATTGTCATTTTAAGGGTTCAATGCCAAGTCACATGACATCCTTGTTACTTGAAGGTCTTAATAACCATTTTCAAAAACTGTCACTACTGCTGTGTGCGATCTAATTTTTTCTTCTTCTCCACAAAGAATGATATTGTGTTTCCTCATTCCTGTCTGGTTTTGAATATTGTAAAGCTTCCTTCACATTTGCTTTTTATGAAATGTGCAACTAAACAGAAGAACTTGTGCAATGATGTGGGTACAAATTAGAATATACTAGATGGGAAAGGCAAACGTAAGGGAACAGTTCTATTCTACTCCATGTCCTGACACGTTTTACTTAGAGTTGTAAAATTTCTCATCATAATTAGGTTCAATGCTCTGAATGAAGTTTGATATGCCATGGATTAGACCAGGGTTTCCCAATTCATTTTTCCCTTGGAACCCTTTGTCATGGTATAGCAAAACTTTGGAACCCAACAAAAAAATGTGTGCCGTAGAGTAGCGCAGCGCAGGGCAAACCTTTCAATGAGCAGAGTGTAATGTTCTCTATTGCTGGCAATTTATTTTTTTCATATCTGGTTTAATTATTGACAATTGTATTCGCATATCTGCAGTTGCGTCAAGTCGATGTCGATACTTTGTTTCTGTTGCAGAGTAAAGCGAGAATCCAGTTTCACATAAGTATGTGCCCACTTGGACAATTCTGGGTGTTCTTCGCGTATAAAGCAATAGGAGAATCTTCTTTACATTTTTGGCTTAGTTGACTGTCAGAAGTTATATCGATCAGATTCTCAAAATCTACATCAGAAAAATTGGCTGGCTTGTCTTTTATGAATGGTTTTCGAACCCACTCATTACTGTTTTCATTCAAGAATGGAAAATACTGATTAATAGATGTGATTAAATGGTGAAGATGATCAACAATTTCATTGCAAATGAAATCTTCAAGTTCAATTTCTGATTCTTCAAGAAAATCTTTAGGTATTGGCAAAGAGTTCAAATTATTTTGCTCAACAGATGAGGTCCAAAACTGCAGCTTACGAGACAGTGAAAATATTTTATCTCTTGTATTAAAAATATTAGTGTTTTTTCCTTGGAGTGATAAACAAAGTCATTTAATTTTGTGAATATGTCTGTAAGAAATGCTACTTTGGATAACCACAGAGTGTTTGTAAATCGATCAGATAATCCAAATTTATGATCCTGGAAATACGCAAACAACTCTTAACGCAATTCAAACATTCTAACAAGGACTTTACCTTGTGATAGCCAACGGACTTCTGAGGGGTGACTACCCATATCTTCACATATAATTTTAAATAGTCGTGACTGTAATGGTCAAATTTTTATAAAATTAATAATCTAGCACAGTTTTAAATGAGATTGAAATATGTTTAGCTACCAGTGCGTGTCTGTGAAGAACACAGTGAGAGCTGATGCTGTTTTTTGCTACATTTCTTATTCGTGTCGCAGCGCCTGCCACTTTCCCAACCATTGCTTTGGCACCATCACTGCACACATCTACACATTTGTTTCAATTTATACTGTGTGTGTTCATGAAATTCTGGATACATTTAAAGATGTTCTTACGAGTTTTCAAAGTTTCACACAGAAGCAAGTCTTCTTCAATCTGTTTGTCAAAATTATATCTAACAAAAACCATCAAAATTTAAAGTCCTGCAACATCTGTGGACTCGTCTAATTGCAGTGAGTACCCATCATATTGATGCAGTCGAGAAATTAGTTCAGTATGGATGTCATCAGCAAGATCATGAATACGGCGCAAAACTGTGGTGTTGGAAAGTGGCACAGCTTCAATTTCTTTACTCAACGTCTCACTTAAAATACATGACACTATTTCTTTTGCACATGATTTTATTAGTGGTTCCCCAATTTGTGTGCTTCTTCTGCAAGTGCTATGTGGTAACTCACTCTGTATGAAGCCTCTCTGGCTTTTTCGTTAGCATTTAGAAATTTTTTGCTCATAAATTGTATACTCTACTGATACTCCTTTAGCATTCGCTTAAATGTCTCTGTATTTGTACTCTGCGTGGATTTGCTCAAAATGACGACGTAAATTAGCAGGTGCTAATGAACTGTTTGGCAATATTTTATTGCAAAGTACGCATTGTGCTTCAGGACAATCTTCATTTCTGGCACTTGTGAATCCAAATGACAAGTAGCTATCATCATATTTTTTTTTTGTGTGCTTTTTTTCTTTTTCTTTGACTTGTCTCTGCTATTTGAGGAACAGTAGATACGATTTCGGGCATGTTTTCTGGATTTTTAGTTGTATCTTCTTTCTCAGTTTCTATAAGTGCCGAACAGGTAGAAATAGTTCCCTGCTTTAACCAGCTTTCCAAATTCATGGTTGTTGGTAAAAAAAAAAAAAAAAAAAAACACTTTGAAAAATACAGAGCTCACAACACAAGAATTTATTTTTATTTGTTTTTTTCAGTATGGAAAAAGCAGGATTTGCAGGATGGAAAAAAAAAAAGATCTGAACACTTGGAAAAATACAAGTAGCAGTTTTTTGCCCCTGACAGTCTTTCAGTGCCCTTGACAGAGCCTTTAAATGTCCCTAACAGAGAATTTCAATGCCCCTGACAGAGAATCTTAATGTCCATACCTAACAGAGCTTTCTAGGTCCCTGCCTAACAGAGATTTCTGTCTATGACAATAACAGAGCTTTAACTATCATCTCAACTCTCTATCACTCCTCCACCACGAGTGATAGAAAATGGCTGACTGCAGGGCTGGCTGAGTGCTGGGCGGGCTGGCTGACTGCTCGGCGGGCTCTCTCACAGACGAGCTAAGTCTAAGTGGCTGGCTGATGGCAGGACGGGCTCTGACGGCGTTGCGGGCTTAAGATCACGCTCCGGTTGCGCGATCTCTGCTGTTTCCGACCTTCCGGGAACAGCAGGTAGTGTGGCCATCTTGGATGTGGCAAAATGTCAATTGGGAAACGCTTTATTAGAGGATACATTTTTTTTTCTTTGTTTTTAATGCTTTTAGCAAAAATATCATAATCAATAGATTTAAGCTACTTGTCTGCTTCTGCGTCTGTTTAAATTCTGATAAAACCTCTGCTAAAAGACTGTCTTGATCAATACATATTTATTGTTTTAAGTTCTTCTTACATTTATTGGATGATCAAGTTAAGCCCCGTTTGTGTGTCCACATTTTGAATTACAGTGACACGATAGGCAGCAGAACCCCTCCCGCCTAATGTGGTTTTGGGGCAAATAACATGTCCGTAACGGCTCAGCAGTGTAAACGCTGCCATTTCTGAGCAAAGAGTATTTACATTGCTGCCAAGAGGGACTTCGTGGGTTTGGTTGTGAAAAGATTTCATGGATATCTGGGCAGGCATGGAAATGCTGAATGCTCCCAATGGAAATGCATTGAATCAATGCATCTCTATGTGGATATTCTGATTGGCGCAGCAATTTGATGCATGTTCACGCTATCCTCCCAAATGTCCCTGTGGGGTAGCATTGGATTGGCTGAGGTTATGTATCTAAATGCTAGATTTACAGTTTTCCTTTTCCATGCAGAAGATATTGCTTTAGCTGTCACTTAATATACATTTTCCCACCAGCCCCTGCGAGTGATGACTAATGGTAAGTGGTAAACCAATGTAGAGGGATATTAATTAGTATTATGATGTAGCCATGCAATGCCATTTTTGGAAGCATACATAATGAAAGCCCAAATTATGTTTTACGTATATCTTTTGATTGCCCAATACATAGTTTTCAGATAAGACAGGCCTCTTTTAAGTGCATTGTGATATCACCCTATAAACAGAGTGAGATTTCATAGATGTGAATAAAATAATGAAAAAATATATCCTACAGTCTAATCTGTTGTATAATTTTAAAGGCACGGTAGAACGCGATATTCAGTAAGCAAGCACTGTTAAAGGAAAGGTTGCTGATTGTCCTAAAATATTCTAACGTGGTTGAATTGAGATTTACCGGAATTCTGTCTTAACAGTTGGTATGTGTTCTGACCAATATCTGCAATCCAAGGCTAGTTACTAGTATTCAGAACGATCATCGATTACCTTTACAATAATGCATGTGGCTGAAGAATTGTAGGAATTCTATTAGACATGTTTGCTTTAATTTAGACAGAAACGTGGCTCTAGTTATTAATGTATGGCCGTTATTTCTCTAGATTGAATGGAAGGAGCGGTACCATGTTTCAAACAAGAATTGTAATGTGTTCCAAGAACAAATGGAGGAAATGAGAACTGGATTCAAAGACAGAGAGAACGCAATCAGCAGACTGCAATCTAAACTTAAAGATACAGAAGAGGCGCTCCAGAAAGCCTTTAGATTGTCAGATGATAAAGATATAAGAATAAAAGAAGAACATAAAAGGTTTCAAGATGTAAGCTACAAATAAATAAAACCAGTCAATAACCCAAGTACAATTGCATTAACTTTCTAATCCAATCGTTATAGCTGCCCCTTTCCTTGCAATGGGTTTAAACATTTAAATAAAAACCTTCTAATTAAAGGAAACATTTGAGGGGTCGTTCGTGGGGTACTTTTGCACAAGCAATATTTCCTGAAAATAATAGGCATAATGTAAATACGTTGAAGAGAGAAAACAACATTTTGGTTAATAAAGCCATGAAATGGACGGGCCCTTTACTAAATGGAAGGAATGCTGCGTCTTTAATTTATATGTGATCGTTTGAAATGTTACAAATCGAGTGGCATTCACCATGGAAACCATATATTAATGTTCCTGTAATTGCGCCACAGTTCAAATTTTGCCCAGAATTTCTGTTTATCGTTAACCCCTATCACGTATAGTATAACCTGTATTAATATCTGTGTTCATTCCTGTTTTCTTACTTACAGCTTTTGTCTGAATACCAATCACTTGGAAAGGAACATGAAAGAGTAAAGGTAAGAAGAGATTTCATTATAAGTGGCTTAGTGTACAGATTTCTTATTGGTCAAACAATTTAATGTTACAAATGCTGAACCTACAAATAAATAAATAAACAAATTGTCTTTTTTTATTTTATTTTTTTCTATTGCTATTGTGCAATCCATTTACAAATTATTTTAAATATATTTTTTTCTTCCTAGGATACATTGTGTGTAACAGAGAGTAAATTGTGCCATGCGCATGCTGAAATACATGAGCTGAAAAGGTAAGATGTGTGTTATATTCGCTCCAGACATTAAATTACTCTATATCCTTCATTTTTGTTGGCTGTACTTCATACTTCCTGTGTGTAAAAGTCTGTCTATAGTCCTCATTTATGTTCACTGTGCTTTATGTGTGTAAAAAGCTATGTGGTTGTTAGACATGCTTTGGGTCTGCTTGATATTAACCTATCTGTTGAGACATATATAAAAGATAAGTACCAAATCTAAACAAATAATCAATAGGTTTAGAAAACAAGCAATTTAATTGGGAATATATATAGTATTTTCCATAGTATGAAATTGTTCGGTAAACATTGGATCCAAATAATATGCAAAAAAAATAAAAATAAAACCATTTTAGTTCAGCAAAAGATGTTGAAATTACTCTCCATAAGCACTTTATGGCAGTGCGACAATACAATAAACCAACAAGTGAGCTGAAGTTTCCTGGAATGGCTATGATCCTGCTCCGGTATTCCGTCTTTGATATACATTTTTTGACAGTCTTTATTTGGTGATGTGTGAGTACATAGGTAGATAAGAAATAGCTTGAATGAACATCAGCAAGAATTCATAAATTAAATGATGAAACAGTAAAGTGTTTTAAACAACCTACATCTGAACTGATCAAGTACAATTGCATGTTACCAATCTTATCCATCTACACCCCTTTCCCTCCCACTCATCCTTCTCCTCTGGACATTTTGGAGGAGGGGGGCTCTATTTTTCACCCCCTCCTACCCAAAGTCCGGCCATCCTCAGGAGTGGTCACACCTGAGGTATATTAGGTGTTTGGGGAATGCTAGTAGTGCAGAATAACATAACGAATAATGTATCAGTGTCAACTTGGACCTCTGTCCACCTACTTCTTGAACTTGTCATAACATCTGCTTTGGGCCACTATGGACTTGTGTGCTGGGAGTTCTATTCTGCTAGGGTTTATCAAGTAACTGTAACTCTTACCGTGTTATTATGGGGTAGTGGATACTGAACTATCTATTTAAAGGGAGATCAGAGTTCAGCACCTTTAAAATCAAGAAATGGATCTGCCTCCAGAATGGGAGACTAATAGAACATGACCACCAAATATGTAAAGTGGTGCCGACCTACTCCCCACATCTCCAACACGTTTTCAAGGCCCCATTGTACATGCGATAAAGTGACTCAGGGGTTCTCTACGAACACATGCAATTTGCGTGTAATTTGGAGAGTGGAACAAATTGAACTCTGGTGGGAGAGTATATTTATCTTTTACCACTGCTGGTCTGAGAGCGAAACACCCAATTCCTGCCCCCAGTTGGTGATCTATTTTGCAGGCTCTCTGGTGACAGAAGTCAACAACAAACAAAAATACCGACTTGTACGAAGTAGCAATCTAAGTACGTATTCATTGTAATGATAGTGGTGCAAAGAGTCTGTGGACTCTGTCCTCATAGTTTGTGTCATATTGAGTGCCCTGACTAAGACCAGGGTCTCCTGGACATTAACTGGGAGTGGCAGCAAAGACAATAGCACAAAAGAACATCATTACGAACAAGCCTGGTACCTCAGTTTATGGAACAGGACTTAAACAATTTTTGCTGGTTTCATCACATTTTCTGTTTTTGTTGTTGGTGTTTTAGTGTCCGATATGAGCGATCTCCACATGTAAAAAGGGTACCTGCATTTGTTAGTTTCACAACTCAGGATTTCCTGTAGAGTCCCCGCTATGTACACAAGGAGAGGTTTTCTCTGCTCTTTTAAAAATGTTAAACCATTTATGTAGCAACCTAAATACTACATCTGTATACAGGACATTTTGTGTTAAAGGCATACATTTCAATTTAAACACTTGTGTGTCAGAATCTATATCATTGTTGCTAGCGCACTGGCTCCACTCTCTAATATGTTTAATGCCACTAGCTCATGGACTTTAGACAAAACAGATCTTTGTTTCTGTTTGTCACATGTCCCTATATAAAAACCCTCATTGGAGCTTGTCTGTGTTAGAACTGCTTCTAGGTACAAGCTTGTAATGTATTTTTACTTGGAACAGATCTGTTTCGAAGCTAGAAGCGCAAATCAAACAACTGGAGCATGAAAACACTGTGAAACTTCGTCATGTTGCTGAAAGCCAATTACTCCAGTCCAATGCCAAGTAAGGAATTGTAAAAATTATATTTAAAAAAAAAAAAAATTTTTTTAAAAGGATAATGCTTTGCATGCACTGGCATTGTTTCTCTTTATATTGGAACAGCTGCTGTATGTTTTTTTTTTTTTTTTTTTAAAAGGAGCGTAGAAACAGAATGTGACGCCATTGGGCCTATTTAGGCTGCCCAAAATTTCAAAACACTTTCATTAGTCCCTGGCCTTATCTTATAGTTAGGATAGCCTTATACCTATCCCACACATGCTTAAACTCCTTTACTGTGTTAACCTCTACCACTTCAGCTGGAAGGCTATTCCATGCATCCACTACCCTCTCAGTAAAGTAATACTTCCTGATATTATTTTTAAACCTTTGTCCCTCTAATTTAAGACTATGTCCTCTTGTTGTGGTAGTTTTTCTTCTTTTAAATATAGTCTCCTCCTTTACTGTGTTGATTCCCTTTATATATTTAAATGTTTCTATCATATCCCCCCTGTCTCGTCTTTCCTCCAAGCTATACATGTTAAGATCCTTTAACCTTTCCTTGTAAGTTTTATCCTGCAATCCATGAACCAGTTTATTAGCCCTTCTCTGAACTCTCTCTAAAGTATCAATATCCTATAAGATAAGGCCAGGGACTAATGAAAGTATTTAAAAAATTGGGCAGACTAGATGGGCCGAATGGTTCTTATCTGCCATCACATTCTATGTTTCTATGTTTCTGGAGATACGGTCTCCAGTACTGCGTACAGTACTCCAAGTGAAGTGTAAACTCACAAATGAAAATACAAATTGAGTAATTCTCTCTATGAAACTCAAAATGCTAGCATTATTAGTGAGTTTGTGATATGAAATCGTTTTAGGTATAAGCAATCCTTAATCTTTTTGGAAAAGTATTCAGCTCTGCCTAATACACATGCTCAGCTACTGTATCATGAATAGAGAACTTCAGTAAAAATTACAACTTGAGAATGTAAACTCTAAAATATCTTTTTACATAATATGTCTTAAAATTCAATTTGAAAATTGTGATATTTAAAATGTAGAGGAATAGAAATAGCTGGTCATGTAGAGACAGAGCAAGGATAATTAGCAGAACTTAACTGCATAATATGTTTTGAAGTGAAATTTAATGGTGCAGGTAGAACATCAAAGGAACATTTAGCATTCCACCATTCTATAGTGTTTTTCGGTACATGTGTATGATACCTAAATTCATACATGCATACATACATACATACATACATGCTCGTTTGCTTATCATAACTGTCAGTCATATAGGTTGTTTTTAACATGTTGTAATGCATAACCAGTCATGAAGTGATTCACACCTTGCGTTCCATGGACGTGGCAAAGCGGAAATGCCTTACTCCTGGTGCTGCTTGTTCAATCTTCACTGGACAGCCTCTAGATAACAAGGACAGTGACATTGAAAACAGGAAGGAGACCACGTATGAACCAGACAGGTGAGCGGGAAGTAGAATTTCAAACCTTGTTTTTTTTTATTTACTTTTTTTACATTGTGATTAATATAGCAAACTTGATGGTGTAGATTTTTTTTTATTTTTTTAATGCTGTTATGTTCCTTAATCCTTTATAGAGACACAACTGAATTATTCCGTCATGGTCCCGTGAGGGGAATAGTTCTGTCGTGTGGTATTTTATCAGCAGGGACCATTTACCTGTTGTTACCTGATAACTGGAGGTATCATTTATTACCTGTTTCTCCCCTTTGTGAGCTGGGGCCAGAGTTAGTAGGCCAAGACTGACTGACTATCTGTTTGCAGTGCTCAAAGTGAGCGTCTCAAGCAGGCATGTAAGTGGCTGTTAATTCTCAGTTGCTACAATGCTGTGTGAGCTCGGTTAAATTCCTCCTGACACCATGGAGTCTCAGATATTAGTCTATTAGATGTCTGGTCACATATAATGCTGTAGCTTCACAGGATATTTACAAAGGCACACATGGGGGTACTGTTGTACTCAGAAGATGTAGCTGAACACATTTCAGGGATTTTGTAAAAGAGAAGTACACATCAACTCACAATAAAAAAACCTGATCATTATTACAAAAAACCCACCAAAAACAACCTCATTATGTGTGTATATTAAAAATAAGAATTTAAAAAAAAAAAAAAAAATTTAGCAGAGATTGGCAGTTAAATGTAAAAAGTGTCAATATGCCCTTAAGTAAATAAACTATGTCTCCTACTGTGTGGGAATTTTGTTTTCTGTGATGGCTATTAAGCTGACATGACAAACATGCCAAATGCTAAAATTTGAGGAGTATATGCCTACAGGTGCTCGTGATTTAAATGCGGCTTTTTAAGTTTTCTTTAAGATAACATGGTTTTAGTCCTTTGGGTGTCCCTTTTAATTCACTATATTTTGGTTTTTAATATTTTTATTATTTTTAAAAGAAATAAAAGAAATAAAGCAAAGACTGGGTAATCATGAAAAAATATTTAACGCATACATTTTATTTCATAGTTTTTACATAATCTTAAATTGAGATGTTTGTAAGGAGTACATAATGTGCTGGAAACCTGAGTGGGTTTGTATTGTTTAGGTTTTGGTGAATAACCCCCAAATGTCTTTGTTTTAATTGCACTGTTGTGAAACTGAAAAAAAAACATTTAAAACTTTAAAAAGAATAAGTGTATTAAGATAATCCCATAATATAAAGTATAGATTTATCAAACATTGTGATTTGTGTAAAGTTTAGCTTGCCTGTAGTACTACGTATTTCTCTTCTTTTTTAAAGGTACAATTCTCCACCAGAAAAAGCTACCTCATTTGATAACGTCTCAGAAATGTCTAAGACAAAAGAGATCAGAAGTCAGGAAAGTCCCATTCTGAAAGCACTGAGGGATTTTGAAGAAGAAAAAGTATTAACAACTTGGAGAAGTCAAACAGAAAAACAGAATGCTGCTCATAGTAAGTAACTCTTATATTTGATGCATATTACATTAGTATTTGCAAATGTTTAGGTGGTTTATATACCGCATTGCATTTGTTTGTTTTAGTTGTTGTTGTTATTTTCTTCATTTAAAATTAGTTTTATTTTTGTAGCTTTTAAAGAAACACTCTAGGTGCCATAGCCCCTTCAGCTTTTGAAGTGGTTATGGTGCTAAGGTACTGTCCCTACACTATTACAGTTCTCTGTTGTATGGTATAACATGGCTTTAAAGCACATTTCCCTGCCAATCAGAGAGCTGGATAGGACACTTAGCATGTTATTTGAGGGGGACTTGCAGGTGTGGACTCCCTTCAGTTCAGTAAATGAATGGTGTATGATGATTAGTGCTGCGCATGGCACCGCATGCAGCAACAATCACAGATGTAGGGATACTATTTCAAATAGTAAAATCTCTATCCTAGGGATCAATATAATAGAATGTAAAATCTGATGGTGAATCTCTTACCTTTAGTTTTCTCACCAGTTTAATTACATCTAAATCGATTTCTTCTACCGATTGGGATTGACCACTTTAATTGTTCTTAAATTTAAAAAAATGAGTAAATGTGGGAGGCACATTTTCTGTATATGAAATGTTTGTTACATGTGGAATATTGCATCTTACAGAATTATCTAGTAGGAGACAAACTGTTGGCTTCAATGACTGTTGGAGCCCACATGGATCACCAGAAAATCAGAAAAGTAGGCAAAGACGAATTAATTCTCCTTCTGGGCCAAGATCATCTTCTGTTCCACCTGCGAACAGAAAGCCAACTGCAATCACCACTCCAAGTACGTGAATGTGATTCCCTGTTAACCTTTTGCTAGTGCAGTATTTTAATTTGCTTGTTGAGATACTTTGAATCGAGTTGACCTCAAGGGGGGCAGCACCAAGGGACCCCTGCATTGGAACCAAGTAAGTAAATTAAAAGGTTTTTACTTGCTGCATGGTGGGCACAGGGTGCAGAGGGACACTATATAGAATAAACCTTTGTATTCTAATACTGTCGTGTTCCACGCCTCCAGTGACTGTTACACTGACAGCCACTGGAGGCGCTTCCACTACACTGACGGAGTAAAACTTGGTCACGTGACGTCCAAGCTTAGATGTGCATATGGCTCTAGCCAAGCATATGCATCAGGTCCTCTGTGGAGCATTGGATTGGACCAATTATGGAGGAGGACATGCATCCTCCATAATGTCGAAGGAAGCGAAGAGGAAGGCAGCATCGATGGAACCTCTGCGCTGGAAAAGGGTAAGTAAAATGCAGAATTGTCTTATTTTGATGGGACACTGGGGAGACGTATATATTACTATGTTATATTGGGGATAGGGACACTTTAAAGTATTTAACGCTTTAGTGTTCCTTTAACCCCTTAAGGACACATGACATGTGTGACATGTCATGATTCCCTTTTATTCCAGAAGTTTGGTCCTTAAGGGGTTAAAGGACCACTATAGTGCCAGGAAAACAAACTTGTTTAACTGACACTATAGTATTAATAGGTCCCCCCCACCCTCATGGCCCCCTTCCCGCTCGGCTGAAGGGGAAGAAAGGGGTTAAAATCTTACCTTTCTCCAGCTCCGTGCTCCTTCGGCGCTGGGGACTCTCCTCCTCCTTCGGTTGTCATCGGCTGAAAGCGAATGCACAGCAAGAGCCGCGCGCGCGCGCATTCATTCAGTCCATAGGAAAGCATTCTCAATGCTTTCCTATGGATGCTGGCGTCCTCTTACTGTGAAAATCACAGTGAGAAGCGCGGAAGCGCCTCTAGCGGCTGTCAATGAGACAGCCACTAGAGGCTGGATTAACCCATAGCTAAACATAGCAGTTTCTCTGAAACTGCTATGTTTACAGCAGGCAGGGTTAACCCTAGATGGACCTGGCACCCAGACCACCTCATTAAGCTGAAGTGGTATGAGTGCCTATAGTGGTCCTTTAAGTATATTGTATATATGGTGTTGTATGATTGGTAATTATTGCAAGAATCATTTTCTAGATTCTTCTATTATTTTTATTTTTTTACTCTAATTAAACATTCTTGCCATCTGTTGCTTGTGCGCTTGTATGAATCATTTCTATATAGATTTTATAAAAGAGTACAATCACAAAAGCTCACATATATGCAATAAGCATTAACTAGTCCTATTTTCATATTCATCTATTCATGACAGAAGGAGCACTTAGTTTCATCTAAACTACGCATATCAGGAAGCATTCGTTTGAGCTGCAATAGGTGACAGTAATTGGCGGAGAGTGGCAGCTGACCTCTTTCAGCCTACCACAGCCATCCACTTCTATAGCCAGTTCAAAGAGATGAAGTGGTTATATTACACATTTAAAGCATATTTATATACAAAGTTGATGGTATCAACATTATAAATGCATGTAACATAATGAACTCAACAGAATACACAAGTTATACGTATATGAGATTTTTCTGGAGGTGATAAACAATAAGAAAATAATGAATGGGAATGTATGAGGATCACTCACTTGCCTTTTAAAGAGGCATAGTCACTTTTTTAGATTTTGTATCACTAAATTATGTTCATAAAGTGCCAATATGGTGAGGTTTCCCTTGAAAGTGGTTTCTGTGTGCTTTGTGTTTTTCTCCCAATTTACTGTTTGCACTCTGTTTTTGCAGCAAAGCGTGAATTGATGCTAACCCCAGTGTCTGTGAAATACAGCCCAAAACGATCGCCTAGAGAGAATCTATCACCAGGTTTGACTCAACTATTGTGCAGTGATGAAAACCCAATGACAAGGTGAACATTTGTTTCCCTAAATTACTTGCTTTTAGTTTGTAATTGTATGTATGTTTTGTGTTGGTTACAATGTGAAACACCTGCTGTAATAATAAACCATCAAATAAGAGCTAAGTATAAGTATCTGAGACTACATGCAAATGTATTGTTAGTAAATTGTTACAATGACTCCCCTTTAATGTAAACTCTTATCTTCTTGCATGTATAGTGACAGATTGTATTAAGCCATCATCTGCCATACATTGCTGCTGCATAATTGACCATTAAAAGATCAACACACCATATTTTTTTCAAATTATTTTAATCCACAAATATGGTAGTGTGGAATTATTTGAGGACACTAGTTAGTTTACCCTTACATTAAGTGTGATATTTTGGGAAATGTAAACAATTTATCTACTACATTAAATATCAGTCGAGGAATGACCTGTTCATTTACTCTGAGCCATGGCCTTAAAGGAACACTATAATGTTAAGAATACAAAACTGTATTCTAAAAGCGTCACTGTCATGCTGAACTTACCTTTCCCCAATAAATTCTTCTTAGATCCCTCTGTCAGGATCTGTTCTTCATTTCTTCCTGTCTGCTCTAGTTTTCTTTAAACTCATAAGACAAAATAGGGACTATTCTCACACCTGACCAGCTATGGTTAGTGGAGGAGCAAAGTGTGCTTCATTTCCTGGGGTCAGAACAATTTCCCCACAATTCTCACCTTTCCTCCGTGTTCTCACGAAGCCTCCTTTCACATTTACTGAACGTCCTGTCATTTTAGACAGAACACCGTCAAAACTACCGAATTGCGTCCTAACAGAAAGAGAACAGTTTCTCCATTTGTGTTAGGTCGCAATTCGGTAGCTTTGCCGGCGTTCTGTCTAAAATGACAGGACTTTCAGGAAATGTGAAAGGGGGCTTCGCGGGAACACGGAGGAAAGGTGAGAATTGTGGGAAACTTGCTCTGACCCCCGGAAATGAAGCACACTTTGCTCTTCCGCTGGTCATAGCTGGTCAGGAGTAGGAAACCTCCATGAGACAAATAGTCCCTACTTTGTCTTATGATTTTAAAGAAAACTAGCAGACAGGGAGAAATGAAGAACAGATCCTGACCGAGGGAGAGAAGAGGAATCGATTGGGAAGGTAATATCGGCATGACATTGCCGCTTTTATGCTATAGTGTGCCTATTGATTGTCAAACTCTGTGAGCAGGAAGCGTCTCTAGTGGTTAACTGTTAGGTGATCTCTAAATGTAAACATTGCAGTTTTTCTGAAATTGCAATGTTTGCAGCCGCAGCGTTAAGGGGACAGAGACACTGCACCAGGATCACTTCACCGAGATAAAGTGGCCTTGGTGTTTATAATGTCCCTTTAAAGTTAACCCATTGGGTAAAATTCTACTTTTCTTAAATATGTCCTTTTAGTTTTTTCTCCTCCTTGTATATGGAGCGTTATAGAGGTTTTAAGCAACCTCACATCTTTCCTAATGATTCCAGTGCTGCCATTAGCACACCTTTGTGGGAGTAAATGTTCTTCTTTGTCCTGCCTAGCTTTGAAAAGTCTGGGATGGCATCCTCACACCTAATACAGCTCCACCTGATTATGCTAATTTGTTGGCTTTATTGCCAGCATATCAGCCCACTGAACAGAGTATTGTCCGAGGGCACTCAGTTCCTAATTACTGCCAAGCACAGACTGTGTGACGAGGAGAGGGCTCATATGTGCAATTTCTTCTGTAGAAATAGCAGCAGAAACAGTGACTTGGATCCCATGCATGTTTCAGTAGAATAAAGCAGGGCCAGCATGGTCTGCCAGGGGGGAGGGGTACACAAAATCTATTTGCAAGCACAATGTAGAGGTGAAAGAATCTATTTCCAGTAAGCACAAAAAAAAAAAAAAAATGACCGTAACCCTTTTTAATGAGACATTCCTTACAATTGTAAGAGTTTTTTAAACTAATTTTATATTGAGCATTTTTTTTCTAGTTTGAAAATATGTTGGCATAACAACATTTCACACACAAATGCTGTTTTATCCTAAATACCATTTGATGAGTGCTGTTCATCCTTTACAGAAATATTGCATTGATTAATTTCTTTAAAGACTATAGCCCTTATGTGACGGTATTTCATAGAGGATCTGGAATATTCTAAAGCATGCAAAAAAACAATTTGTGTTGCTTATATTAGGTTTTACCAAAATAAATAAAAATGGAAAATACCATAATTATGGATATGTTATAACAAGTCTGGTGGCATTATTAGCATTACAGCTTCTTAATCCATCAAAATATGAAATAATGTTTCTATCGGAGTATAATTCACAGAAACAAGTAGGTATTTTTATGAAAATTGCATAGGTTAGTGTTAGAGCAACCTGTATGGTCTTTTTTAATGCACTAGAGCCTTCCTGCCTGTTAGAATACAGCCATAACTTTTTGTTCTTTTAAACTTCATTTACTGTATGGAGAGTCAGAGAAATCTGTCATATTCAGCCCACTTGCAGAGATTCAAAGTGACAGAACAAGGTTCTCACTGAGAAATACTTGGGTTTCCACCAGTATTTCACAGTTATGGCTTAGTACTTCTCTTTCTAATGTATTTCACTATTTTAAAGGTTTGACGTTGTTTGGGATGGTTCGGCTACACATAAAGATCCCAGTCCTAGGAAGAGACTTCAGTTCATGTCACTGGATGAGCCAGAAGGTATTTTAGCAGGCTTACAAAAATATCTATTTGACAGTCTGTAATTTTTACTTGGCTGTAAATGCTACAGGTGTCATGTGCATGATGTGTGTCACCTAGGTGTTGTATTAATTTGCTATGTGTTATGGTGGAACTAATAGTGATATCTTTATTTTGTTTTATTTTGGGTAATTGATATGTACTTGATTTCTGCAGGTGAGCTTTGAGTAAATGACTTGTGTATGTTCTTCTAGGAGGACATGTGTTTTTATAAGCCAGCTGGAAATTATTCATAATTCAACCTAATGGTCTTTGGCTTTAAGGTTACTGACCACTACCTGCTAACTACATGTGTTAGGTTATGTAAAATATGTAACCTCTGGGCATAATCCACCAAGCCTCCTGTAATTCAATAAACCTAATCCTTAAAAGGACACTATGGGCACAAAACCAACCAGCTTAATGAAGCAGATTTGATGTATAGATCATGCTCCTGCAGTCTCACGGCTCAATTCTCTGCCATTTAGGAGTTCAGTCACTTTTATGCAGCCCTAGATACACCTCCTTGCATGTGACTCGCACAGCCTTACTAAACATTTCCTGTAAATAGAGATCTAATGTTTACATTTGCTTTATTGCACACCCTGTTCAATTTAGAATTTCATATCTCCTGTTCTGCTAATAGCATCCTGTGTGTGATTAAAGTACCAATTTATAAAGCAGGAAATAAAAGCTTCTAGAGTTCAAATCTGATTGAAAATGAAACATTTGTTTTCATGTAGGCTGTGTGAGTCACAGGGGAGGTGTGGAGAGGGCTGCATAGACAGAAACAAAACTAACAACATCTAAATACCAGAGAATTGAACAGTGAAAATGCAGGGACACGATCTATACACTAAAACTACTTCATTAAGCTAAAATAGTTTTGATGCTTAGAGTATCCCTTTAAAGTGAAATTGCTGATGCCTTAAAGGATCACTATAGTCACCTAAGTTACTTTAGCTAAATAAAGCAGTTTTAGTGTATAGATCATTCCCCTGCAATTTCACTGCTCAATTCACTGTCATTTAGGAGTTAAATCACTTTGTTTCTGTTTATGCAGCCCTAGCCACACCTCCCTGGCTACGATTGACAGCCTGCATGAAAAAAAAACTGGTTTCACTTTCAAACAGATGTAATTTACCTTAAAAAATTGTATCTCAATCTCTAAATTGAACTTTAATCACATACAGGAGGCTCTTGCAGGGTCTAGCAAGCTATTAACATAGCAGGGGATAAGAAAATCTTAATTAAACAGAACTTGCAATAAAGAAAGCCTAAATAGGGCTCTCTTTACAGGAAGTGTTTATGGAAGGCTGTGCAAGTCACATGCAGGGAGGTGTGACTAGGGTTCATAAACAAAGGGATTTAACTCCTAAATGGCAGAGGATTGAGCAGTGAGGCTGCAGGGGCATGTTCTATACACAAAAACTGCTTCATTAAGCTAAAGTTGTTCAGGTGACTATAGTGTCCCTTTAAAATGACTGTCCTTGTCAGGGCACATGCCTGTGTAAATATTCTACCTTTTCGGTCTATTTTTCTAACAGTGATACAGAAGAGTAGAAGTGAGTCACAGCTTGCTCCTTTAGTAGCCCCTTATGATACCGAATTCATATACAATGACAGGATGAAGACTATATCTGACACAGAACGGCTTTTTGATGATTTAACGGAAGAAAAGCAACAGGTATTTTTAATGCTTCTGCAGTTTTGTGTCTTTCCTTCTTTTAATCCCTAAAGGACTTTTGATGGTTTATCTAGTCCTTACTGACTTACTCATTCCAATCGAATCAAGGTTATATGGAGCATTGAATGGTAATAAACAGGACATCACTTATGACATAGGGCTTGCAATAATAAAATATTATTCCCACTGAAATCTTTTTTTTATCTGGGTTAGGGGTAGGCCTGTCTTTGGCACTTCAGATGTCCTGGACTACATATCCCCTGATACTTTGCCAGCAGTATGGCTGTAAGAGCATTATGGGAGATCTAGTCCACAATATATGCCATGTTGAAGGTTGCCCTCTGACTTACATTTTTCTATGTGTTTTTATTTTAATTTTTTATTTTGCTTTGTGGGAATAACATTTTCTGTTAGGCTGCCACCTACCCCAAAACCCTTACAGATATACTAGCTGGGCCAGGAATACAAAGCTGTATTCAAGGCACTATAGCTCCCTCTGCCTCCCGCCACCGACATGATGAATACAGGGTTTAATAACCCTTTATTTACTTGCCTAATCCCAGCACCGATGTCCCTCAGGGCTAGGTCACAGTTCCGTCTCCTCCTCCGTCCTGTGACAAGCGGGTGCTAATGCACGATACGCGGCTAATGTTGTATGTGCATTAGGCCCTCTCTATAGGAAAGCATTGAATCAATGCTTTCCTATTGGAGAAAATCTGACGCTGGATGTCCTCTGAAACTGCAATGTTTTTCATTGCAGCACTAAGTGCAATAGGGACACTGCACCCAGACCACTTCAATGAGCTGAAGGGGTTTGGGTGCCTATAGTGTCCCTTTAATACGTTTCACAGGCGTGCTCCTCTCTGTTAACTTTTTAGTGTTTCTTATAGTGCAGTAGTTGCTTCTTCCTGTGTGTCTATAGATGATAATTATCTTCAGAGTTAATTCAATGTATAATGTTTCTTGCTCCTGCCAACAGATAGAAGCTGCCCTGAGCCGCATGCCTAGCTCTGGACATAGACTAAGTCTGCAAATGAGAGCAAAGAAGGTAAGGGTTTCCTCCATTTTGAGTTTTGGAATGAATCATTTTTTACATGTACACTGGGTGCTATAACCCATTCCAACCAGCAGTATAACCATGCCATATGTTCTTCCATTACTCTCAGGCATGCTGCTCTACTACAGTTCCAGTAGATTTAACTATTAAATCACGTGGGTCACAATCACAGGAGATAGTACATAGTGGTTAATGACTATTGCAAAATCATTCTTGCACATTATCTTCTACCGTAGTTTTATTATTTGGTTTAGACAGACTACTTCCTGGCCCACCTAGGAGTCATAGTGTTCACAATTTCGAGTCCCAAACTCTTCTGTTACCTGTTACACTTTTTTTTAAAGGTAAAGCCTGCATTTCCTTGTATCTACCCTCAACTGTAAGTATATTTCAAAACAGGGAGTCTGTCACTACTGTTCTGAAATTACATATTTACAGATTATACCGGCATTATTTGCAAATTTGTAATAAATATCTTCAGCTTAATGTAGTCATCATTAATATAATTGACTGTGAAAACATTAAAGGAACACTAAAGCGTTGGGAATACAAACATAGTTACATAGTTACATAGCTGAAAAGAGACTTGCGTCCATCAAGTTCAGCCTTCCTCACATTTGTTTTTTGCTGTTGATCCAAAAGAAGGCAAGAAAACCCAGTTTGAAGCACAATTTTGCAACAAGCTAGGAAAAAAATTCCTTCTTGACCCCAGAATGGCAGTCAGATTTATTCTTGGATCAAGCAGTTATTACCTTACATTGAAAGATTATATCCTTGAATATTCTGTTTTTGCAAGTATGCATCTAGTAGCTGTTTGACTATCTGTATGGACTCTGATAAAGCCACTTCTTCAGGCAGAGAATTCCACATCCTGATTGTTCTTACAGTAAAAAAAACGTTCCTTGGCCTTAGACGAAATCTTCTTTCTTCCAGTCTAAACGCATGGCCTCGTGTGCAATGTAAAGTCCGGTTTGTGAATAGATTTCCACACAATGGTTTGTATTGGCCCCGAATATATTTGTATAATGTTGTCATATCCCCTCTCAGGCGACGTTTTTCTAAACTAAATAGGTTTAAATTTGTTAACCTTTCTTCATAGCTGATATGTTCCATTCCTTTTATTAATTTTGTAGCCCACCTCTGCACTTTTTCTAGTGTCATAATATCTTTAGAACAGGTGCCCAAAATTGCACAGCATATTCAATATGTGGTCGTACCAGTGATTTATAAAGAGGCAAAATGATATTCTCGTCCCGAGAATGAATGCCCTTTTTCATTCATGACAAGACCTTACTGGCCTTGGCCACTGCTGATTGACATTGCACATTGTTGCATAATTTGTTGTTTATAACAATTCTAAAGTCCTTTTCGTGTGTTGTTATCCCTAATTCGCTTCCATTAAGGGTATACGTTGCTTGTGTATTCTTTACGCCGAAGTGCATAACTTTGCATTTTTCAACATTAAATTTCATCTGCCATTTGAGTGCCCAGTCCCCCAGTCTATCTAAATCCCTCTGCAGCAAAGTAATATCTTGCTTAAATTGTATTACTTTATTAAGTTTTGTGTCATCTGCAAACACTGAAACATGACTTGTTAACCTATAAAAATAAAAAAAGTTTTGCTTATCTTTTTTTCAGCACTGAGCCTCACTCGATGCTACCACCCTCTCTTCCTCTCGCTATGCCATCTTGGAGGTGTCACTTCCTTGATGAATATGCAGTGCTCCTCATAGAGGAGAATTCAGCATGAGGTTTTTCCCTATGAGCTGTAGAATGTCACGTGACCGAGTGAAACTCGGTTGTTGCAGAGGAAGTGCCTCTAGTGGCTGTCTAGAAGACAGCCACTGGTGGTATGTTTAAAGGGACACTATAGTCGCCAAAACCACTACAGCTTAATGTGTAAAGCATGTCACTGCAGCCTTAGCATTGTTAACACTGCACCTCAAGTGTCAGTCACTCAGATGGCCATTAGAGGTGCTTTCTTTGTCACTGTCTCCATGGTCTCACAATGATTTCTTATGGGAAATAATAGCCTCACATTGCTTTCCTATAGGAAAGCATCGGATTGGCTGAGATCATCCTCACAGCCAAAGAGACGGGGCCGCCGCAGAAAGAATGGTGCGTAGTAGGAGAAAAGGTGAGTAAAGTCACTAATGTTGCATTCCAGCACTATAGTGTCAGGAATACATGCTTGTTTTACTGACACTATAAGTGTTCATTTAACCCTGCAATGTAAACATTGCAGTTTCTACAAAATGAAGTCATCTGGGTGCCTTTAGTGGTTCTTTAAGGGAACTTTCTTTTTTCCCAATTCTGGAGAAGGAAGAGTCCGTTATTAATATCATAATATTAACTATACTCTCAAATTATACAACTTTTTTTCTTATTTTTGTGTATCATTGACATGGAAATGTGTATAAATAACATGGAACGAACTGTGTGCATATTGTTTATTATTTTTATTAAATATTGCCATTTATATAGCGCCAACAGATTCTGTAGCGTTAAGAGCAGAATTAATTATCTATCTTTTAAAATTTCTGTACAACATCACTATATGAGTTTCTTTTGGTTTAAATTTTCTCAGGAAAATTTGGAAGACCGTCTGGAAAAAGTCAACCGCCACCTGGGGTCAGTCAGGATGATCCTGAAAAAATATCATGTTTTACCAAGTTCGGCAAACATTTGAAACTTTCCAGTAAGACCTTTCACTGGCTGTGTTTTGCACTACCCTGGACATACGCAGTACAATGCTAAACACTAGTATACCCAGGACCATGGGCTTCCAAATCATGTGCTTTTTATGACTTTTCTACTTCATGTGTTTTTATTTTGTTTTTTTTAACACAGAATTGGAAGTTAAATGTAAAAATGTTTTAGTATTTTAAGAGGCCATATTTCTAAGCTGTATGGATCTATTGTATGCTAAGTGTATATATAAACCTATCGAATGATAAATACCTGTACACTCCTCTCTCTATATTGGTCTTCACATTAAGAAACACAGTTGATACAATGTTTTTAACAGTGCTTCCACATGGGGAATATTTGTTAAAATTAAGCTTGTGACAAATGTATTTTATGTACTATAACTATATAGAAGTGTTTCATTCCAGGCCTATCCTGCACTTTGTTTTGTTTCTATTTTATAAACTGTGCTTTTTCAGAAAGTCAATGTACTTTTATTGAATGAAGAATGAACACAATGGAGCAATAAATATTTTTAAAATGTGTCATCATTGAGTCCTTGTTTCTTTATAAAATATTAATTTAACACTAAATCTATTCTGCAGTTTACCTTAAATCGGGAGGGACACCATAGTCACCAAACCAACTTAATGAAGCTGTTTTTGTGTATAGATCATACCTCTGAAGTTTATCTCCTGCTTTGTAAATTGAACTTTAATTACATACAGGAGGCTCCTGCAGGGTCTAGCAAGTTATTAACAAAGCAAAAGATAAGAAATTCTTAAACATAATTTGCAATAAAGGAAGTGTAAACATTAGCAGACTATTTAAAGAAAGTCTTTAGGAAAGCTGTGTAAGTCACATGCAGGAAGTTGGGACTAGGGCTTCATAAACAAAGTGATTTAACTCCTAAAGGGCAGAGAATTGAGCAGTGAGACTGCAGGGGCATGATCTATACACCAAACCTACTTCATTAAGCTTAAGTTGCTTTGGTGCCTATAGTGACCCTTTAAGTATACGTAATTGTGAAATATTTGTGGATAGATGTATAACTACAGAGTTCACCAACTAAATTGAAGAATGTAATCAGAAATACTAGTGATTGCAGTGTGAATATGACATGCCAAGAACCCCATAGCCATCTTCAGGCCTTGCAGAAGCTGTTGATTTTTAATAAATAAGGAAGATTCAAAGATGTGTAATTTTTATTGTTAATTTTTTTAATGCATAATTACCATGCATTAAAAAGGAGGATAATCAACAGTGTCGATTTTTCCTTTAAATAAGTGTTTGACAATTCCACATTGACATTGCAATACAGCGATAGGTGCTGAAAATTTGCATCCTTGCTGTTCTCTTGCTGTTTGCCTGTGCTGTGGCTGGGTGGGGGGCAAGGGAGAGCACTAAGGGTCAAGGGGAAAGCATTAAGAAGGGTCAGGAAAGAGCATTAAGGGATGGGGGCAGGGGAGTGCCCTAAGGGACTGGGGCGTCCGAGAGCACTTAAGGAGAGGGGAGAGCACTAAGAGACAGGTGGAGATGGGAGAGCACTAAGGGATGGGAGAGCACTTAGGAGACAGAGGGGATGAGAGAGCACAAAGGGGACAGGAAGGGATGAGAGAGCACTAAAGGGACAGGAAGGGATGAGAGAGCACTAAGGGGACAGGAAGGGATGAGAGAGCACTAAGGGGACAGGAGGGGATGAGAGAGCACTAAGGGACAGGAGGGGAGAGTTCAAAGGGACCGGGGAAGAAGAGGAGATGAGACTACTAAGGGACAGGAGAAGTGAAAGAACTCCTTAAGGGTCTCACACACAGGCACACCAAAACATACAATGCATTGTACACTCAAACAGAAACACACCATGCTTCCCTTACACACAGGAACACATACACAAAGTCCTTGCGCACATACACAGAAGCACACAATGCATCCCTTACGCACACATACACACACACTGCATTACATTACTTACATGCATACACAGAAACTCACACTTTGCATCCCTTACACATACACAGATTCACACAATGCATCCCTTACACACACACACAGAAACACACAATGCATTCCTTACATACAAACACAGTGCATCCCTTATACACACACACACACACTACATCTCTTACACAAACTGATATCCCTATACATTACATTCCATAAGAACACACACACATTACATCCTCTACAACAACACATAATATACATCCCCTACACACATACACTCCACTCCCTGTGAGCGAACTCAAGGGTGGGCCTTGAAGGCATTAGGCTTATGGGCTGGTGGGTTGTCAAGATCTTTATGTATTTTGGTCAGATGGTTAAAAAAAAAAAAAACAGAATTCTTGGTGTCAGTATGTTAAGATAAAAAGAGTGCTAGAGCTGCTATTAGACAAATATACAACTCTTTTGTATAATCCTACTAAGCGCCCGAATATCACACTAAAAACCTTTTCTTGTGTTAAAAATCTATCACTCCTATAATGTGTGAAAGGCAGCTACCATAATGTCACTATTTGAAAATAGAAAAAAAATGTATGAATATAGATGAACTTTTCACTTTTTCATCTGTGGAGACTATAAATATTGATCATGACCAAAAATTAGGTGTAGATAATTGTCAAGAGAAATTAGAAAGATATATTAATAAGGAGATAAGAATAAAGTGGGCACATTGGAGAAATACCATAAGGAAAAAATACCCCTAGAGGCTTGAGATATAGCAAATTTCCTGCATTTGATCAGGAAAATGTAGACTTCGATGAATGGACCATAATGTTGGAGTCCTTTTCTTTTACATCAATGGAATGTAGACTTCATGGATGAATGGACCATGATGTTAGAGTCCCTCTCTTTTATATCAATGGAATTGATCGATAAGAGGAGAAAACAAACCCTAAAGGAGCTTGACATAGAAATAGATAAACAAGCTTTTTTTTTTTTTTTTTATTTTTTTTTTTTACTAGGAAACAGATCAAGAGGTTTATGCAGATATTACAGATGATTTCCAAAGTAAATCAGAAAAGGTGGAAAAAGAAACCATTGGAATTAAGAAAAGAAAATATAGGAGAGAGAAATTAGAAATCAGAATAACCAGATAAGAACTTACCATAAAAGTAATAATCTTCAGAACAATTGTCAGAATCCACCTAGAAAATATATGCAGGATTATTATCCCCAGAAAACAAAATACAAGAAGGGAACCCGAAAGGGCCAAAACACCCCCAAGACTAATCCGATATCGGACGATTGAGAAAAGTAGGATATACACACCTAAAGAAAAAAGAACTAATTCACGAATTGGGAGACAGGAGAGTGAAAGGGAACCAAATAACTTAAGGAATAAAAACCCAGAAGGTCCAAAAGGGTCAACTAATCACTTTGAAACAGCCTTAAGAAACACACTGGACAATCCTCAGAATTGTTTCTGGGAGTCCAGACAGAGGGACAAATTCAAAGATCTCCCTGTGAGGTCACCAGGAAAAAGATTGAGAAGTATGGAGGAAGGGGAAATAGAGGAGGAATCAAGGTACAACAGAAGAGGAAAACTAGAAGATGTAAAAACCACAACAATTTTTAATTTAAGTGATAAAATTTTAACAAAAACTCATGAAAAAAGTTTGCCCCCACAAAGGAAGTCAATAAATTCCAAATGTACATTGATCTTAAGTTTGAGACAATTGTGTTTAAAAAAATTCTTTATAAAAAAAAAATGATCAAATTCAAATTACTGTGATCCCTCAACAGTCTGAATTTACACAATTTACACAAGTTTGAGAGAAAAGTCATCCTTTTTTCCTACCCATATGATTTCAGACGAAATGAAGGCCTTCGAGAAAGTGGTCATGAATGAAATCAATAAAATGAATAAAACAGAAAACCATAATTTGAGTATGGAATAAAGAACAGCTCTAAAAGAATTGCAGGAAGACCCTACTATTACCATCAAGCCAGCTGATAAGGGGGTGGTATTGTTGTTATGGATATCGAAAAACACTTAGGAGAGGGCTCTAGACTGTTAGGAGATACTAACACCTATAAAGTCTTAGAATATGACCCCACCAAAGAAATTGTTAAAACATTTCAATCCTTTTTCAAACAGGGAAAATAAAATAATATTTTAAGTATAAATGAGTTTAAATATCTAAACATACAGACTCCAAGAATTCCATTTTTTTACCATCTGCCCAAAATACATAAAGATCTTGACAACCCTCCTGGCAGACCAATAGTTTCAGACATTGACTCTATTTCTAGTCGTTTGCCTGAATATATTTATCAAAATCTTCAACCTGTAGTCAAACAGTGCCCCAGCTATCTGAAAGATACCATCAATATCTTACAAATTTTAGAAGAAATAGTATGGGAGAAGGACTATATTATGGTGACAGCGGACATGAGTTCACTGTACACCATAATAGAGCATAAAAAAGGGTGTGAAGCCACAGAATTATTTTTGAAGGAATCAAAAGAGTTCTCAATCAAACATATAGAATTCATTTTGGAAGGAATACAGCTTATACTTAAAAATAATTATTTTTGGTTCCAAGATATGTTCTTTTTTTCAAATTTGTGGGACTACAATGGGGACCAGGATTGTGTCCAGCTATGCCAAACCTTTTTATGGCGTATAGGGAGGGCATGGCTGGGTTGCGAACCTGGTGACCTATCGCAGATATATTGAAGATTTATTTTTTTATTTGGAAGGGAACAGTGGAGGATTTACATATTTTTCTACATTACCTCAATTCCAACAATTGGGGCATAAAACTGACTTCGCACTTTAGTGAATCCTCTGTCCAGTTTTTGGATCTATGTATATTCATAGAGGAAGGAAAGATCAAAAACAAAATTAATTGCAAAACAGTTGATGTCAATAATTTTATACAACTAAATAGTTATCACCATGATCCATGGCTTAAAAACTTACCCAGATCCCATTTCCTTAAGTTGAGAAGGAACTGCACGGACAGTAAAGTATATGAAACTCAATCCAATATGATAAAAAATAATTTTTAGATCTTGGAGACGAATATAAAGGAAGTCAAAGAGATAAATAGAAAATCCTTGCTAGAGTACAAAAAAAAAATTCCAGAAGAGAGATCAGAGAAAATTCCTTTTGTGTGTGATTTTAATAAGAATAGTCGCAAGATAAAAAGAATTTTTAACAAATTTTGGCCTATCTTAAGAAGTGATAACCTTTAAACAAAATTCTATCAGAGAAACAACAAATAGTTTACAGAGGAGCACCAAACCTTAAGAAAATATTAGCCCATAACCATATAAAGAAAGACCCAAAACCAGCTTTCTTTAAAAAAAACTGGCTTTTTTTGGTTGTGGGGTTTGTCTGGCATGTAAAAATACCAAAGAGACACATTACTAATTTTCAGGACTCCTATGGACACAATAAAAAATATAAAATTAAGGAGTTAATTACGTGCCATACAAAAAAATTAGTTTATGCTCTTAGATGTCCGTGCAATCTTATATATGTAAGCAGAACCAAACGTTCCCTTCATACAAGAAATGAGGAACACACACGTAACATCAG